GCCGGAGAAACCGGCCCGGTTCCATTGCCCGGTCTCCCGACCGGTTTCTAGGAACCGCCGGTTCCTGGTTCCCACATTGCTGGAACCGGAACCGGAACCGCAATCCGGAATTTTTTTCCCGGTTCCGGTTCCGGTTCGATTCGCAGCGGTCTCCGGTTCTCACCAGGTTGCCGGTTTACGCCGGTTCGGGCCGTTAACGAAACCGACGGTTCCGGTTCCCCGGGAACCGCATATGGCCATGCCTCAGTAAATGTTTTTAATAGCCAACTCTTCTGATAAATGTCATTGCAAAAATTAAAAAAGAGCAAGTGATTTAGAAACTGAATACTTCACATAAATCTTAGATAGTCTTTTAAATGATTTTCTACACTAAGAGAGATTTTGATTGATTAGGAATTTGTTAATTTGTATTGCATTATCCTTGTGTACCAAATTTAGTGAAACTTCCCTACTATATTGGACCTAGACATCACTTCAGACAAACAACAGTCATCTATCTTTAAATAGTTTTTAACGTTTTGCGAACTATCGCTATTTAAAAAGTTTGTCCTTCGGTTCTACAATTGATGTGGGTAGATTATTGGTGTGACAATGGTTCCGGTTCTCACCGGTTCCGGTTGCGGTTCCGGGCCGGTTCGAACCGACGGTTCCGGTTCCCGGAACCGCAATATGGCCATGCCTACGTAAATGATTATGCCAAACCTTAAAATTCATTGAAAAAAAAAAAAGATTTAAACTTACTTAAATTTGAGCTAATTATTACTAAAAGATTGATTGATTAGGTAGTTAATGTTTCATCCTTTTAAAATTTAAACTTCTCTTTGGCTATATTCGACAACAGCTTCTTAAATAGTTTTTAACGTTTTGACTAAACGCTATTTAAAAAGTTGTTCGGGAGCGTTTTGATTAATTTTTAGAGATTACGGTAGCTTTTTATAAAAGTTAACTCATATAAGGTTTAGCTTTTATCGTTTCATGAAAAGCTACTTAAACAGCTAACAGCTGCACTCTACTAAAACAATTAACGATTACTAAAATAGCTAGTTTTGCCAAACAGACTATTTCTAAGCATCATAATAAAAAATAATGATTTATCTAGAGGATAAAACTCATTTTACATTAGTCAAGTTGTTTTTTTCGCATAGAGAGAATCAAATTTAAATCTATCACTAAGCCGTATATACACTTAGCATTAGACTATTAGCTTATCAGTTTTTCATTATGATTTGCTTTTATACGTGCACTGATTGCACTCACATTTCCATCTTCCTTTGAGACAGTGATGGAGCCAGGACTTTTTCACAGAGGGGGCGAAAATATATTTTATCATTTCATACTATGAATACAAAATAAATATGATTTAAAAGAGCACCTAAAATAGTGTAATTATAAAAGCAAAATTATTACATGTGGTTAAATTTTTTTTTTAATGAAAATGGTATAAATAGCAACAAAATAATAAAGATTTTTTTTTTTAGTATACATGAGGACTTTCAATAGGAAAGAAATAATTTTCTAACATTTACATATTAAAAATTACAATGAAAATAATTATTAGTTTAAAATTTTAAGTATTTTATTACAATTATAAAATTCAATCAATTCAATTTTACATTACTTTCTAAAACTATTAAAATAAAATCATTAATTATAATATTAAATCTATTTCTTTGAATAAATTAAATATCATATATGTTTATTTAATGAACTTTACATTAACTTTTCTAAAAACTATTGTCCAGAGTCAAGTCAAAAATCAATTAATTCATAATATATAAATCTATTTCCTTTGATAAATTCAAAATAATCATTACTCATATGTTTCGCTAACATATTCGGTAATAAATTTAAAAATTTTTATAAGTTTTTCTTCCAACGACAGACTGTCTTTAAATTTTATTATTTATATATTACACTATATAATAAAAATTGGAATATAATATGATTTAGAGAACCCGTGACCATCAATTTGTATATATAGCCGTTTTAAAATTTGTGTGATTTTATGTTATTCATATCATGAATCAAAATTCAAAACTAAGATATAAAACAGGAATTAGAATATTATAATACACTAAAAATAATATACATCATCGCATATTTGACCACTCTATTGCAAACAAAAAAAATGAAACAATTGTGCTGTGTGATTATATCCGGGTTTATTCATATAGTCAAAATTCATAAATGATATTTATTCTCTATGTTCATTTTGTAAACTACACCTAAGTATCATACTGCAATACAACCTTGTTTTAAACTAAGGCTCAAAACTATGTACAAAAAGTTAAACTGTAAAAGAATTACATCGGCGCCACTCACGCTGGCATTCGAACATCCAGCGTCTGGTGATCAAAGACTTATAAGACCATCTTACCCCAGACTACCAAATTCGCATCATCAGAAAGTGGAAAACAGGGCCGAATTATTCCATTTTTTAGGGCTCCCAAAAAGATTAGCCACAAAGGCAAGGGTTGTGTGGCACCCGCCTAGCCCCCTGGCTCTCTCGTATATGTCACTCTGCTTGGAGTCGCGGGTGTGCCTAAATTTATGTCAGGCCTATCAGGCCGCTAAAGTCCCCAAAAAACGACCGTTAAAATCGCTAGCTGATTAGCGGTAACATATCAGCCTTCATACGCGTCGCTGCTTTAGCGCGCGGAATTAATTATTTCGCACTATATATATTTATTTATTTATTTGTACTAACTAAATCTATGCAAAAAACTTGTTTTACTAGCTAAAACTATGTACAAAATTAAACTAAAAAAATTACAGCCACTCGGCATTCGAACTCAGGTCTGGTGATCAAGTATAAGAATCTTACCACCAGACTACCAAATTCATCATCAGAAAGTGAAAACAGGCATTATCCCAAAAATTAGCAAAGGCAGGGGGTGGTGGCCCCCCTACCCCCCCTGGCTCTGTCACTGCTTGGAGTCGCGGTGTGCAAATATTCAGCCTAGCCGTAAAGTCCCCAAAAAACGACCGTTAAATCGCTAGCATTAGCGTACATAATCATACGCGCCTCTACGAAATTATTTATTCCTGCGGAAGCACACGAACAGTAAGCGCCGCACTATGTCTAAATTTGAGAACCTCTCCTCTCACATTCATCCACGTAATTGATGAATATTCCAGCTAGTTGGTGGGGACACTAATGCTTTTGTTTGGATGAAAATAGGATATAAAGTGAGCGAGAATGTAAAAACGAGAGAGTAAAATGATACTATTTCTTTTACCATTCTTATTTTATATTTTTTATTTGATTTGGAGGAAAAATAAAAAGATGGGAGTAAAATAAATTTATTTTACTTAACTTTTATTTGGCAGGGTCTAAAATTTGGGTGGATCTAAAATAAAGAGTGAAAATTTCTTGGAATTATCAAGATCCTTTATTTAGTTTGAGGTAAAATATCAAGGAGGATGTAAAATAAATTTGTTTTACACCCATTTAAACCTCATTTTCGCTCCATTTTGGGAGAAAAATGAATAGTAAAATTTTTCACTCCTATTTTATTTCCACCCCTTATTTGACTTCCCCTCTTCCCAAACAAAGCATAATTAGCCTTTGTTTAGATGGATGGAAAATATGGAAGGATGTAAAATAGGGGGTCAAATGCATTGGAATTTTCAAATTACTTTGTTTGGTTTGTGTGAAAATAATAAAGAGAGTGTAAAATAAATTTATTTTACCTTATATAATTTTTCTCCCAAAATGGAGTAAAAATAAGAAATAACGGGTGAAAAGTTACTATTTATATATAGTAATAATAATAATTATTATTATTTTACACCCTTATTTTATACGAATTCAAAGAATGAGCGTAGAATAAAGAGGTAAAACGAATAGTATCATTTTACGTCATTATTCTTCCCAAAGATACTTTTAGTTGCCTCTTTGTTGTATTTATTTTCCTCCCATTTTGGAGAGTAAATTGGAGGAAGTAAAATAAAAATATTTTACATCCACTCCTTATTTTACGGATTTTACCTCTTCCCAAACAATGTATTTTACAAATCCCAATAAACTTTCACTTGTAATTTTATGCCCCTCATTATTTTACATCCAACCAAACAACCTCTAAGTTGTTGATTGTATGTGGAATGTCAAGAGGAAAATAGACTAAGGAAATAAAATACCCATCTTGTCCCATAAATATACATTTATTTTTATTTTCATATAAATTTTAAAAATTAATAATATTTTTTAAAAAATTTATTTATATTTTCAATACATATTAATATTAATATATTTTTTAATTTTGAGATAGAATAATAGAGATTTCTTTCCTTAACCAAAAGTCTTAGGTTCAAATCCTAAAATATGGAGCATGATTATTTGGCTTGAACACCAAATGATTTAATATTAACAAAAATTATTTTTCAATAAAAAATTAAGTAGAAAAACTGTTAACAAAACATATTAAATGAGGATATATGTTAAAAAGTTTTATTTTTTCAAAAAAGAAAAAAGAAAAAATTGTCCATAAGTTTGGACAAATAGAAAAAATAAATTAATATTTATAAAACGGAGGGCAAATTTCTTTCTCTTTTTTCTTACTCACAAACAAGGAGGAAAATACAAAGTAAAATATGATTAGAAAAGGATTGAAAGAAAATAGTAGAAAAACCTGATTATTGTTAAATTAGTCCTTTGAAACATATATTTTCAATAAAAATAAAATCAAAAATATATTTTAAATTCTCTATAAAATAAATTTCATCCAAACGACCAAATGAAAATAAATTATTCTTCACTAATTTTTTCCTCGCTTTATTCTCGTTCTTACCCTTAAAAACTTCCAAGACAGTGAAAGGTGGCGCTGTCTATTTCTTTGCATGGAGAATCATCAATGCATCAGCCACACCTTAAGTTGAAACGCGGCATTAACCGATTCGTGAAAGCTAATTTTGACCAATAAAAATTGAAAAAGTGTTGAACTGCATGCGAGCTTACATGCTTTCTGTTCGTTTCGAATTTAAGACAAGCTTTTTTTTTCAAAAGACCTGTGAAGTGATTCTTAACGAAGCAAACAACTGGGGTTGGGAAGAGACGAGCAGAGAATCATGTCATCGTTCGCCGGTTCATTTGGTGACGAGTCTCGGCTCACCGGCTCCACTAGTCCCTTCGACGATGATGGATACATCGGCTATGAGCCTCGCTTAAATTCTCAGCGGTTCGAGTCTTACAGCAAATTCGATACTGACTCTGTCAAGGACTCGGCCGTTGAGTCGTCGCCGATCTTCACCTCTCATGCATATACCGGTGGCGATGACATGTACTCATCTCATCCAGTGAGAGAGAGTCCTCCGTCGATCTATTCTGGTGGTGCTGGTGGAGGATTCTCTATTGCTTTCTCTCCGGAGCAGAATGGCGGCCAAGGATTTAATGGTCCGATCTTGCCACCACCAGCAGGGATGCAGGCAGAGGAAGGATTTGCATTGAGAGAGTGGCATAGGTGAGCTCTCGATTCTGTTCTCTGCCAGTACTTAATTAGTTAATAAATTACTTCCTAAGTTCTGTTATAGTATCTCTGTTAGTTCTTAATCAGAAATTATTGCTTAATTACATGATCTGGTGTTTTCCAAAATAATTAAACTTCCAGGCGAATTTTCAACTAAAAAGCAAAACATGAATAATTGGGTAGATCTGATGGTGATCTGACATCGGTGTTATGATGTGCGAAACTGTGAATGAAAGTACAGGCTGAATGCGATTAGACTAGAAGAGAAAGAGAAGGAAGAGAAACAGATGTTGCAGCAGATAATAGAGGAAGCGGAGGAGTATAAAAGGGAATTCTATCGGAAGCGCCAATTGACTATTGAGAAGAACAAAGCCTCCAATAGGGAGAAGGAGGAGGTGAGAGACAAATTTGCATATTTTATACTTCACCCTTAACATGTAAACACACACACACACACACACACACACACACACACATATAATATTTTCTTGCAAATGGATCAATTAATATGTTTTTAGTTATTGATTCTCAGTTATATTATATGGGATATCAATGGGAACTTGGGTAGTTTATATTCATTCATGAACAGAGTCCATTAAAGTGCTACCATTTTTTGGAGTTGTTGGTTAAATTGGTCTTCATTGGATTCTTTCAATTTGAATAAAGTTCTCATCACTGTGTTTATTATTGTGTCTGGAAGGAATTGAAGGGCTGATTCTTTGAATAGAGCTGGGAAATGTTAAATTATTTGATATCTTCTTTCATTTTCTATACTGAGAAGGGAGGGACATCTGAAGTGATTTGACTATGTATTGTGTCCCTTTCAGGTATTGTTTTCCGCTATTTCAAAGAAAAACTGGAATATACATAAAAGAAGTGTTTCTTGTTTTAAGCCAAAATCGTTAAATAAGGATCAGGTTGCAAAGAATGGTGTCATAATGTTTAAAGTGTTGTTGTGATTTATTGGAAGGGTACCGGTTGAAGGAGACGGGTGTGGTGATTTTTGAGTAATAAACTTGCAAAACTGAGAATCGAATTTGTTATAATATGAATGGACTTGGTAATTAATTGTGGTCATATTACTAATGGAAGTCGTTATCTGTATTGTAGCCAAATCAATCCCTGAAAAAGGAACATAGGAAATACAAACGGCGGTCAACTGAATGTATAGAGGATGTAGCATTAAGTTTTCTGAAACATATCGTTGCTTGCATTTCAAAAATGAAGTTAGCAAGACTAAACAATGCCTAATCTGATTTTTAACTTTACATGTCAGCTGTTCTTGGCAAACCGGGAAAAGTTCCATGCCGAAGCTGAGAAGAATTACTGGAAAGCAATTGCGGAGCTCATTCCACATGAAGTACCAGCCATGGAGAAAAGAGGAAAGAAAGATCAAGAGAACAAGAAGCCATCTATTGTTGTGATCGAGGGACCCAAGCCTGGAAAGCCAACTGACTTGTCAAGAATGCGTCAAATCCTTCTCAAGCTTAAACATAACCCTCCTCCTCACATGAAGCCCAAACCACCACCACCACCAGCAGAGCTGAAAAAAGACGCTAAGGACGCATCCCCTGCCCCCACTGCCACGCCAAATGTTGCTTCTGCTAAGGCTACAACAACTGCAGCTCCAGCAATTCCCGTCTCAATAGCAGCTGCTTGAAAAGCAAAGCTGCTAGATGTTAAAAATATGCATATGAAAGTAAATTTAGTAGTGAGTTTGTAAAGTTTAGTATAATCTTAAAACTTGTATTGCTTCTTACAGTATTTGGAAGCTGGCATGGTTGGCACCTGGCAGTTTTCTGTGTTGGAACGTTTTTATGGTTTGTGTCAATTTTGTTGGCTTAAGGTTTGGTGTGATATATTTCATGTGAATTTTGCCTTTTCCTATCAATATTTCTCTTGTACACGTATTTTGCTTTGAACTCCTATTTTAATGGTACAGGCAGCTCTGTTTTACCATTTATCGTTTTAAGTCTTTGAGCCCCTTTATTTTCTAGAAATTTCCCAGTTCACCATTAAAGAATGTGTTAAGATTGAAGCTAGGGTGTGGCCACATTTACGAACCGCCGGTTTCGGTTCTAGATTTAATAAATCTTGAAGAAACTGCTGGTTTCAGTTCTGGATCAAAAAATCGGAAATTGACGGTTATAGTTTCAATTTCGGTTGTTTAACGGTTTCAAATCAACAGTTTTGGTCAGTTTTCGATCGATTGTCCAGCATTATGAAATCGAAAGTTAAAAGTTAGGAATATTTTTTTGTTGAAATTTTAAATTCTAAATATTTATTAAATAATTTTTGGAAAAAACTTATAAAGAAAAAAAAGGCTTAACTTAATTTATTTATTAAAATACTTTTTTTTTTAAGAAAAATGGCATGATCTTAATTTATTTTTTTTTAAATGATATGTTATAGTAGATCCAAAAAATTAATTTTCCATAAATGCCCTCAAAACTAGCCATTATATAGTTATTAGGAGAGTTAATTTTAAGATTTCACAAAAATATTTTAACAACAATATATTGAAACCGGATGTAGCCGCCGCTTCGAACCGTCGGAACCATCGATTCTAACCGGTTGAAAAAACCGCCGGTTCCGAACAGTTCACAGTTCTTCAAAAGTTGAAACCGAAACCGAATCGCAGACCTCCGATTCCGATTTCGGTTCGGACCGATTCCAATTCCTCACGGTTCTGATTCTGATTCACACCGGATTCAAACCGACAGTTTCTGTTCCGGTTCCCATTGGCTTCGAACCGGTGGTTTCCGGTTACAAAAACTGGAAAATGGCCGCCCCTACAAACTGCAACGTGGAAGCACAACTTAAAGTTAGCAACAAATGTGTATATGCATATCAACCATTAAATATAGTAGGCCCTCTTCTCACATTTACGTGAGCTGAGAAAATAATACATGGGGCCTAAACACTTGTACCTGCCACTGATCAGCTAGATTGGTTTGTAACTTTCGTGCAAGTTGGCAATAAATTGTATTAGCAGTGTCAAAATAGGCTGGTGGGTTGCGTTCGCATCAGGTTCACCTAACATAATGACGGGATTAGGATAAATGCAAACATAAATTATTTATTCATCATGTTAAATATTTTAACCTTAACACGACACGAAATTAAACATATTATAAAACACAATTCTGAAAAGCTTTATGACCAATAAAAGATGGTTACGGATTTGCTAGAAAGCAAAGAATATGCAAATATCTAATACGAATCATTTAAACTACTGCATTGGTATTGTACATTTAAATGACTTAATCTTTAGTATCTAATTCTAAAAAAACTACAAACATGATCTGACAGCGTTAGGATTTTAAGATCCATTTTAAAAAAAAAAGAACAAACATGCAAACTGTAATAAAATAGATTGGGCGTAACTCACTCGCTAAAAATTAGTTCACGAGAAGGATAATTATCAAAGTCATATATTTTGACTAAACCAAATATGGGATAACACAAACCTACAGTCTCCTGCTCAAAACCCCATCCGTACTGGTGGTGCTTTCCAGGTTTAAACTCCACTACCTTTATTGGTGAGGATATATTTATAATATGATTGGAATTATTAATGATAACATTTGATAATGTAATTGCTGGAGAATTTATATTTGAAATGCATATATTATATTATTTATATGTACATTATAGCCTTTGAGAAAAAAACACATAACCAACCAACACAGGACCGACAAGCACGTGACTTATAACAAAATAACAGATAAGCAACCGAAAGGAATCAGACAAACATGAAAGTTGAAAAATAACAGACAAATAACAAAACAATGTATAGACAGAAAACAGAAAAATGAGGAAGAAAAGAAAAGAGCATTACCTAAGATTCTTTTATGGAATGATGGATCATCAGCAAAGCCAAAAAATTGGGTCAAGCCTATTCAATTTAGCTTTAATATGAAGCCCATGGACAAAGAACATATGAAACATGGACACGAAGTCTACAAGATTATTGTTAAACAAAAGATAAGATGTAAGAGAAATATCAAGGGAAATTATTTCTTTTTTTATTTGGAAAGAGTGTGAAAAAATATCAAAGAAAGAAAAATATTCACTATTTTCCTTCCGGCCAAACATAATTAAGATCTCTCCAAATGGGAGAAAAAACTATGAGTGAATTAAGACAATGTATTGCTCAATGTAAAATAGCTTTCATTAATTTCCTTACTCTATGATTTTCTTTCATCTCTTTTCCAAACAAAACCTAAGTTAATTATAAACGTATCCACTTGTGCCATGCTGTGTCGCAGAAGCCTCCAATACTAATATATATTCAAGATTGAAGTGATGAAGCTTCTCCCTCAGTCTGTGTGAGGGGGAGGGGAGGGGAAGACAGGTGCGAAAAAGGCAAGCTGTTAGCAGATTTTTGTATTAGATGAATAGATTTTATCAACTAGTTACACCTACAGGTGATATACATAGTTGTCACCCTTATCACATTGATCCCCCAGGCTCACCCATTCTCTCAACAACAAAGTTAAGAGTAAAAGATTGGCAGAGGCACAAGGGGTAAGAATTGTAAAAGAACCTAGGACTTTACAGGCTTTCTACATTCTGCTCAGAAAGACAAATTAAAAAAAAAAAAAAAAAAAAAAAAAAAAAAAAAAAAAAAAAAAAAAAAAAAAAAAAAAAAAAAAAAAAAAAAAGAAGGAGACAGTTGTAAAAAGAACTAGCTAACGCCATCACCTCGGAAGCAGCTGTGCCAAAAAAAAAAAAAAAAAAAAGAAGAGACAGTGTAAAAAGAACTAGCTAACGCATCACCTCGGAAGCAGCTGTGCCACACTTTGATTACTATCGAGTTGAATAGATGTTCCGGGAGGATTGCTTTCAAATGATAACAGCTTTCCCTTTTTCTTTTGGGAGGATGATGTGTCATCTGAACTACCACCACCTACTGAGTGCTGAGAGGTATTAGTCCTGTGCACTCCTGGTTCTGTTAGTGCTTTCTCGTTAAGGTTAACTTTCTTGGAAATCATCTCCACTACTTGCTTCATGGTGGGTCTTTGGTGTGCAGCTGCTTGTGTGCAAAAGAGTGCAACCTTAATGAAGCGCATTACTTCCTCTTCTGGATATGCGACCAGTTCGGGATCAACTAAAGCTAGAAGCCTTTTTTCCTTCCACAATTTCCATGTCTACATCAACATACAACTTCAAATCAGCACATAATTAACTGTGCAAAAGAAGGCATTGCAAACCATCAGTCTGATCCTAGTACATCACAAAGAATTAGGGAACATTTCCCTGGTTGAAGTGCAATGCCATTATATTAATAGTATAGTAAGTATAGTTATAGAAGTTTGTTCAAGTTAAACCCAGTCTCCTCTCCTCTATTCCCTGCATCCATTCGCAGAAAAATCTCCTTCATACAGAAAGACCAACAAATAAAAATAGCAAGACATTCAGAAAACTGAACTACATACTGAATGAAAAGCTAAATTGACATAATATTGTTTAATTTCTAGACTATTTTAGAATGTTTCATGATTTGACCATTTTGCTGAATGCTTGAGTAGCATGCTGATATTACTTTTTCTGTTGGCCATTAAAGCAATCAAACTAGGGACACCATGAACAGCCCCTAACTTAAAGAGCCAATGATGCTCATTGAAGCTAATAAAAGAAAAAATCGAGGTGTTTCTTTTAATGTGCACTTTTTCTTGTTTCTTAAGTTAACATGGAAAACAAAAATAGCATGAATATGATTTAACGCAACTGATGAAACAAGTTTAAAACAATACCCATTCAATCAGAACCAGCAAATCTATCCCAAATGCTGCCTTGCTGCTACTTCTCCCACTGATTATTTCAAGTATGAGTACACCAAAACTATATACATCAGCCTTTTTGGTAAGCTGTCCCAGTAGGGCATATTCTGGGGCCAGATATCCCCTGCAAAACATAAAAAATTATGAGTGACAGTAAAAGGCAAGAAGAAAGTAGAATAGGTGGAAGGGAGACAATGAGTTTATACAGAACTAAACACATAATTGTATAGCAGGGAATAACATCATGAAGAAATCTCTTTGTTTGCAAAAGTAACAAAATTTAGCACTAAATCCTTTAGAGAGAGGATAAAGTAGCTAATTTGGCAAGCCTAGTAACTTTTTCTCACCAAATTTGAAGATAGTGAGAAGTAGAGGCAGCTGATACATAAATGAAATGCTAAAATAAGTAAGCTCACACTGTTCCAGCCACTCGAGTAGTAACATGAGTGACATTATCTGGAAAAAGTTTTGCCAGTCCAAAATCCCCTATTTTTGGCTGTAAGTTTCTGTCAAGAAGTATATTACTAGCCTTAATATCCCTGTGGACAATGGGTGGCTCAATTTCCTCGTGAAGAAATGCTAGACCCGTTGCTGTACCAAGGCAAATAGCGGCTCTCTTAGACCAGTCCATAGCAATATGTTTACCTTTTGAACCTGCCATAGTTGTTGCTGGAAATTAACATACTCGAAAACCAACAAATACACACTTGGAGAAAGATAGAGAACATCATCATTATTGCAAAATCAGGTGCAGCATGTGGTTCAGCACCTGAATACAGTCAAGAGTCAACCCCAGCAGTTTAGTAACAATATTTCAATTTAACAACATTTTAAGGCATAAAGCCAAGCATACAGTGTTAGAAAACTCCATTACAGCATACTAAAAGTGATATTTATAACTTCTGAAATTCACTCAAAGATACATATATATACAGGTTTGTGCCCAGATTGGGAAAATATAGAACTTATCTGTAGTCACAAATAGTTCAAAAAGAATGGATGATAAATAATCTTATCTATTTCATTTCTTGAATTCCACAACTGAACATAATATTAGATAAATGTATCAATAACCACCTCCCCACAAAAAAAAAAAAAAAAAAAAAAAAAAAAAAAAAAAAAAATGTATCAATAAAACCAACCTCCCCACAAAAAAAAAAAAAAAAAAAAAAAAAAAAAAAAAAGACCATAAGGAGTTATTTAATTAGGCACAACATTTTTTATTGATATTTCAAAAAATTTTGGCATTTACCACTAAGTAAAAAGTTAGAAAAAAAAAAAAAAAAAAAAAAAAAAAAAAAAAAAAAAGACCAAAGAGTTATTTAATAGGCACAACATTTTATGATATTTCAAAATTTTGGCATTTACCACTAAGTAAAGAAGTAGCCAGACTATTATTCTCCAGGTATTCATATACCAGTATTCGGTTACTGCCCTCAACACAGCAGCCAATGAGCTCAACAAGATTCGGGTGATGTATATTTGATATAATCTTGATCTCTGTCATGAACTCGTGCTTTCCCTGTTTAGATTCTGCAGAAAGACACTTAATTGCTACTTGAGTACCATCTCTCAACACTCCCTGGAATTATCAATTCAAAAAGTTGTGTCAGCACTAACTGCAAAAAGTGAGATTATGGACACTTGCATTCCAAGAGGAATCAACTAATATCTTCTCCATCTATTCCCGGTTTTTAACCCATCTCGTCCCAAGAAAGGATAATATAACGAGCATCTTAGTCAACCAATATAAGTTATGTCTGAAACATTAGAACAACTGCAACTAAAATAATATGACCAGTACAGATGTTAATCAGTCTCCCCTTCCCCATGAGGCTACAGATGCTATAAATACAACTACAAATGAGTAATGGATATTTGACTCACCCTATAGACAACTCCAAAACCACCTCCACCAATTCTGTATGATGGATGGAAATTCTCTGTTGCTGATCTTAATGAATTATAAGAGAACACCCTCACATTGTTGGTGGCAAGTTCTAGCCATGAATAAATGAAACACACAAGCAAGTAAGAACACTGTGAGGCAAAGTAACCCAATAGCAGAGATCCAATATCAATTAAAAGGAAGCAGCTGGCAGCATTCCATTTTCTAAAGGCATCCAACATAGGAAAAACAATATATAGATTTAACATGGAAACAAATCTTGGCAGTCATACACCCAATTACTTGGATATGTTGCACATTTTCATAATTTTTAGGTTGGCAATAAAAGGATTTTGACATATCCAGAATTGGGCCATAGTTTGTCCCACAAATTAGAAAAGTTCAACCGCTGGTCCAACAGGTTTTTTTTGACATTTGTGCTAAACTTGACAGAATTGACTGTCATTTGTCCACAGAAAACAATCTACAGACAGTTTGAATACAGCCAGCTGGAGAACATCCCTTCAATGATGGTTTGAGAACAATTATCCCTAAAATTTGATTCTAAACCAATACAGTTCAATGCATCACCAAGCTCCACATAGAACAAGCCCTATAATCAATTATTCAAAGTAACAACTTCCATTACTAGAATGGTGATTAAATAAACCTATCTAGTAAAAGCAGCTAGAGTCACTAGTAACTTGATCCAACACACAAGTCAATCTATTTCCATTTATATCTAGATCAGCAAAGATTATCTTGAGCCAGGTAGCATGATAAGGGAAACCTGGCTTTATACTGTGTTTGTTACCTCCAGTTTCTAATAGTTTGCATTAAGAAAGTAATCAGGAACCCCAATAAACAAGAATAACACCTGCATCATTTCTAGATATTGCATTATACCATAGAATACATTCAACCGCTTCTCTTCCTAATCCATAATCCATAATCCAGAAAAATCTAAAATATGACCTAGAACCCTTGGAGAGTATAATCAAGGACGAGTCTAACAACATGAATTAGTCTATTATTACACTTATACTTTCATCAAACAATTTAAATTTTCAAATTATCAAAAAAAAAAAAAAAAAAAGAAGAATAGAGGAGCTTCTTACCTTCTGGCCGTTGTTGGTCGTGACTACTAGTCCTTTTACACCAATTTGATAAACCAAAGCAGGTAAAGCTCATTGCAAACCAGAATCCCTTATCTACACAGCAAAACCCTCAATCCATATCTATTCTTCAATCCTGAATTTATCCCATAATCACCATAAAAACCATAAGCAAAGTAAAAAAAGTACTCGAAAATAAAAGAGTCTCTTTTGTGTTGTATATCATTATCATATATAGACTAACAGCGCCATATATATAATTGCAGTGTCGGTAACTGTCAAGATCATAGCCAACTCAAAAACCCAAGAAAAACAATAATTTAAAAATTAATTACAATAATACCCAATAATAAATACACAAAAAGCAGTAAACAACTGAATATAAATAAGAACATGATTTAATAACTTCAAGTCTACAACCACCATCAATCATCTACCACCACCAAGTATAGAAAAGTCAAAAAGCAGAAAAAAAAAAATGTATTTCGCATTATAAAACAGGGAATTAGCATTAGAAATTACTGTCTAAATTAGAATAACCCGTGCCGTGAGAACGCAGAAGTTATTGAAATGGCGAGGGCTGAAATGGCGATGTATAGTACTTAGAGAAGGAACGCGAAATGTCAAAAAAGCGAATAGGGAAAGAGAAACAGTAAAGGATTGGAGAAAAACAGGTAGAACTAAGTGGGTTGTTCATCGCCTTTTGATTTATAAGTTTTCTTTTTAAGGAGGAAATGGTGGGAGAGAGAAATTGACAGGGAAAAATGGGCGTAAAGTAGAAGGTGAAATGATAGTGACTGCTTGGGTTTGCTTTGGCGCTATGCCCTCTCATGAAAGTAATTACAAGCTACTGTTAGCCGTTTTCAGTTGTTGTGCCGTTCAATTAGCCTTTGCACTACGCCGTTTTTAAAGGCTGGGATATCTCCTGAATGTGTCTCACATGGCATCATTAGACAGCGCTGACCAATCACTAATTACTAAAAAAAATTCAGTACTAAGATAATAAAATTTAAAAAAAAAATCTAAAATCACCCGGGGAATCTCTAATTAACTTTGACTCTTGACCCGATAAGAAGGTTTCCTTTCCAAATCTGATTCAGACTTGAAGTTGCAAGTTTCTAAATTGTTATTTTATGCGTAAAATACTTTTTCTAGAAGATCCATTGAATTCATTTGTGATATGTACGTGTCACTCTCGTAGAATTTGTCTCGCGTGATCTGCTTGTCTTGATTTAACTTCTCACGTCTTATATAAAGGGATCAAAATGTAATATATATTTTAAAGTATTTATTTCATTTAGTGACTATAATTGATTGTTCTTCTCACATCTTGCATAGGAATGAAAATGTAACGTGTATTTTAGAGTGTTTGTCTCCCTTTGATGCATTTAAGGGAAATATAGATAGTTATTAAAGTATTTGAAACACTAGTAGTAAAATTATTAGATACGCAATAATATATGCGTATTAACTTTTGAGTGTATGCCTGCTTTGTGATTTATTAGTGAATAATATATTTTAAATAAATTCTAGTTTAGATAATTTAAAATATAAAGATATGTACCTCTTTTAAAGAGTAAATAATACTTTAAATGAGTTTGAGATATGTCTAGATAGTAAAATTTTAAAAAATTGGGATGCTGGTAAATATTTTAATAGATTTAAAATAAATACAAATAGTAATAATTTTAAACGGATATGGATACAAATAGTAGCTCAAAATTCCAGATATTCATCCCATAAATATTATCACCAATTTAGTAATAAATGTTAATATATCGGTTTTCATAATATTTGTTATATTTGAAAAAATAATTTGTTTTAAAATACTTGTCATATTTGTGGTTTAAGGAGTTAATAAATATATTTTTCATGTTTACTCTTTGTACATGACCAATAATTATTACTTCAATAATTTGTTTTAAAATACTTGTCATATTTGTGGTTTAAGGAGTTTAATAAATATATGTTTTAAAATACTTGTCATATTTGTGGTTTAAGGAGTTAATAAATATATTTTTCATGTTTACTCTTTGTACATGACCAATAATTATTACTTCAATTTAATGATTTTTTTAGAGAATTAATATTAAATTAATGGTAACATAGTCGATTTAATTAACAATTTAATGATTTTCTTAAAGGATGTAAAATTTGAGATATGACAAATATTATGGAGTGCTATCCACTGATAAAATTATTTAGTTGATTGGACTTCTCATGAATTACTTCATCTATCCCTATTTAAGTTTTTCCGTAAGGATTAAACAAGCAATTAATTCTTCTGGATTATAATAAATTCAAGGATAATTTGACCAAATTATCATTTATCTCAAAATTGATAGTTGGTTGTGAAGTATTTATTATATTTAGCGTGAACAAGATCAATATTAAAAAAAATATTATTTATTATTTTTTAAAATACACAAAACGACCTATATTTTGAGAAAAAATAATAAATTAAAAATAACTTATACTTTAAGAGAGAGAGAGAGAGAGAGAGAGAGAGAGGGGAAATAAAACAAAACAAAACAGTGGCGGCTGCGAAATTCCGTCCCTACTTGGGTCAACTAAGCTAGTCATGGCACATAAATTCATAATTCCCTATAAAAAATGAAAAATTGCATATTGAAATATAATAATAGTAATAATAATAAACTTATTTTATTTGCATAGACTAGAATTAGACCTTGAATGTTAGACAATAAAAATAAAAAAATAAAAAATAAAAAAGAAATTAGAAGCAAAATTCAACATATGAACTTATAGATTCTACATCGAATATTTAAAAATGGTTGGTCTTAGGTTTGTAAGCGCTGGCGGCTGGACAATGAACATTCTAGTAGATTAATACATTAATTCCACGTATCCAAATATCGGACAGGTAAACAATGAGGTTGCAAACTTATAAGCATAAATTTTACACAACCTAATATATTAATTGTTGTGAAGAGATGATAATAGCAATCACTATAATTTTTTTTTTTAAAATTACCTGTATCCGGATTTTATCATAAGAGTGGCCCTTCATCTCTCTTTATATATATGTTTAGTGGGAGTTAAATTCGAAAGTTTTTTTCACATATTCAGTTTACATTGTCAATTGAGCCCGTAGGTTAACAAGGACTCTAATCTTTAACCCTTACCCAGTTTTGTAAGTCATCCGGTTGATGATGACCTGAAACTTGTTTTCAAATCAATTTAACAAATGGACCTATATTTATGTCTTGCCCAATTTTTGGTTAAATTGTTAAACTGAATTTCTATCTTAATTAACATATTTAAGAGTTTTGGTAGAAAAGTAGCTTTCTGTCTTACTATATTTTACAATATCTGTTTGCTATCAGCATTTCTTGTGTGACTTTTGGAGATAAATTAGACTCAAGCGCGTTGCTTGTTGTGATCAAGTAACAGATACGAGGAAGCATTTGACAAAGTCTTTTTTTTTTTTTTTTTTTTTTTTTTATTTTTAGGGTTTCCTACACGACTATGAATTTTTTTTTTTTTTTTTTTTTTTTAGGGTTTTCCTAACGACTAATGATTATTATTAACACACTGGTTAAAAATCACAAGCATCAATTTATTGGATAATTTCCGATAAATTTTTCAATTTTAACTGCTCTTTAAATTCTCAATTGCTTAATCACTGACATCAATCACATAACTAGAATTAATCCGAATGGGATAGCTCAGTGATAAAAAATACTTGCAGAATGATCATCATGACTTAAAGTTATTAGTTCAATCATCCGCAATAAAAATTCCCCTGAGCCAGCCTCTTTGCTTTAGAGGGCGAGCTGAAATTAATTAGATTTGTAAACCGTTAAAATGGATACGGGCCTGAATTTCTCGTGCAAATATAAAAAAAAATAATGTAAATCAAAATTATCGCTATTGATCTCATGACTATACTCTTTCTAATGACTACATATCCTTCTTTTTATATTTTTTTTTTATGTTTTAATTAGTTTTTACTGGAATTTCTTTCAAGTTCATGGTATATTCATAACATTTTTAAACAAATCATTAGGTTTGGCGTGTTTACTGTTAGCCTGAGAGTATTTTATAAATATTGAGCTTTTAAATAAAGACATATAATTAAACTTTTAAAAAATGTAAACCTAAAGTTATTTTTTAAAAAAATTTATTTGTTGATTTTAGAATTTTCATTATGATGAAAATTTTATCTTCATATTTATCTTTAATTATAAAATTTTTGAAATTTTATCATAATTTATTTATTTTTTTTTATTAAATGAATAATAAAATAGTAGTGGATAATAATACCCCCATTCTATAATACTTATCACGTTGAGAAAATAATTTATTTTAAAATATTTGTCACATTTGTGGTTTTAATGAGTAATAATCTATATTTACCCTTTATATATGATTAATAATTTGACTATTTCAATTTAATAAATTTTTTTAGATAATTAGTATTAAATTAATAATAATAATATAATCAATTTAATCAATAATTTATTATAATTTAAATTTAATATTATAATTTATATTAAAATTTAATATTTTTTTTAAAAAAATATGAAAATTTCTTAAAATTATAATAAATACTAGGGAATAAGCTATTCCCGTGTGTGAACTTATACATGTTCCCATACTTGCGACACCGCACTATCCACTCCCAGCCCCAGCAAAAAATTGTCGAAGCGCCGAGCAAAAGGTTCTTAAAGATGGAGCCCAACTTAAGGCGATAAATTTAATATTTTTTTAAAAAAATATGAAATTTTAAATATAATAAATACTAGGGAATAAAGCTATTCCCGTTTGAACTTATACATGTTCCCATACTTGGCGACACGCACTATCCACTCCAGCCAGCAAAATTGTCGAAGGCCGAGCAAAGGTTCTTAAATGGAGCCCAACTAAGGCGAATAGAGCGAACAAGGAAAAATTATAATATAATTTATATAGTTTGTAAAAATACAATTAATTTATTTTTATTTTTTAAAATATATTATTTTTTATATTTTACTGATTTTATATTATTAGGTCTTTTTGTACATCTTTTCCTTTTAAGTCAGGAAGGAAAATAAAAAATATTAAAATATTATATTAAAAATTACAATATGTTTTCTGTGATTTAAAAAATATAATAAATTCATCTTTATATTTTTTAAAATAAAATGAATATTTTCGTAATTTTTTCAAATAAAACCATACTTAGAAATGGCCAAACTAAACATTCACTCCTCTAAAATTACCGTAATATATATTTTAATCCTTTATTATAAATTATACAACATTTTAATATATCCTCAAAGTTTTAAATTAACTGCAATATAGTTTTTAAATTATTAATTTTCAAAATATTTTAGTTCCTTAAAATCTTTTGTTTTTGAACTTTTTGTTTTTTGCTTTCCTTTTCTTTTTGAACATTTTAGTTCCTTAAAATCTTAACAAGTCAAAATCTCATTTTTTCTTTATCGATGATAGTACAAGAACTAAAATTATTAATTTTATTACAAAAGGCACCAAGTGTATATTAAGGGTAACCTTAATTATTTTTTCAATTACCCTTATTTAAATTTAATTGGATTGAACTGATCAAAGAATCGAGTCAAACCTCCTGTACCTTTCTATGGCACCTGTGCTTATGAGCAATCACAAAGTCAAATATACAAATTCATAAACAAAACTCTATTTCAGCAATAAATTTTCAAACATGTATATAAGCTGAAGGAGCTCTTCAGAGAAGTTTTAAGCGGTACAAAAACTAACTAATACACCGGAACAGTTGAAGAGATGATCCAGAGAATTGGTTCATAAAATATTTCCAACAGACTGGTTCCAATAATATATTAAAGGATTTTTCAGATATGCAGGCACCTGAATTTCTTCAAACTGTTTTCAAGGAATAGTAAATTCCTTGCCTACTATCACCTTCAGATGAAAGTGCCTCTTAAATATTGAGCTAAATGAGGTTCTAAGCATAAATATAGTAGGTGGGGACAATTTTAGGCAAATGCAGAATCAATTTCAATTTGGCTTTTATTGTCCCATTAATATGATCGCTTACCCTGCTGGCTCGGAGGCAACAAATTTCATATCTCACTTCCAAATTCTTTGTCTTCCATTTCTATAGCATCAATAGAAAAGGAGCTATTGTTGACACTTGGCTCAGAGCTAGCATTGCTGCTTGTGGCATGAGGAGAATCCAAACCACTATATGTCTTGCTTTTTGCAGACCCTCCTGACCTCACACTATACACAGAGGAAGCAGGAATGCTGGTAAGTGGGCGTAGATTACCCGAAATGCTTCTCCTTATATCCTGCTCAAGAGAGAAACCCAAATCAGTATGGATATATATGAACAAGACAACTCAGTTACCTACCATAAGCGAGCAAATATTAGAATAACGCCCAAGTAAGCCTCTCTAACCACATATAACAAAAATATTAATCATTCTACGATAATACAGGGAGCAGAGACGTTCTCAAGGAAATTAGAGGATCCGAATCCGAAGCAATCACCTTTTTCAACTTGGAAACAACTAATGGTTAACTTGGGATTTGTTTAACATGATATTCAGTACAACAAGGAAAAGATGCATACCATATGCCTCAAAGCCATATCCAGAGATTTCTTTGAGAGTGTTCTACCAAAGCCTGTGCCATCAAGGGAAGATGACTTCCCAGTGGAATTATTATGGGTAGAGTGGTCATCTTGCTTTGGTGGTACCAGCTTCCTCATATTTACTACTCTTTCAACCATTTTTGTTCCCATGAGTACTGGGCTCACATCATCACCACTACTAGTTTGTGTTCTGCTCTTGGTGGGAATGGAGATTCGCCTACCATTTGAAGCCCTTCCTCTAGCAGGAGAGCATGATTGTTGTCTTGGTCTACCTTTAGAACCAGCCTCAATCGACGATGATTGAGCAATTGCACCACCAGGCCTACCCCTTGAGGCGGAAGCTGGCCTTTCTGGCAACAATGTTCTTAAATTTGGTGGAGCATCCAGAGAGTACCCAGGCATCTCATTAGGTTTCCAAGGCCGAGACTTTACAGTAGGAGAACAGCCACGTGATGGTACTGGATTTTTCAATGTAGCCGGAACAGACTTTGTCACTGACGAGGACCTACCACCAGGAGGAGCAGCCACATTGGCTGCACCTGAAGGGGCTGACATTTGGCGGGTCGGAGTTGCTGATCTTGACTTTGACTTTGAAGGTGGTAATGAAGGTCTGGAAACCGGAGTTGAAGAGCGTGCAGATGTTTTAGTAGGAGTTGAAGATCTCACTGTAGGACCAGCAGGCTTACTCGAAGGCAAGGTGGCCCTAGAAGTAGGAGTGGAAGGTCTTGCAGGCTTACCACTAGTTGTTAAAGTGGACCGCCCCGTTGGTGTTGCAGGTCTAGCAGCAGTTGTTGGTCCCCCAGATGATGAGGGCCTTCTGTTAGCGGCATTTGAAGAGTTTACTCCTGATTGCATAGTTGTCCGCTTTGAAGCTACATTAGTCCTTGAAGCAGGTTCTTCTTGTATATTTGTCAGCTGCAGCACCAATTCCATGTGAATTTTCATGTAACATGATAAAACATGCTAGATTGTCCTAAAGAGTAAAGAGAAGAGAATGTTGCGGGGTGCGAGCTAAAAGAGGTACTTGAAATGGAGGGAAGAGAAAATCAATGCAGAGGATCACAACAAGTGTCTAAGCCTTGAAAGCATCTGAAATTATGCAGTCCTTACCCTTGACTTTAGAGCAGTGGGACGAGCATTAGACATCCCAATCTGACTCATTATAGTTTTCTGTGATTCCATCTCCAAAGAAGGAAAAAGTGGAGTCCCAGGTGGTGTAAGAAGCCTGAATGCAGGAGATCTCTTATTAATACTCAGCCAAATACATCTTCTACCAGACCAAATTACTATAATTAATACCAATTTGGCATATAGCAAATCCATAGACCATGCCAAATGTATCTGCTTTGTATGAATGTTCATAATCTGTGACAGCATAATTAAACTCAGAAACTATTGGCATCACTGGCCAATCAAAGCTCTACCAAGAAATTTGCAAAAACTTGTTCTAGGAAAATATTTCGCTAATAATGGGCATGAAATTTGCAATTAATTTCCAATTTATGCCGTTCCTTCTTTAAGAAAAATGTGTGTATATATATATATATATATATATTGATCCAAACAAACATAATTCTCTATTCACTAAAGCCTGATTGCAATCAACCGCAAGAAATAGCTTATATAAACTACTGAGTAATTTTATATTACTTCAATTGGTCTCCAAAAATTTTAGCTCCTCTTCAAATATTTAACTAAGCAACCATCATTAGACATATTTAACTGGAAAATACACAAATTCATATTACCAATTCAAAAAGATAATCAGTAACTTTACCAATCATAATCAGATTTATCATTCTCTGAATCCAAAAATTTCTCAGCAGCTGTCTTTCTGGCCGGCACAGAGGCAACTATCTTAGATATCGGCGAACCAAGACGATTATTGGTTCCTGAAAAATACAATATCAGTTAAATATATCTGATCTCAATTTTAATAGCAAATTCAAATTTAAAAAACGACGCCGGCGCTTTCTCACCCGAAGAGGCATCAACACCATTGCTGTTGCTGCTGCTGTTGTTGTTGTTATCGTTGTAAAGAAGAAAAAGGTTAGTTTTATCCTTCTCTCGTCTCCGCATCTCGAGAAAAAGCGCCAACTCTTCATCTTTCTCTTTCGTCACCATCTTGAAGCTTCCTTGCTTATAATATATGTATATTCCAAGCTCTTCTCTGTTGTAAAGCTAATCAAGGATCATCAGATACTGCTTTCCTTTCCAAATACAGAGCTATATATATAGATCTGAAAATCCAACATTAAACAAAGAAAAACACTGTAAATAGAGAGAAGCATGAATCGTTTGAATATCTGAAAAATATAATCTGTGCTAGGAAAGAAATAGCCTTACTCGACGCAGTTTTGTTGTCAGAGAAATGGAGATGGATTAATTGGAAAAGAAGACGAAATGAGAAAGTGAAATGTTTAAATTGTGATATTGAAGTCAGAGAGAGAATGGAGGGGGAAAAGCAGGTGAAGTTCAGGTATGGCGTTTTTGTCTTCGCTGTTGATACCTTTGACGAAAGGCGCTTTCTCTCCCGTTAGTATTCGGAATTTTTTGGTTTTTTTTTAAATAATACTAACAAATAAGGCAGACATTGGAGGATTTTTCAAACCGTTGTGTAAATGTCTATGAAACAAGAGATAATCACGAATATGCCATTACTAAACGATTTTACGTGAGATTTTTCAATTATATTTTATTATTTCTTGATTTTGCAAAAAATTAATGACATAAAAAATATTAATGTTTTGGTTAATAAGGACTTAATTTCATATATAAATAAAATCTCAGTTAATTTAATTATTTATTAATTTTGCAACAAAATGTTTATATCACAAATATCAAAAAAATATTCCTCAATTTTGCAATAACCAATTTTTAAATTAGTCAATTATCACTTCTTTTTAATGATAACCATAATTTTTTGTTATTTTAAATGTTTCAATTTTTTATGATATATATATATATATCCTCTACTTCAAATTGTTGCAAATAACCAATTTTTAAAGTTTAGTTCAGATTATGCACTTCTTGTTTAATGATAACCATGAATGTTTTTGTGTATTTTAAATGTTTCAAATTTTTTATGATATAGATATACTGATATAGGTATTATTATTATTTTTTACATTTTTCTTTTTGAAAGTATTTATGTGAATGTGATTTAAGTCTAGTCATAACATGTAAGTAAATCTTTTAAGACAGGATTTGATAATTTGGAAAATATAATTTAAAAGAATTTTTAATTTTGAGATATATTAAATGTAAATATATATGTATATTTTTTCTTAGGAGTATATTTTCTGGTGTGTGATTGACTATTTAATGATATATCAGGTTTATATTAATAAAGAAAAGCTATTCTTGAATGTTAACTTGATTTATTAATTTTTCATTATTATTTTACAATGAAAAGATTAATTATATTAGATATAGAGTATATGTATTTAATTTATTTTATGAGAGTGTTAAATATAGTTATTTTCTCTGTTCGTTCCTTATATAATTCTCCCTAACTTTTTTTTTTTCATGTTATAGATTGATAGGAATTTTTTTGCGTTATGTGCCTTATAGGATATACTTTGTTTGAATTCACAGTGTGTAGGTAAATGAAATCAATGTGTATGACTTGATGGTTGTTTTGTTTGTGTTTGTTTTATTTGGGTTATGTAAATAGATAGCGCATCTTATAAGGTATACTGGATTGCCTTAATCTGGGCGATTGTGCACGCATTCATTGGTTGTTATGATGGTTTGAGAGCTAAGTTACAAAATTTTTCATTGATTGTTAACAGATTTTTTTTTTTTGTAATGTGTGTAGCAATAAGTGTTTTTCTTTTTATTTATTAAATATCCAATAAAAAACTTGAACAATTTGGTCAAACATTTATAATCCGGTATTCATATCGTGGTCTTTCTTTTCATATACACTGCTATCCCTATACTTCAGAATAATTGCTATATATATATATATATATATAACATTTTTTCTTTTAAATATTTATGTGAATTAATTTATCTACAAAACAGTATAAATCTTTTAAACAATGAAAATTTTTGGAAAAATATAATTTAAAAATTTTAATTTTGAATAAAAAGTAAAAAATTATATTTTCTTAGAGATATATCGGATTGACTATTTAATATAATACATTATATTAAAAAAGAAAAGCATTCTGAATTTACTTATTTATTAATTTTCATTATATTACAAGAAAAAGAAATTATATAGATATAAATATAGATTAATTATTTTAGAATGCAAAAATATTATTTCCTCTGTCCAATAATTCTCCCTACTTTTTTTTTTCATGTTATAAGGTTGAAGATAATTTTGCGTATTATGCCTATAAAACTTTGTTTGATTCACATTAGGAATGAAACAAATGTGAGACTTGAGGGTTTTTTTTTGTTTTTTATGGTAGTAAAAGATACCACTATTAATTGAACTATTGCTCTAACGGGCATGCACCATCATTGTTGTATGATGTGAGAGCTAAGACAAAATTTCATATGAAGATTTTTTTTTGTATGAGCAAAATTTTCTTTTATTATTAAAATCCAAAAAAAAACTTAACATTGTCAAACATCTAAATCCGGATCATCGGGTCTTCTCAATACACTCATCCTAACTCAGAAATGCTAAGTGAAAAAATCCAGTAAACTATACATCATTTTAAAGTCATTTCTTGAGATAGGAAAAGGAAAAAAGAATAAATAAAGAAAAAAATATCATATAATCTTAGCAGTAAAAATCAAATCTAAGCAATAAAAGATATTGTCACATCTACACCTTTCAGCAAAATGGTTCTCTCTCAAATCACAGATGAAATGAGATATTACCCGTGAATTCTAATATCACATAAAATTTATTGAAATGTTCTCACCACTTTCAAGGATGTTTGTCCCTTTCAGATACCTAATATATAGTATTTTTCGAATATAAAGAATATTGAAGAATATAAAAAGCCTAATCCTTGAGGCGAAACATAACTAGCTAATCACTTTATACAAAAATTAGTTTTTTGAAAATTGTATAATTTTTTAGAGGGACTAATTCAAATAAATAAATAAAAACTACCAAAGCAACGGACACAACCAACCAACATCAATAGGAGGATCCATATCGCCGTTTAAAACATTTATAACTATAAATTTCACTTTCTATCCTGAGACTTAGGTTTTTACCAATGAATTTTAGGTGGGGTTGATAGAACCAATGTCCTTAGATAATTTCAATTTTATTTTTAATATTATTAAATGTGAACCTTTTTCTTATAAAAATTTTTACATTTGGTCCCTCTAAATAAGTTTAAATCTATAATTTTATCTTTTTGGACCCAAAAATTGCATTCTAATCCTAATCTAAATTGAATTTTGAGGTGTAAAAACTATCGAACAAGTGAAGCATGTGAAATTGTAAATACATAATGACAACAAGCTATAGATTTGGAGGTATTTCTATGTATTAGGCAGAGTTTAATTGGTGGCACTTTGAATTTGAATTTTAATAGGATTTGAATTGAGTATATAATAATTTTGTGGAATAAAAATGTAAATTTTATAATAAATTTCTATGCTTCCTAATCCTGCCAAGTAAACATCAATGAGTTACTTCAAATGTTACATGCAATCCAGACGTGTCAAACAAATTTTATTATTTTTTCTTAAAGGTTCGAGGGTAAATATATGTAACTTCGTTTAAAAATAATATATGCAAACTAAGACAGAGTTTAGTGGTAAATATATGTATGACCTGACGATAGAGTATAAACCTTTTCTCAAAAGAAAGTCAACCTTGTGATGTAAAAAACAAAATTGATATGAGGAAAGTAAATAAAAGTCTTAGAAATAAGGGAGAGCTAAAGATAATTAAAAAAAAAAAAACGATAAAAGAGAGGACATTTTCTTTATTTTATTTTGGTAGTACAGTACAAAAGGTTGAAATTACATATCGTAGCTATAATTAAAAATATTTTACGTAAAAAAAATCTTAATTATAAAGGACAGAAGATAATTGTAATTTGCAAAGAAGATTTTTTTTTTTAATCTTGTATTAAAAAATAAGTATAAATTGACTCACAAATAATAACTGAAATAATAAATCACACTTCATTACTCTTAATCATGTACGGCACTTAAGCCAGTTGATCAGCATTAAGAAAATCTTCAATATCAATTACTATTTTATTTTTTTTTATGAAAAAGATTATTCTCCCCATCGTCCAATTGCTGGGCACATTTTTCTTTTTCGTTAATCCTAAATTATAGCCAATTTACCATTTTAATGAACTAATTAAACGGTAAATCCATATTATACCCACTATTTAATATTACTTGTTAAAAATAAAATTTTCATCAATTACTCTTTATTTTTCAATGTCATTATTTATTGACAATCACTTTGAAAATTTAAAAGTATTTAATAAATTTAACCATTTTAATACATATTAATTAATCTTGATTGATACAAAAAGTTAATAATATATTAGCTAGTATATATCATATAAAAATAAAAATATAATAAAAATATATATGCAACATTTTCATTAAAATAACTAATTACAATCTATAGGGAGCCATGTAAAAAAAAAAAAAAAATCTACAGGGAGCCAAGCACGGAGGAGGGCAACATTGTAGTTAAATCACAAAAGAAGTGCAGTTTGAATGGAATGGCATTGGCATTCGCGGGGGAAAACATTGTTATCCTGGGGCACATGCAGGGAATCTGAGGCTTGACTAATATAGCTTACAAACGCAATAGTAATAACCTGTGAGTGCATTCAAAATTGATATTTAAACGTGGGCTGTTGGATTTCTCGAGATTTGTCAGCCTTTAATCTGACGGTCATTATTTGTGACTTAGAAAATCAAGACCAGAGTTTGAATCCCCTGGAAGTGGGCCGCCCCTCGTGAATCGCGCGGTTTTTAACCGGTGTCCGATTCTGCTTTTGCGGGACCCACTTTCTGCCTTTGGTTTCAATCTCAATGTTCAATCAGTTGTATGATCAACTCTCCACCCAATCAATACTCATCTTGAAGAGTAGTATTTTTTAAAAGTTTTTTTCTTCTTTCCTTCTTAAATTTCTGTCACCTGCCCCTTATTAAATTTCAATTTAGTGCAAGCATAAATACTTTTCATTTATTTTTTATTTTTTAAATTTCAAAAGCCTTCGGTCCAGTCATAGGGGCTTATTTGATTTGTTGGTTTAAAATTTGTATCTATATAAATTAAATATTATTTCAAAAGCACAGTATCAGTGAGTTCTTCCATCTATTTTAATCCAAATACAATGTTAATAATATGCGAAAATCAAAATAACCTCTCAACTGTACCTTTATTGCTATTGCCACCCTTGTCTCTCTCATCTTCTGCAATCCACCACTCCAGAAGTCCAGATCCCGTTTTCGTGCTCTCTCTGTCTCTTTCTTCTGGTGCAGTAAATGTACAGATGAAGGTGGAAGTTGTAAAATTTATATCGTCTAATTCAAGTACAAAAATTAACCAGAAACTCATTAGAAAAAACCCAAACTCAAACTACGATTTCAAACTTCGTCTCTCTTTCTAACAAATGTTTTCCCCATAAAAAATAAGCTTCTATTTCCCTTGAATTAGTTAGTTCTACCACTGCAAAAGTCCAGTTGGAGAACATGTGGCGTCCCCCAACCGCACCCACCGTATGTCTTCTGGGTCCAGCTTCTATGATCTAAAAGACGTGCGTGCACACCATTTACGGTCTCCAGTAGAAAATTAAGGCGTTTGTATCCCTCGACAATATTCGACGGTGGTTAGTGTCATTAACACCTGACCTGACCATCCGCTGGAAATAAACACTATGCTCATATGTCACCTAATAAAATTTTTTATAAGTCTCGTTAAATTATTGAAAATTTTGGTAAATAGAAAGGCTGTATGTAAGAACCAAATTTAATTTATATCAATCATATTATTTAATTTTTGTTAATGTTGTCAGGCCTGATCCTCACCCTTTGATTTATTGGCTGGCAACGACAGTAGTGGTGCTTCTGCTTAAAAAAAAAACCAAAAAAACCCCTCAATTGCATGATTATGATTATTTCCTTGAAGTGTTAGGTTATGAACAAATTGCAAAAGGACTAATGTGCTAATTGTAATTAATATTAAAAGGTGTTATAATAAATTATCCAAAGAGAGAGAGTAGGTAAAACCCTGTTCAAACAATATTAGCAATTGCATTAGCTCTGTTATAACAGCTGTGAGATATTTTTACTAACTATTAGCTATTTAACCATCATTGTTGTCAAACGTTAAAGATTAGGGTACCATGTACTATTAACAAAAAAAAAAAAAAGGTTTGACACCTCTCTAAAGTTGTTAGCTATCCGTTCATATAGCAGTTTAAATTAGAAGGTTAGGTGTTGGTAGATAAAGTTATTTAATTAGTTGTTTAACTTAAAATGATAAAAAAAGAACATTAATTGTTTAATTAGTTGAATTTGAATGAACAAAACAATGAATATGGTTGTTAAAAAATTTTAATTAAAAGCTAACATCATAAACAGAGGTGAGGTGCATAAATGTGCAAACCAAGATCAGTACCAATTCATAATTCCTGACGTGGAATTGAATGACCAGTTAACTTTGCAGCGACCTCCATGGAATGACATGACTGTAGTAACTATCTGATAGAATAGTTAAAAATGCATTTAAGGACTACATAAACGAAACTTCATTCATTAATCATTATCCAAATGCAACAAGGGAAACTACTTTTAGTTGGATGTGCAAACAATAAAATTGCAAAATCTAGAACCCCTTTAGCAGCCTTGGAAATAAGCACAAGAAGCAGAAAATTTACAGTTTCAGAAATCATTCCTAACCGTGTGGCCAATCAAGCATCATCGACATCACTGCCGACACCCTGAGCTTCTTGAGTGCCCGTGTAGTTGCTTCCATCAGGACTCAAAATCTTAAACCTTGTAAAAAATAAAAATAGTCTCAAAATGTTGAATAATTTGATGCACCAGCATAAGGAGGATTCTCACCTTTCAAGGATGAATTTTCCTTCCTTGTATTTCTGGTTCTTCTCATGTGCATACTCCTGAACTCACCAAAGAAAGAATGTATCCAAAAATTTAAAAGTGACTAATGCAGTAAATTCTTAATACAATCCATAAATTTTTTAAAAAAGCCAAATTCTCACATATTTCCACCCCAAAATTGAACCGCAACCAACACAATATATGTCAACAACAGTGTGCATTCCAGTCATCATCATTCGCTCATCTTGCTCTCCTTCTGTGATATTCACACTTATCATTGAGACAGAACAACGTCAGACAGACCACATAACGGACAAAATGCAAATGAAAAAGAAACATTAGTGACAGCTGGCAACATATAAATACACGCCATTGTGTAGCTCCGAAGAACTAAGGTAAATGATATTCTCACTATTCACTGGTGAAAATATAATCTTCCAATTGCTTCCTTCAATATAGGCTTTGCAGCAACTACATATTCTTAACTTAAGAAAATGCTATGTGGAGAAGCTACAATGTGACTAATGATTAGGATTATTTACATCTAATTCCTTGTAAGCAACAACACGGTCAGAAGGGAGCCATGACACAGCAACTCAACAAAAAGTTCTGGACACAACTTTGCACAAGATTTTATTAACATTAATACATCTAGAAGTCTGGTCAATAACATGCCAAATCAAACAGCTAGAAATGGTGATCAGCATACAAAACAAATTAATAAAAAAGAAACTGTAGGAGAAACTCTATGGAATGGATACACAAGTCTAACTAGTAATGAAGACCAAAATCATGGTACACTTACACCTTATCAAAGAGATAAGCCTTTCCATGCCTGCAGTGGAAAGACTGGGAGCAAAGATAAAACAAAGGTTAGAATGAATTCGTGTCGCCAATTAAACCTGGTGAATATGTATGTAGTATGATTCAAGATATGGACTCAAGACACTGAAAACATAAAAATGACTTCGATTATAGATGATAAAATAAGAACGGCAAAATTTCACCCACCAATCACATTATAAATGAAGTTTCTAATAATCCGCATGATCACTGAGAAAAAACAATTTATAACAAACAACCTGACTGTGCCATTATAATATACAAATAAACAACAAAAAATGCTATATATCGAAACATCATTCAACAGTAAAACCCCAACAAAATATAGCCTCAAATCATAAAATGTATTAAAAAGAACAAATGAGTATTCACTCGTCATCTTCTTTATGTCTAATCCTAAATCACATTGCAAGCAAAACTAAGCAGAGAGAACCTTAACTCACAAATTCGATGAAAATATAAATGAAGCGGAGGGATCAATGTGCAAATGGTAAAGAGAAAAAGCAAAAAAAAAAAAAAAAAACCTCAGGAATGTATTGAAAAAGAACAAAATGGAGTATTCACTCTCATCTTTCTTTATGTCCTAATCCTAAATCAACATTGCAAGCAAAACTAAAGGCAGAGAGAAAGCCTTAACTCACAAATTCGGAATGAAAATATAAATGAAGCGGAGGGGAATCAATGTGCAAATGGTAAAGAGAAAAAGCAAAAAAAAAAAAAAAAAAAAACCTTAAGAGATGATATCCATCAGCAACAGCAAAAAAAAAAAAAAAAAAAAACCTTAGAGATGATATCATCAGCAACAGCAAGATGGGTATGGCAGTGCTTGCAACTATAGATGTTTCCCTCAAGACTGATCAAAAATAGCCTTCCCATTTCTTCCCCTCTCCGATCAATCTATCTATCAACCAAAGTATCAAATTTTCTTTCTTTCCCTTCAAATGAAAAAAAACCAAAAGCCATAAATGAACAAACAAAATCCAACATTGAAAGAATTTTTTTTTTTTTTTTTTAAATTACATTAACATAATTGATCCTAAATTGTATAAATCAAAGATCGAATCATAATCCCACAAATTGCACATGTCTATGTTGCGCAGAAAAAGTGATACTATGAGAGAAAGAGAGAGAACAAGGGAGTTATTGGTTATGATTCATCTTTACCAGTAGTCACAGACAGCGCAGAAAAGATGTGAAAACGTTTCATGGAGACAACAGTAATGTCCCTCTCTCTCCATATATAGTAACAGTAACACTAGGAAACAGAAATGTGAGCGAAAATGCAATTCTGAATTCGAGTGGGCACTTTCGCGTTCCTTCTGGGCCCAACCTCAACCTGTGAGCATTAGCATTTAGCAACACTTGTCACGTTCTTCGACGAGAATTTTTGCCTTGATGTCCCTCGGCTTTCTTTTTATTATCGTTTTCCCCACTAGCAGGGGTGTAATTTGGACAATATAGAATAAAATGACCCCTCCTCTAATTCCTAATTCCATTGCAAAATATTTTAAAATTTGAAATCATATTTCATTCCCTTCTAAATATTTTTTAAAATTTAAAATTTTATTTCACGTCGTTCCATTGAAATTTGATATTGAATTTGATAGTTCCAAATTTCTTAACCAAATACAAATCTAACATATTATGATATTTTTATATCTGTGTACTGAAAAGATATAATTAAATTTTAAAAATAATAAATTAACATCATGTATAATTAAAAATTAAAAAATTTAGTTTTACATGTTTATCGACAGTAACTATACTTCACCCTTAAAATTTAATAATTTAGTTCATATAATTAACGGCTTAATAATTATTAATAATATTATTATTACAAAATCGACAAAAGATAATACCATTTATGATAGGATGTATCAATGTATGTAGTCGCTAATTCCATTAAAAAGTGTTAAATCTACAAAAAATATATATTATGAGTCTAAAGTGTACTAAAATATTTGAAACTGTATAATTAAATAAAAAGTAAGACATTATAACTTAGAATCGTAATTTTTAACCCAATAAAGTATATAGAAATATTCAAGCACATAGTTTATACTCTCTTCCTCCCGTTTTATTTAATTATTATTTATTTTTTCAGAGATTCCAAAATATTTTCAATTTTTCTAAATTTATATATTTAAACAATTATTTTTCTTATAATAACCTTTATAGTTGTTCATTAAATAAAGAGATTTTATTAATATTTTAATGAGTTAAGCCGTTAAGGGCAAAATAATTTTTGTTTACTAAATTTTTAATATTTTTATTTTGTCAAACCATGCAAACAAAATAAAATAGATGAAGTATTAATTGGATTATGGTTAAAATATTCTATTAAACCGGTAGTTTTAGAATTAAATAGAATTTTTTTTTAAATATGAAAAATTAAAGATATTTTATTATAATTTTTAATTTAATATTTTATTTTAAATATAAATTAAAAAACAATAAAATAAAATTTTGGTATATGGATGGAATATGGAATTTCATTTTTCGTTTCCAGTTCCATATTCCATATACCAATATTTTAAATAAATGAATTCCATTTTAAGTTTTAAATTCCAAAATTCCATTCCAAATTAACATTTGGTTTGAAATTTCGATTTGAATTGAAATATTCCGATATTCCAATCCAAGTTACACCTCTGCCTATTAGTTTTACTTATTTGTTGCTTGTCTATCCCATAATTCTTGTCCTAATCCTTTTTATTTATTCTAAATTATTATCTTATTTTCTTTTTTAGGAGTAAATAATATTTAGAATTTATTATTTTAATTTTATTTGTCTATCCCATAGATTCTTGTCCTAACCTTTTTTATTTATTTCTAAATAATTATCTTATTTTCTTTTTAGGAGTAAATAATATTCTAGAATTTATATTTTAATTTTATTAAATATATAATATATATTTTTCAATAAATATAATATTCAAATTACATATACTATATTATTATTAATCATAAATCTTGATATAAATAACATTAAAATATTAAATTTTAACTTTTCTATGAAAATTTTATCTGATCAATAATAATTAAATATAGATTATTTAATTAATAAGAGTATATTAAAAAGTAAAAAATAAAATTAGAGTTTAACTATATTAACCAAAATTTGTTAATCAGCAAGTAAATCAAACCACAACAAATATTATGGGATAGAATAAATATTATTTTATCTTTTATTAAATTGAGAATAGGTACACTTGTAAATGAAAAAATAAAAAGCCTTATGTGATACCTTAAATCAAACTTTGATAAATTAGGATTGCAACTCGAAAGCAAATCTATTTGCTAATTAATTTTAATTTTAATAATTACACATCTAGTTTTATTTTCTTCTATAACTATAATGCATATCTTTTATGCTTTTTTAATTGTGATTAAATACAATAAAAGTAGATTTTATCAAAAAAAAAAAAAAAAAAAAAAAAAAAAAAGATAGTTGCATGCTCAATATTTTATTAAAAAACATCTGCAACACTAATACCCATTGACTTTTAATTATCACCAAATGGAGATCTTATATAGAGAGATATCAGATATTATGAAAATTAAATTCAAACATAAACCACTCCTTGCATGTTCTATTCAGTTGGAGGATCATTGTTCTCACTTTTTTTCATTTCCGAGATCCTAAAATTTGAAAATAAATAAATACATAGTCATGGATTTTAATAATTTTCAATATTTATATTTCTCAAAAAAAAAATTAAATATTTATAAAAAACAATTTAGAATCATATTATAACCAATGCTAACTCCAAAAAATTGATTTTTAATACTTCTAAAATAGACTTAACATTATCTTATTAAAAAAAAGAAATATATCAACATGGAATCACAAGGAATCTCTAATTTGAGCCATGTATCTCTATAGCAATATTCCTACTGGAAAATGTCAAATTTTCTGGAACTCCAATCCGCCGGACCTGCAATTTCTAAAAGTTAAAGACATGCTAATTCTACCCAGACTGCAAATTTTTTTTTTTTTTTTTTTTTTTTTTTTTTTTTTTTTTTTCTATTAAAACATCACTGAACTCATTCAATGGTGTAAACCAAACTATCCCTTTTTATAAATAATTTGATCCATTTGAGTTGGCCAAATCGATAACAGTAAGAGCAACAGTGACAACAATAATAATACATCTCAAAAATTATTTTAAGAGCACTACCAACTGAAAACAACAAAACAATGCAAAAAATATAAATTTAGAGGGAAGTTAGTATCCCCGTGTCCCAGTAAAAAAGGACTCACTGTTTTTTGAATTTTGATTAGAAGGAAGAAAGCCTTTCCTGAGGCATTCTTGTCTGAACTTTGTTTATTCTTTGAGGAGGCCATACAATATGGGTAACCCTTCCATTAATTAACCCCAAAGGAATCTGTCATGAATAGCTCTTTTTATTAGGACAAAACAAGAAAGAATTTATATGTTAAAAAAATGAAGCATACGTAGATTCTACTAGAAAATCATTCATATTGCTAATAAATAACTCAGCAAAGGCTTTAGGTAAACTGATAACATTAAGTGCAATTAGAAAGTAAAAGCTATTTATAATTATGGTCTTATGTACACACCGGGCCAAAAGATTTTGAATCCGCGCTGCAATGCCAATTATCTCCCTCAACCCAACAATGTCCCTCTGGAATCTTGACAACATCATTTGAATGAATAGTTCCAATCCATTCACCTGGTAAGCCAATAATTCTCTTTACGAGTTTCTCCTTGTGATTATTTGGGGAGCTGCACAAAGATGCAACTATAGCAATATCAGATATCAGACAGAAAATCTGCACTGTTTTTTATGCTCAGTAATGCCAGTTATATATCACAAATTGATTGGTAAGACTATACACTTGGTTCTGCATTTATAGAGAGAATATCATTAAGAATGAAAATTTTAAAAACATGTTAACACCAAATATCATTTACAGGCACAGTTAATATTGGGCATGTAAGAATGCAAATTGAATCTCATTCAGACTTCACCAGGGAATGAAAAAATCAGTAGTTCAAGTGCATATATCATTCTTTTGAGCCCATTTCAGCTTCTTTTGGTATGTTGTAATCTAGTCAAGATAACTTGGAAAATGGTATGGGACAAAGGAGCCTACAGTAAGCTGAACACTTTGGCGCACACAGCAAGCCAATTTTAGCATGCATCAAGATTTCAAAACTAGAGTTATCCCTCACAAACCGAGTGGCAATAGCCACTTGACAACTCATATGGCATAGCTTAGGCTGGCTGTAAGGCCCAAAATCTACATTCTCTGACTCATCTGAAGTTAAAATGGAAAAATTACGTTTGAGTTACTCTGCAGCTTGTACAACTTTCTAAATCAAGTGAATTTTCAATTAGAAATCTAGTTGCATAGTAGTTTTCTGACGTGAATGATAGAGTTACCGAAAAAGCTACTTCTGTCTTCTGAACCACCGTAAAAGCACATGAAACACACAAAACACCCGCTCATCTTCCAAGAGAAAGTACAAGTGGCTAGTAGCGTTTAAACCTAAAAAGACTAACCCATTCCTTCTTGACTGGCATTTTATTACTAGCTTTGACAAATAGTACATATTTATGAGTTCCAAGAAATATCTAATGTCCCTTTTTCCTGTTAATCTTTGGAACAAACAAAGATGACCAAAATGTTTGAGCTGTACAACTTAATAAATGTGAAGGGAACAGAATGAGAATCTCTGTTATAAGAGCACTATATCTATATGGTGGTTACTCGAGTATAATGCCATGTAAATACTGCCTAGGAAAAGACCTACCGGAAAACTACGACATCACCATGTGAAAACTCGTATTTCCGAAGACAAAATTTCTCTACTAGAACACGGTCATCTGCAGCCAAAAAATGATCGATGGATGAAAAATCATAGGGAAACCACTCCTGTTGAGTTTTTGCTAAAAGGAATTACCAGTTAATGATCCCCAAAAGGTGCTGGTCCCGGGATTCAATGTGGGGGACATAGAGTTTCCTCGCACCGGAACAATGCTGGCATATCGATCTGCAACAGTGAGCCCTATGATTCCAACCGTGAAGCAATTCTTTGCCAAACGCCACAAAATATTCTGAGATCCCATTCTGCAACTAGATGCATGTCAAGTGGAAAATTGCAACCATCTGCACCAAAATCAATGTCATGCAATTTCTATTGATAGACTCTCAATCTCACAATCCTTATCACGAAACTCAATAATAGACTCTCAATCTCACAATCCTTATCAAGAAACTCAATAATAGAATCTCAGTGTCATTGACAAACTAACAGGAGGGTCTTGCAAACTCAAAATGCCGGCAAAGCTTTTAATCAGTATGAGATAGTTAAGAAATCATGAACCGAAGAAAATCCTTAACCAAACATGCATCTTCAAATGTTTTCCACATAAACAAACAAATAAATGCAAAGGTAACACTTAAGAATAGAAGGAATATACAATGATCCTGTTTCTCTAGGCAAATAATCAAATACCTTGTACGCATGAAATTTCAGTTGAATGAAAAAGATACCTTTCGCTTATGCTCAACCACATCCAGAACCAGTAAAATAAATTTAATTTATTATATAAGATAAAGACAATGAGAAGTGACAACAAAAATGAAATCTAAAAATTTAAGACTTGCATAAGATGGAAAGTTAAAAAAAAAACAAACAAAAAGATTAGAATTAAAAGCGGAGCGGGTCTTACATGGGAGCTTGTTGTTGCTTCTCTTCTTCTACTGGCTACTGTAACTTTCTTCTTTACTATATATTTTGCATTCTTCTACAGCTTGCAAGGATGGCGCGCGAACGTTGAAGGACCAAGTAAAGAAAGAAACAGAAACACTTGATGTCAGATCGATGACGGCTGCGAGAACGTCCGAATGAGACAAACAATACAAAATTGCTTAACAATAAAAGCAGAAGGCGCTGGGCGTAATTATGCTTTCGTTCAAAGGGATTGGGCCGGCCTTTGATAGATGTTTGGGGTATTTGATTGTCAGGCCCAACTTTGTTAGTCATTTAGTATGGTTTAAATGGATCAATGAGAAGCCCGAGGCCTATGCATTTTTGAATCCAATCGAAGATTTTATGCCAGTAATCCGTGTACTCTTTTTCGATTAGCCTTTGTTTGGCAAGCAGCCGTAGGTTTTTGATGAGATTTGTGTCCAACAGGATAACATTTTTGTCTGAAGATTAGACAAAAAGGTGTGGGATGAAGAATCGGTAGAGGAGAATGAGATAGTGTTAATGGTTGATCTGACCCCTTGGTATAATTCTTTTCATGTTCCTTATGCTCCTATTGTAAGCTTTAAGAATATTATAGTGGCTGATTTGAAGAACAAGAACGGTATTGGCTGGAATGAAGACTTAAATGTGGGGGCCTCTTTGTTCCTGATGAAGTGAATTTAATTTCGAGTATGCCTACGAGTTTACAAACTTGTATGATGTTCATAGCCTACTAATCATTGGTTTAACATAATTGCTAGTTTCTCCTAATGCATCATTTGGGAGAGTTTAATAAATTAATTTTGGATAACAATATTCAATTTAATTGCATAACAAATGTAAGCGTAGTAATTAATTAATTAATTATGCAAAGTGTTTTAATTATTGTCCTGGTTATAGAACGATATTTAAAAAAAAAAAAACAATTATTGCATAAATATCATCATCATCAATCAATTAAACTATTTAGTATGTTCATCTAGCACCATCTAAGTAATAATTGAAGAATTTCAATTTAATATAAAAAAATATTCCTTCCTTTCTATCTAAGACACATGACCTAAAATTTGCCTAATTTTAGATATAAGGTACGTAGAGTCTATTAGGAGGTTAACATTTTTTTTTTTTTTTTTTTTTTTTTTTTTTTTTTTTTTTTTTTTTTTTTGGTATTTTAATTTTTGTGTTGAGCATCCCTATTAGGCCCTAGAATATGGAATTTCCCCTTTTTTCTTTTCTTTTGGTTTTAAACTTATCATTGAAGTATGATTTTTTTTTTTTTTTTTTTTTTTTTTTTGTATTTAATTTTGTTTGAGCATCCCCTATAGCTAGAGATATGGAATTTCCCCTTTTTCTTTCTTTTGTTTTAACTTATTCATGAAGTATGATGAAGCAATATCGCCATTTCAAAAGCAGAACAATTAACTTAAATTGCCATGTTATAATTTTTACAGGAAGCACATGTAATGGTAAAACAACCTAGTAAAACATTCTCAACTTTCTCACAAGAAAAAGGATGACCAGCGGTAATGTTTTAAGAGGTCAAGTTATCAATAATGGTCGTGTGGAGAGGGTCACTCAAGTGAGTAGCCCAGTTGTTGAGAGGTCCTTTCCCAGTAACAGCAGCTTGAACTGCAAAACCAAGGAAAGCAACCATGGCAAGGCGAGCGTGCTTTATCTCTGCCAATTGAAGGGTCGCCTTCTTCTCTGGATCAGCTGCTAGACCTAATGGATCAAAGAAACTGCCTCCAGGGTATAGCCTCTTCTCTGGGTCTAGCTCTGCGTTTCTTTGGAACTCAATGTATCCAATCACCAAAACCTCAATCCAGATCAACGTAGTTATAGAGAACGGCAATGGTTGCCCGAGGTATGATGATCCTTCAACTAGCTCGACCTGAGATAAACACACCATTGATGAGCTACGGCTTATATTTGATGACTGAATATTAGACTAGCAACCAAATGGCTAGAAAATTAATATATAGTAGCGTACCTTTCCGGCGTCTTGCCAGGTGACTCCGGTGAGCCACTCAACAGCAAGAGCTCCAAGAGTAGCCAACATAGCCCATCTTCCATGAATGAGTTCGCACTCACGGAACCTTTGCAGCCCAAATACCTCACTGTAAGGCTGGAAAGGAGTTGACTTCACATCCGCAAGCTCCGTACGTGTTCCAATCACATCACCAGCCAAGTTCTTCGCCAAGTTCTGATCCAAAGAATCCAACTCAAACTGCAAATACTCAGCGGGTTTCCCTAGCCCGAATGGGTCAAACCCATAGTCACCTACCAAACTACCGTCTAACCATTCCGGTGCCTTGGCTCCTGGATACCACAGCGGCCGGTCTGAGCTGGGTTTGGACGATTTCTTCGGTGCGGACTTTTTGGTGCCAAATCCAAACCGAGCTTGGATCCGACCAGAGTTAGTGTAAATATCATAAAGGCGTGTTCCCATGAAAGATGATGCAGCGGCAGCAGCTGTGGAGGCAGCCATGGTTAGGTTCTAACGTGTGGCGGGATAGATGGTGGAGATGGTGATTTTGATTGTTGTTGTGTTATTGTATAGCAAGTGAAGTTTTAAACATTTGATTTAATGAACTTTTGGTGCTTTATCCATGGTGTTTGGGAATAGCCATTGGATCAAGTTGCGTATCCATCTGACGACTACGAAAGTATCGGTCTTATCTTCGCCTTATCTCGATGTGGGGTCCAATGACTACCACTCTGCTGTTTGAATGCTGTATGATTTTTTTTGTGGCTGATCTTCCCAGGAGAAAATCTACTCGATTCCCTTCGGATTTTGAAAGGATAACCTCCAGTTTCATAGGAGTTTTGTTCGTCTCTTGTCCAATGTTGACACCTGTGTGTAATAAAATGTGGTGTAATAACCTAAAAATATTGATATGCATGTGATAATAATATATAAAAAAAATAGTGATATTTCATGAGATCCCTGGCAAATTCAAAGCCCAGTCCATTTTAAGACAAGTCTCTCCGGTCCCAATCGACAATTTTTTAAACCCAATCCATTTTAAAGCAAGTTTCTATCCAAATCCTTTACCGAGCCCAGAATGTATGCGGATCTGTCCTCGCTGATGATGTTTTATTTTATTTCTAAAATATAATTTATTTGAAAATATTTTAAAGGTTTAGGAATATTAACCAATTAAAAAATATTTAGTTATTATGACCGATTGCAACAACCAACATCAGTCACCACCGCCACCATCTATCACTGACTGCATACAAATATAATTTATTTTTCTATGTAATATTTCTCTTGTTTAATAACAGATTTTAAAATATAAAATTTCTATAAGTATTATATATTTCTACAGTTTATAAATTAAAATATTAATAATTTCTATTAATTTTTTAAATATAACAATCAAATAATAGAAAATGAGTTACTTAGAAAATAATTTTCATGAAAAGAGACCATAATTTGCTATCTATTTCAGGTTTAAAAAAGGTGGGAATCATCTTTAAGAAAAAAAAGAGAATAACCTTTCCATTTTTATATTCAAATTACTGTTATTGTCATTTTATATTTTTTTTAGTAATTTTAGAGTGGTTGAATTATCATTAAAATTTTCCAAAAAGGTAAAATAATCAACTTTGATTGAATTACAAGAAAATAAACAAAATTATTATAATTTACATTTATACCTCAAGTTTTAAATATTTTTAATTTACTTTATCTACAAAAATACAATAGACACTGATGTAATGTTTTCTTTTATAACAGTTTTTCTTTTTTTTCTTTTTTTTTTAAGGATTAGTTTTCAAAAATTACCCCATAAAAATAACCTAGTAATGGATCGCCATATATGATTTCTTCAAAAAAAAAAAAGTATAATTTTGACTATCGTATGTTTATAGAAATTCAAAGAAAAAGTATTTTTCCATATAAATAAAAAAAATCATAATTATAAAATTAGAGTAAGATAATGTTTTTTATTTTTTTTTGAGTTTTAGATGAAGTGGATTTGAATCCGAATCTATTATCAAGTCATAGTGTATATACTTATTTTACATTATGCTATGTTTAGTTTGTTTTATAAGTTAAAAAATTTATTTAAAAAACCCACAAGTCAAAGGTAAAAGAGTTTTTACTTTTGACTTGCCTTTTACGTTAAAATTACTATTTGACCAAACAAATACTATATTATCTAATGATTCTTGCAAATGCCAGCACTACTAGTTACTTAAATTATTTAAAACTAAAATTTTAAATGATTTTAATAAACACTTAATTATTTATCTTCAGATTAATTTATAAATTGAAAATAGATTTTAAATTTAAAAATAAAAAAAAATAAACAGCATAACCAAGCAGCTCTATTCTATAATAATCTAAGAAAAATGGTCAAACCAAGAAAACTTCAAAGTCAACAATCCGGTCAAAAGTCCACCCTCGTGAAACCATTCATACGCTGACACAGATACTAAGATATCATTCGGCGCTAATCATCACTCGCCACACCACTCAAAAAAGTTGAGTTCCATGCTATGCTGGCTGTTCATTTTACAATTATATCCTTGTCTTATTTACATTTCATTTTTATAAAGAGAATTATTATGATAAATGTTTTTAGAATTTAACCAAAATTTTAGAATCTCTCATTTAATAATTAAATAAGAAAAGAAGGTAAAGAAGGACAAAACTCTATTTAAACGAGTGAATACAAAACAGGTCATGATATTTATCCCCAAAAAAGCTTTATGATCTCGAGGATTGGGCACCGGCTTAGCCCGTAATAGGATGCTGACTCATACGGCGCGAGGACATGAAGTTTACCGGTTATTCCGGTCACTTCACGAAGTTCGCCACTCACTCGGTCGGTCGTACCCCTAGCTTTTGTTTTTTTTTTCCTTCGTTATATTATTCCCTCTTCATCGGTTCTTCTCTGTTGTGTTCAACTCTGTTTCAAATAGAGGCATCGCCGTTTCTCTCTGGTTCTTAGGTTGCGTTTGTTTATTTAGATCTGCTATCTTTATTATTACTTTATTTCGTTTTCTTTGGTTGTTATCGTTTGTTTGGTTTCTCAGAAAATTGAGGTAGTGGATGACTTGATAATTTTCCTGGCTGTTAATGCTCTGTTTTCTTTTTTTCCGTTACTCCTTTTCTTTTCTCTTGGTTTTTGTTGTTTATCTTCTCTTGACGAAGAACTAGAGAGTACCAAAACTTGCACGGTTGGGAAATTTTATTGTTGAAATTGAGTTTGCTGTCATATTCAACCTAACAGTGAATTAGATGTTTCTTTTTCTTTTTTTTTTTTTTTTTTTTTTTTTTTTTTTTTTTTTGTTTTTTTTTTCTTTTTTTTAATTATATTCATATACCATATTCATATTGAGCTTTTTGATTATATCATATCTGTTGTCTTATAGTTCTCTGGTGGATTTGACTTGGTCGATTGTAACTTGAACCTTAGTTTTAATTAGTTTGTGGCATTTGTAGAATCAAATAGACCTTTTCTTTTTTTTTTTTTTTTTTTTTTTTTTTTTTTTTTTTTTTTTTGAATATATTCATATACCATATTCAATAATTGAGCTTTTTGATATATCATATCTGTTTTCTTATAGTTCTCTTGGTGGATTTGACTGGTCGATTGTAGACTTGAACCTTAGTTTTTAATTAGTTTGTGGCATTTGTAGAACTCATAGACCTTTTCTTGATGAGTTTTTCGGATGTTATTTATGTTTGTTGCGTAAGTATCAATGTTATAGTTAATCATTTATGCTTATAGTTGTACTTGTGCATGTAAAGATTGGTGCTTTGATTTGTTTGATTGGAGTAATGACTTGGCGCCTTGGGCTAAGGTTGCCATTTGTGGAATTTGGAAGTGTTTTAATAGTGAAACTGTATCACAATTAATTATGTATTGAACTGATCAACTTGATCTAAACTCTTGTTCCAACAGGTGAGGACTAAGTAGGAATGAAAACAACCAAAGGTAAAGGGGCTGCAAAGGCCTCTAGGGAAGCTTTGAAGCCTGCTGATGACAGGTTAGTTAATTTTCAAATGTTTTGTTTGTTTTATATCATTAATTAACAAATTATACTGTATGTTTTGTTTGGGTTGTCATGATAATTGCAAAGGATATTCTTAAGATAAAAGGTATTGGTTTGCTGGCCTAGTACTAAGTCCTATTGATATCTGATGTTGTACATTTGTTGGATACAGCGATTAGCGGAATGTTATTGTGACGGATCATATATATCTCTATCATTTTCAGAAAGGTTGGAAAGAGGAAGGCAGCAGCAGCAGTTGCTGATAGGAGCAGCAAACAAAAAGCTAAGAGGGAGAAAAAGGCCAAGAAAGATCCCAACAAACCAAAAAGACCTCCAAGTGCTTTCTTTGTCTTCCTGTATGTGTTTCAGTGCAAATTAATTGACTCTTTTGACTCGAAATTTTTCCTTTCATTTGGCATAAATGAATTTGACGTTATAAACCATTTATGAGTTATTGTATTTGATGTAGTTATGTCGAATTCTATAATATTGAATGTTATGGGAACGGAATGAATATTTAATATTTCATTTATAACAAACATGAAAATGTGAATATTTCGAATGGTTTAAACGTAATTTGGTGGAATTTAGTTATACCAAACAAGGCCTTAAGGTTGCTCTAATTTTGTTTTATCTCTATGTTGCAGTGAGGAGTTCCGAAAGACTTTCAAGAAAGAAAATCCTCATGTGACAGCTGTATCTGCTGTAAGCTATCAACAAATTTTGACCATCTGTATATTAAATTGCTATTTTAACCTATCTCATTGTGCATAATTCTGTATTGAAGGTTGGGAAAGCTGGGGGAGAGAAGTGGAAATCCATGTCTCCTGCTGTAAGTACTGGAATTTTTTCTAATATGTGATTTTTTGTTTGTGAGGTTGTGTATCTCTTGGTTTAAACTTGCTATATGAATCTATATTCTTTGTTTCTTGATTACGTGGGATTTGTTTGCAAGCTTCAGAACACATTAACAACTCATCACATTCTTTTCGATGCAAGCACACTAACCATTTTATTGGGATTTACTTGAATTAACTGTTTTTGTTTCCTTTTAGCATCTTTTTTATTCTTGTATTTGGAAACAGTTGTTGAAAGAACTTCTTATTCTGTGAAATGGTTGTAAATAATTTTTAAGTTTCATTTCTTGGTTTGGCAGGAAAAAGCACCATACGAAGCTAAAGCTGCCAAAAAGAAGGATGACTATGGAAAGCTTATGAATGCATACAACAAGAAGCAGGTGAGCATAATGCATCAACCATTCGCCTGTCAAAGGAGTGTTCTAGTTGTTTGTTGTGTGTTCTTATTGTCTCTGTTATGCTGACAGGAGAGTGCAGCTGATGCTGATGATGAGGAGTCAGACAGGTCCAAATCTGAGGTAAATGATGAAGATGATGAGGCTACTGGAGAGGTTGGTCAACCTGTTTATCACTGGGTTGAGTTGCCGCATTATAGCTTATTTTTCACAATATACTCAATTTGCATGTGTTTTATGACATATTGAATCTGTTACTTCAACATATATTAGCCGCTCTATGGTTGTCTTAGACAGCTTGCTCACATATCATTATTGTTGCCGTATAGCTGCATTGCTTATAAACTGTTAACCTTCTCAATTCATTACCAAATTGAAATACTAAACACGGTGTTTGTTCTCGCTCTGTGCTTTTGCAACATGGAGGCATGGAGCAGCAGATATGGTAAATGTGGCTTTGATAATTGCTTAGTCTTCTGTTGAGTTGGCAGAACCTCTAGGCACATAGTTAACTAAATTTTCCAGTCAGTCAACTTAATTTTATGCAAGTTAATTTTTGAAGGCATTAATGAAATGGGGAAAATTTTATGGCTGCAGCTGTCTTATTCTTTCATTTTTAAAATAGGAAAACTAATCAAATATCGTTAGGTTGACAAGATGTTTTTCTTTCCTGTCATGGTGATATTAGCACTTATTTATGTCTCCTTTCTTTTCAGGAAGGTGAAGAGGAGGAAGAAGAGGATGAAGCGGAAGAGGAAGAGGATGATGATGACTGAACTTTGGATACTTTTGATTTTGGGCATCATGTGATTTATGGAAGAGATTTTGGATCTTGTAGATGCATACTGCTAGTAGGTTATATATCATCTTGTTAATTTGAAGCAGGAGGGAAATCTTTTCTTTGCAGAAAATTTACCCTGCTACCATGATGCCTTGTCGGTTACTTGGATACTATACATAAAACCATATCTGACACTAGATAAATATAGCATCTATAGTTTTTCAACCTTGTGTGCATAAATGTTCGTATTTTTTTATCCTGTCTGATTATGCATCAGTTATCTTGTTCCATGACATGATGTTAAGACATCGAGTATGACTATACCTTCCCACCTGAATATTTATATAACATGTATATAAAATAAAAGCTGGAATTTTTGTCGTATGGTTGGGTTTTTTGCTTACGTGAGGACGAAGGTTTTAGGTTTGAGCCAAAGAGATTTTACCAACCGATTGGTGAATAAAAGGTTGTTTCAGTAAGAATAATTTTCAAATATTTTCAATTAATGTAATTTTTTTTATTAAAATAGTTAATAAAAATCTTTCAGCTGAAAAATTTCTCAACTTTTATCAAAATTAGTAACTATAATTTATAAAAAACAATCTACTCAGCTTTTATTTTCATTAATGTTGTTTAAAGAGACCCTTTGGTTAAGGAAGATTGAATTCATGTATCTCACTCTAAGAGTAATTTATTTTATGAACAAAATAATCATAAACAGGCGAACGACTAATCGCATAAATTTAGGGTTACCATAGTGAAATTTTTATTAACCATAGTGAAAATTTATATAATCAGCATTTGTCCCCGTAAAAGCGGGGATCACACTAGCAAGTCTGCAGTAAGTATCACCTTATTGTTTACTTATTACATACAAGCTTGGACTCTCCCAAACAAGAAAACAGAATATGCATTGAATTCCAACGTATAATCTAAATGAATAAATAAAATTATCCAGTAATCATCAACATGTATGTACAACTTAGAATGTGTTCCTGAGAAAGGAAAAACAATAATCATATACAATCAACTAAATAATTATATACAGATCTCTAAGCCTGATATTCATCGGTGACAAGGATCATAGGAAGCAAACATTGGCTCTGGAACAATGAGAGGTAACTTGTCAATGTATACAAATAATCTCTTTAAATTCTCCCTGGTAATCGACGACAAGTCGACAACCTCATTTTTGCCGGTGTAGATCCAGAGGTCACCCGAGTTTACTCTCTTAAGACTGTCCCGGCAGAAAGGACATGACTGGGACCGTGCCCGCCTAATAGTATAACAAAAAAGAGAATTCAGTCAGTAGAATCAATTGAAGCATAAAAGAAGCAACAGCATTTAAATTAGCAGCTACTAATTGGAGCAGCAAGCATAGAGCATGTGCGAGTTCTTTAAGACCAGAACCATAAATAAATAAAGCTGCAGCAGGGATTGGGATAGGTAGGGAGGTTGCAGGACTGCTTTGTTACATGAACTAGTTCCAACCTCAAATCTCCTTTTCATGCTTCTGATTTCAATTGATTGGAATTTCTTTTATCTCTAACCTTGCTTATATTATCAAATCCTGTTAAGTTGTCACTGCATATCATTTTTGATGAATTTCTCCATAATTAATGAAAGTTGACATTAGTGCCAAATAGGCAAATCTTATTACTAGAGAGTTGACATTTGCCATGATTCTCCTGCAATTTGAAAACTCAAGCAGAGGCACTATTCTGGGAAGGGGGGTGGGGGTGGGAAGAGCTTTTAAATAAGGAGGAGATGCCTTTTTTAGACAATGGTGGAAGCAACAACAAAATACACAAAACATCAATTAACTTGTATGCAATAAACTTCAACATAAAGCATGCACTGAGCACTGAGACTGAAAGATATAGCCACTGCAGCTACATTGAAGAAACAGGCAGTAGAATTCTATAATCATGCAAGTTAACATAATTCCCTGATTGTGACTACAATTTGGGAATGACAGGTTGTAGCCCCCTCAGCAATCCCAAAATTATACCAAAAACAATCAGACATGATGCCACATTCACAGATAAAAACATATTGTGAAATAGTTAACTCACCAATTCCGATAGCACTTCATACACATGGAATGACTGCATTTGGGCAATACAACCTTGGTGTTCATTTCCATACAAATTCCACATTCTTCTTCCCTCTCTAGATCAATTTCAGACAACTTTCCTCTGTCCATTTCATCTTTCTTTTTGTACTTAGCGCAAATCTCTTTCTGTTTCCTCTCTTCTACATCATTTATTCCCCTTTGAAGTTGCAATAAAGAAGGAAATATCACCCCTGTTAATAAATATCCAAAATGGGTGAAATCAGATAAGCTTGACTAGTCCTACAAGAAAATAAGAATACAAGACAAATACACTATACAATAAACTGCATTGTTTCAAAACATTCCATCAACCGCCATACATATACTCACCATAAAACTCTCTTATACTAGCTTTTCTTTCATGAATAGACATGGTTGTCTTTCCATCCTCATAAGCCTGTGATACAACATCATATTATTACACCCTTGACATTTAAGAAAAGTTAGCATCTTATCAACACAGGCAGAGGGGATTTTAACAATCAAATACTGATTTCAATTCTCCAAAACATAACATCACATTAGTCATCGCACAAAATGCAAATCACCTTGTATATGAGAATCCTAAGCAGTCCCAAGGCACCAGCAAGGTGGCAATCAGTCCACTGAACAAGAAAGAGGAAAAACTGAGCAGCAGGACTGTAAGACAATCTCATTTGAAGGTAGGCACCGTCAAATTCCCTAGGATAATCAGAAGCACTGCATCACAAACAAACGTTTACCAATGAAACACAATAATCTGAACGTAAGTCACAATCAATTTTCCTATATTAATGCACAAGTCCATGCAAAAAGCAAACCCTTTCTTTCTCTCCGAGGAACAAAACTGTAAAGCGGAAAATACAAAAAACAAAAATCAGAGCCATAAGAATGTCAAAAACAACAGACCAACTTTCCTTAGTTGGCAGCATGAGAAAGAAGCTTAATATACTAAACAGAGATAATGCATAATTCGAACTCCCAATTTCAAGAAAGCAAGACCACAATGGAATAATTAATCTGGTCCAATTAAGTGGTAATCATATATTATTTCATAGGACAGCCAACAAAACAAACCATGTGCTTGACCTCTGTCCGTTTTTCCATTCATTCTGTGGTTTTATATTTGCTTATCACCTTAACAGCAACATCAATATATTTCTTCATTTTGGGTAAGTTGCAAATATAATAGATCACACGTGTAAAAAGCAAATCCAAATTCTTGCTCAACAAAACACCAGAATTAAACTTCAAAATCTTCAATATCTAAAAAGATAAAGGTTCCATAAAGATTAAAGCTTTTTTATCCACTAAAGGGGCACAAGTTAGGTAAATGCCCCCGTTAGAAATAAAAACTGCAGGCACACCTGATACTTCCAATTACATCTGGCCTTCAAAAATATCAAAACCCACTACTTTCCCTTTTACGTGTGATTTACAGTGTTAATTACTGTATACGCAAAAGCAGGTGAGCAAGTTACTGATTAGTGAATTCAGGCTTACCCAGAATCATCCAAATTATAAAATATCTACAGTATCTTATCCAGAAGGTCATATTCATATTAAGAAAAAAAAAAAAAAAAAAAAAACTTTCCCTTTTACGTGTGATTTACAGTGTTTAATTACTGTATACGCAAAAGCACGTGAGCAAGTTACTTGATTAGTGAATTTCAGGGCTTACCCAAGAATCATCCAAATTATAAAATTAGTCTACAGTATCTTATCCAGAAGTCATATTCATATTAAGAAAAAAAAAAAAAAAAAAAAAACATCAGCTAAAAAATTCAACCAAAATAAAAAAAAAAAAAAAAAAAAAAAAAAACATCAGCTAAGAAATCAACCAAAATAAACCCACAAAACAAAGTTGATCGCTCATGAAAATCTAAATTATAACTCAAATTTCTCAGGGTTTACTAAAAATTGGAAATTTAAGATTGATTAATACACAGAAACAAATAACTTAACAAGTACAAAAGAAAAAAATAAAACATAAATAAATAGAGACAAAAATAGAAGAATTACAGTGTATTGGCAAATTGAATATCGGCTTCAAGAGCCTTAAGAGAATCCTTAAACGATTTCCGCATTTTTCACTGTTTTCCTCTCCTACTCCACCCCCAAACCAAACAGAACAAAACAACTCTTTCAAAACTCACCACCGCCCATTCAACGACTCCTCAACCCGACAAACACCATGGAAAAAAAAGAGGAGAAGCTCATAACCAAACAGTCCTTAAATTAAAAAAAAAAAAAAAAGAACAAAAACCACAATTCACAGAGAGAGAAGCAGAGCAGAGAGCAGGAAGTGTGAGCTTTACAATTTTAGTATTTCGCTTGGAAAACACGTAATAGATATCTCTCGTCGGTTGAGTTTATTTTTATCTTATTGTTTTTATTTACTCAATAATTTTTAGAAGAAGGATGGAGAGAGGTTGAGAATTATATTAACTTACTAAACTACCCTTAACTTTTCCTCGAAATCTATAAAGCTACCGGCTACCGGCTTCAGGATATTTTTTGCTCGTAACATGTCAGTGATGGTTCTTGTCTCACTGTAGAGTCTATTTTAGAGACAGTTTCTTTATCAAGCAAGGTTGTATTAGAAAATTGGTGCTTCTAATGGTGACGTTAAAATTTTGCTGTATTTTAGTGTTTCGTGTATACCAGTAACGTCTGATATAGCATCTAGTGACGCGTGGCGACCATGCATGATTTGATCCAACCGTTAATGCGGGTCCCACGTTTAGAAGCGCGACGTTTTCCTATTGGTAAATGAAATGGGCCCCGCTTAAGGCCCAACGAACTATTCCTACATGCACGTCAGGAAAGCCTCCGAAGAAAAACTTTTCGTCTTATTGTAAAGTTCTAAATACAATTTTATTTATTTCATTCTCAAAAAATAATAAATATATATATATATAATTTATTTGGTATGTTATAATAAAATAAAATTTTGGATTAATTCTTTTAATTTTATAGATTCATCTACTATTCTTTATAAAGCTTAGGCAGAGTAAGTAAATAATAAAGGCCAAATAATATCAAAAAGTTTAGATTTTGCCAATTTTATATTTTTAGTCAATTTTTTAAATTTTATAATTGTTTTTAACTATTTGTGGCTTCCGTCGCTAGTCCGTCAAAAACTTATTGATTTGGACGTTAAAGCTTACTGCTTACTCACAGCACTACTTAGTCGGTATGAGTTGATTTTGCTAAAAAGCTATTAAATCAAAAGTAATTATATTAATTTTCAAAAACCACCAAAACTCCTTTATATTAATTTTTCAAAAAAGATAAAGTATGCTTATTTAATAAAAACTCTGTAATTGCTAACTAAAAATAGAGTTAGCAGTTTAATTAAAATAATTCAAAAAAACAAAAGAAAAAAAAAAACTTCCATATCAAACTAGTATTGACCCTTTGATATTTATTTACTACTTGAATTAGACTGAAAAGCTCAAAAATAAACAAAAGAAAACGAGACATTAAAATTTGCCATAAAAATCAAGAAGCCAAATAAAAGGATATATAAAATTGAAATGTTTGTATATTAGAATTCACTTTATTTAATTGATATACATAAACATCTCCAAGGTGAATTCATGGTATCATTTGATAAAATTAAAACAATTAGCTAAAAATTGTGAAAGTGGTCAAACTTCATTTTTTTTTTTCTTTATCATTTGCGTAATCAACATTGATTAGGCAAATGTGGGATCCATTTATAAAATTTAACTATTACGTTAGTAAGTTTTGGACGGCAGACTTTTGGATTTGAGTAACAATCTAGTGTGATCAAACATTTATGACATATTAGAGCTAATTATCTCTCAAAATTTCCTATATATATTAAAAAAAAAAAAACGGAACTTGCATTTCTTACATATGAAAAGCCATTAGAAGAGACAAAGGAAATCCAAACTCTAGTTGCATTTCTTACAAATGAAAGCAACGAAAAAAACCATTTAAAGAAAAAAAAAAAAAGAATTAATGTCTCAATTAATCTACATTTGTCTTTTAAAAAAATTAATCTAAATTTGTGATTGGTAAACTTTCCATGTGACATTTTTATTTAAAAAATAGCTAAAATCCTATGAAAATATGACAGTTTTTCTTTCACAATTTTTTTTGTCTTAATTGTAATAAAATAAACAAGAAATATTGATTCCCATTATAGGCATGAATGAAGATGACTTAAATGCATCTATTAATTCCACTTGTATTCAAATTGCAAAAATGGCTACAAAATTTTAACTATGAAAGAAACATCAACTCGCATCAAAATGCAAATTCCAATTTGAAAAAGGAGGTTAGACCAAAGACTTATCTTTGAGCAGCTTACGAGTCTGCCGTGACAGTTGAGGCATTCCAGTCAACTGGAAACATAACTTCTAGCAAAACATGGAGCTCAGCCTCTTCTCTTTTTTTTTTTTTTTTTTTTTTTTTTTTTTTTTTTTTTAAACATAACTTCTTTAGCAAAAACATGGAGCTCAGCCTTTTGCTCTTTTTTTTTTTTTTTTTTTTTTTTGTTTTTTTTTTTTTGTGTCAGGGTGGACGACACGCATGAAGCTGCGACCGGTTCTTTCGAAGATTTGGACCAATAAAATGGAACGTACAGCCAAAGGGTTTTCCGTTTTTTTGCCTGTTGGAAAACATGTTAATGAATCTTTTGGATTTACCGATATTGAAAATTAAAAAGCATCCAGTTCAATGGAGATATCTCTTGGTTTTTTTTTTTTTTTTTTTTTTTTTTTTTTTTTTTTTGTGTCAGGGTGGACGACACGCATGAAGCTGGACCTTCTTCGAAGATTTGACCAATAAATGGAACTACAGCCAAAGGGTTTTCGTTTTTGCTGTTGAACATGTTAATGATACTTGGATTACCGATATTCGAAAATTAAAAAGCATCCAGTTCAATGGAGATATCTCTTGGGACTTTCAGATTTATTTGATGCCTCTTCCATCCTGCTACATCCAACTTCTGGATAAAATCTTCAAACCTACTTTCCATCTCTAGTAGACTTTGTGCAAGCTGATCAAATACATTAACAGAGCTTTTCCAGTTCTCATACAGCCAATAAGTCTGCCACACACTCCGTAAGACCGACATACTAGTAGCTCCAACCTGCAGTGGAATCTTAAGTTTGATCAAGTCGAAAAAATATTTAATTAAACATTATTCACTTGTATCATTCCAAATTATTTCCTATATTTGAGCACCTTGAATGACACAAACACCTCAAAGTCCCTTCTTTGTTGGTTTACCATAAGAAAATATTTTTCCTTTGCATATAGTTTTAAAAGTGTCTTCACCTGTTCCAAAAAGAACAAAGAAACAAAAAAGATGAGGATACTTGTATAAATCAAACTTGAGCATCTGACGTACCATAATAAATATGTAGTTTACTAAACATTCTTACTTGATAAAGATTTCTTTCCCATCACAAGGTCTCAGGTTCAGATCCTAGATGAAGGAACAGGGAGGTTTATGGGAAGGGGACAGCTACCTTGTATTTTATGGCTTATTTCAATTCAAAAGTACCAAAACAAGTTGATGAAGTCCTTATTATTTATAATTGTGTAGTCAACTTCTAAAATATGAAGCTCATTTCTTCAGGACTTTGACCCAGATGATCAAAACGAGGACCTAATTGATGCCTTGACACTTCAGAAGGACAACAGCGCAAACAAGTGCAACTTAAATGGTAAAAGGACCTGGCAACATAAGCAGAAGAATTGCACTAATAGCTTCATAAAGTAACTTTACTTTTGAGGAAGCAATCTATTGAAAAATATGACTTGATGACTTTTCTAAACATTGTTAATTTAGATTTGTGATTAATGGGTGTTTTACCTCGATTGGAGTTATTAAAGGTGTGCCTTATGGCTCAAGGGCTTGCGCCTCAAATGTCCTCAGGCAGGCAACCTCACTCAGGCAAGCACCTCTGGGTAAAAGCATGCACCTTTTTATATATATAACCAAGTCATGCAGGGTTTTTCTTTCAATATAAAATTGTCTATCTAGCATCTGTTTACATAAAATAAATAGATTGCAATATGAAACCAATGATGTAATCTGTGATTCATCCATGACGACTTCATCTAGAGCTCACCTCTTTTCATTCAGCCTCCAGCTAGCAGCCATTCAGATACGTCTCTCTCAATTTCTCTTCTATTTTCTTCCTTTTTTTCTCCCATGTTCTTGATTCAACTAGTTTGGGCTAAGGCTTGGTTGTTGCTGTTGTTCTTGATTCTACTCCCCTCTATCTAAATTCCAATATCTTAAAATATATATGCTGACGATTTTCTTTCTGATTTGTGAGTGTTTTATTGGCTCTACCACTTGAGTTACCTGAGTCCCAGGCCATGCTATCCAATGATATTGGAAAAATGGCAGCATAACGCAACAACAAGAAAGCTGGTCGCCTTTGGTAAGGGGGTGTTAGAAATAAGCCACCGCCCGACGAAACAGCGATTATGAAGGAATGAAATTGTCTTGAAACTTAAGCTGTTACAGCCAGTTTCTTTTAGCTTGAATTATGGCTTCAAAGCCCCTCTCTTTGTAACTACAGAGGTAGGCAAACCAAAGTTTGAAAGCGCACCCTATAGATAGGAACTCCTATTGATGCAATAATCGTCCCCTCTCACTTAGTTCTAGGTATGATACATCGAGGCCTTGTTTTCCCATTTATTTCTGATTTTTTCCTGATAAAATATAATATTCAAATTTATGTGTTTTACCTTATTTTATTTCATTTTTGCACCTCCCCGCACTTGGGCACGCCTTCACCCAAAGGCTAGCGCCAAGGTTCCAGCAGCCCTTTGAGCCCTAGTGCCCGTTGTGCCTTCAATTACTATGGGTCCACTATATGAATGGAACCCATCTCATTTACTTGTGGAGAAAGTACTCTGGATATAGTCAAGTCTTTTCCTAAAAAATAATAATAGGAGAGTGGCTCAAGTCCATCTACCCTTATTAAGGTACGCAAATAAATGTAATATTTTAAGCTGCTAAATATTTGCTGTAAATGAAAATACACCTTGGTAACAGATCTGCCGCTGCCGACCATCTCCTCTAAGGGTACACCAAAAGTAATCCGTGGCGTCATGAAAGTTTCCCACGATAAAATATTTTCTTCTCGATTACAATCAACACATCCTGAAACAAATATATCATGCCGCATACTGTAAAATGAGATGGCTTATATGAAAAAGAGACTCGTAAAATATGGAGTTACCTAAAACAAAATTGTGTAAAATATGTGATTTCACCAGTAAACGAGCCCGCTTGAGATTTATCTGTGTAAAAGGTTCAGTAGAATGAAATGCCATTAATGGTCAACTATAAACATGTCTTTCAAATCCAGCGACCACCACCATCACCACTGTTTTTTTCTCCTTACATTAATTAAGTTTCATCACACTTCATTAAGAATATGAATGCATCTATCCTCTGACAAGAGGATGTCCAACTCAAGGAAAAAGGAGATGACAGTACAACATTCTTACTGTGTCAAACTGTAGAACTGAAAGTGATAAATAACGTAACCAAAGGTGCAGGAGCCGCATGCTCATCCATGTTGATGCCAACAATGGAAAAGATTTTACGAGGCCAGGTGTATCCTGCACTTATAATTCTAAAATTTAATGCATAAAAAGTGCTGTTTGTTAAATAAATAATAATATTCAAGAGTATAAGGAGAAACATCAAGAAACTAGAAAAATATACCAGGATCAATATGCCAAAACCAAGGCCAAGCAACTGAGCAACTACTTCCCAAACTTCTTCCTGATGAACAAATTATCAAGTAAGCATTCTTTTATTAGAAAAGCTTATACATCATACATTCAACAAAAGAATATTAGTTAAAGTAACAACCTATGCCTTCTTTTTTCTTCCCTATATGCATTCATCCAATGGAAAGGCAGCAACTTTGGACGACAAAATGAAAACTTCTTTTAAACATCAAGATTTTTCTCTGTTATTTCCATTCAATTATTGAGATAAGGCTTAACACTTATTCTGACAAAAATGCCTCCAAAAAATAATATTTGAGTTTAAGCCAATGAGTAGATTAATATTTAGTGTACAAAAATGACCTATGAAGCATCACACGATATCATAACTTCATAAGTCAAGCAAGTACTTCAAACCATGAGAGTTTGTTTTTCCCACAACAAAGCAGATTGCACCTGAACTTTGCAGTTAAAATTGATATCTTCAATCCACAATAAAATTTTAGTCATTGTTTTGGACCATCACCAGCAAGTTTGAAGATTTTCGGTGTAGTGTTCTTCAACAAGATAGCTGAATTGCTTCGACCAAATGGTCCAAAGTTCAAATCTCAGGTGCTCCCTTTCTTATTAGCTAAAAATTTCAGCACAAAGGTGAGGCAGTTCTTTACCACTACTGAAAGATCTATCATTATTCAACTTTCAGCATTATAAAACACAGTATTATTGATGCTAATGTATGATTCTTCCTGGCTTGTCTTTCTTCCATACTCAGTAGCATGCTATTAAATTTTTCTAAAATGGGTTCAAACTAAGTTGGAGCAATACCACTTCATCTAAGACTATCATTTTGTTTTGGCAAGTGATCCTTCCCCCCCAGAATTCATTGATTTGCATCCATGAAAATGTTGTGGGTGCGCTATAGTGTTAACCACACTGTTTCATCTAGCAGGATGAAATAGTTTAATTGATGACAACAGAAAAATCATTTTCTCAAAAACATTTCAAACATGTTTCATGAATCATGAATCCCGAGATAGAAATGGTTGAAAATTAACAAGACTGGAGAAGTCTGACCACATCTGTTGCCCGATAATTTGTAACAGGGAAGAAATTATTGACACAACAAGAAAAATGAGATAAATGCTTTTGAAACTACAATAATGACAACAAAATAGCCACATTACCACTACAATTGTAGAAAAGTATATAGGTTTTGCCCAACATTTCTGATGATCAAGGCAAAATTATCAGTTTATGCAATGACTGGAAACACAAAGCATTATAAAATTGTGGAGATGTGACAAACCCATTAATCAACAAAGAACATAAAATGCAACACACCTTTGCAGCTACCTCTCCTAGATTTCCTGAGATTGAAAAATGGTTCTGAATTACACGGAATGAGGGATCTTTTAATCCTCTTGCTACAGCCTGTTTGAATGCCAATCTCCAACAAATCAAGTCAGCTCTTGAGCATATTAAATCAGTGACTTTCATCGCTACATAAACAAAAATGGAAAGCACAGAAAATGTAGACAAAACAGATAGAGCTACTTCTATTGATTATATGTCGCCAATTAATCAACTGAACGCTATGTTGCACAGACATGGACATGTTGTATGGATGTATAATCATTGAGTTCTTAAAAATTCTGCATCAATGATATATCTTATGAAGAAATTATACAAAGTGACTCAAATTAGTATGATTTTCAAGAGCTGAAGACAGTAATTGAATAAAGGAAAACAATAATATATGATTCTTCCTATTATCTTAGTTTACTCCCACACAAATAAACTGTTCATCTATATATGTGTCAATAGTACACACAGACCATAACTTTAAAGCATTTTACAGCTAAATTAAATCCTTGAATTGATTGATTTCAGAAAACAGAACTCACTCGCTGGTCCCCTGTTATTCTCCTAGTACCTACATTCCTTGTAAAATCCTGCAACTTTTTATTTTTTTGAGCGACAATGACATTTTTTCTAATTCAGCAAAAACATGAACAATCTATCTTTGGGATTAACGATCAAAATCCAAAATTGGAACATGATATTTCACAGTATGAAATGTAATTTACATGTTCACCATGCACTGAAGTTACATTTATGCTCACCCTTGACACATCCTGCTTTGTTTTTTGTTTGAGATCTTTGTCCTATTAAAAGAAAGCAGAAGTGGCTGGGAAACAATGTGGGAACCATATACAAACAGCATATGATTATGTGATGTGGAACAATTTAAACAATGATGAATCATGTGCAGTATATATAAAGAGCTTTAGAAAAGAATACCTTTGTAAGATTTCCAAGGGAAGCCAATGGTAGGAAGTAGCCAGGATACACTTGGGTGGTTAGATCAAAGATGCTGTAAATGATGGAATAAATAGTCCTATTTTCAGATTTAATATGGAAAAGCCAACACTTCGAGTTTGTTAATTTTTCAAATTTTGATTATCAAGCCCTGTACCTTATAACACGTTCTTAAACCCTCTTAGTTTTTTTTCCCCAAGGAGGAACAAGGAGTTGCAATCTAGCATTATATTCTTGTACAGAATACAGATGTGGTGCATCAAATAATACAGCATCTATATATATGCATACCAATCAATTCAAATTTGATTTGGTATCCTCAAGTTGAAAACCAAAACAGTAAACTAATTTCGTTTTTCCAAATCGAGCAAAAAACTGTCTTAAGGGCTTAACCAAACAAAATTAACAAAATTGGTTTGGTTTGTTTCAGTTCAGATTGGTGGTTTCGACTGAATAATGCACATTCCCAGCACTCAAGGATTATTAGCAAGAACATCAGATTCCTTCAAGAGCATGTATGTCTGTGTTTAATGGATGTGAAACTTTGACTTTATAGTCTCAAATACAAAGTACACTGGCTCAGTAAACACAATTTAAGTTGGAGATCTAAATAGTCTAGCTGGAAATTTAGGAGTTTAAATATGAGATTTTCCATTTCATTTTATTTATAATTCCTACAAATAGTTTAAACCACAGACCTTCCTGCACTGCCAATGAAGTCTGCATACATGCGCCATTGTTTTGGATCATCATCAAAAAGATTTCCAAACCGTCCACCTGGATAAGTTGAAAGAATTTGGCACTAAACTTCCGTTTTTGGTATATAATTTTTTTATAAAAGAAAACAATAATACCAATGAATAAACGTCCTAGAGCTCCGATGCCATCCTTTGACACCCATCTGCAGAAACAATCACAAAACCTATGACTTAGTCCAAAAAAATGCTAATTGCATAAACTTTACAAATAGAGTATAATTTGATATATCCAATATACAATAAGCCAACCAAGACAAAGATTCACCTGATGGCAGCAGCAGAAGCAGCAGCTGTAGTACCTGTGAAAGAGCCAACACCAACAGCCTGTATGTATATTGTCATAATTATTCAGCCTGTATGTACTAAATTGTGGTGCATAGAAATTGAAATGAGTATAATTGTGCATTTTTTCATAATTAAAAATGTATTTGAGATAAGGAGATAGAATTTTAATAAAAACTTCATTAAGTATCATATTGCAATTCTATGAACCATAACATAGGTTGCAAATTCTAGCAAAATGAAACTAGTTAAGAAGTCTTATGCCTAGAAAACATACCCAAGGAAAATTAACGGCCTGAGTTAGATTGACATGCCTTGAGAAGACTTGATGTGACTAACGTGTGACAGATCCACCCAGTAACATTGGTAGGGAACTGTAATAACATGTACTGCAAGTAGTCATCTGAAACTGATCCTGCATTTAGAGGGAAGAAGGGTAAGAAAAAAGTTAGTTCTAGGAAATATGAAACCACAGGTTGAACTCTGAGACATACAACGAATACAAATGGAAAACAAAATAATTGTAAGAAATTTTCTTTTGATGTAGTAAATAGACACATGGCATGGCCAAAAAATTTCAAATATCTGGAACAAGAATGTGTTGGGAAATTATTTAAAAGAAATAGGATGACAAATAAATTAATAGAGCCAAAAAGAAAAAGAAAAAACATGAAAAAAAAATGAAACAGACACTAGTTACCTGGGAAGCCTGCAGGTAGAATAAAATCTTTGACAATATATGGAAGCCATAATAATTTTGTGCCAGACGAATGTGATTCTTGGGACCTGCTATTTTTGGCACCATGTTCCTCAAGAAAACTTTTTAATTGCAAGTCATCATCCAACATGTATCTGTTTGTCAATCAAAGATTCAAGAGAAACGACTCATATGCAAAGAAAAAAGATACAAATAACACAATTTGTTTCAAAGCAATACATCATGAATTATTACTCAATGAATCCATCCATCCATCAAGAAAAGAAAAACATTTTTCTCCTGCAACAAGGAAAAAAAGATTTTGACTTGCTAAGGAGGGGAAAGAAAACATTATTCTCCCACAAGTTAGATTAGTGAGTTTGTCTTTGCACATATTTCAAATTCATCCTCATTTTCATCACATTTACTATTCAAGTGTAAATTTTGGCATGTTTCAATAGTAAGCAATTATTCTATACATACTTAATCATCACTAAAAGCCTAGAGAAAAGGCCACATACAATCTGCAACTCTTATGTGAACAGTGAATGTAAAACATTGTCTAATCATGCAAACATTTTTACATTTCTCATTGATGAATCTAGTCAACAAATAAAACTTAAGTGCTAGAAACCCAATGAAGCTAATAAATTGAAATCTTATCATTTTTTTAAGTCCTCCCAATCCAATCGCAAAATTATTACACAAAAGAGAGATAAGAAAAGACATCCCTGTTTTAATTAATACCAGAAACCTATTTTAATGTAACCTAATCTTGTTCTTAATCTTTAACTAATTATTTGAATAAAAGAGCAGTAAAATTAAAAATTTCCACAAAACAATTAAGAAAAGTTAGATAAAAATAAATCAATAAATACAATAAAAGCAAAACCCGAAGATAAAAGAGAGATTATACAGTAATAGTAATAACCTTCTAGCAGTTCCATTGCTATATCTCTCCACCAAAATCACATTCGATTTGCAATGACCCCTGTACAAGCAAAAAAATCAGTATATACTCTTTTGAGCTGCTAAGTATAAGAACAACATACAATTCAAATTGCAATTCCAGACTCTTTGCCGGTATCAGAACCAAGAGTACAGAATCCATTACACTGCACAACCTAATAGTTCAATTTGGCTCTAATAAATTCCTTAATAGAGTACTTCCACGCATTTACTCAGCAAACGACATGTGAACGTGAAATGTAAAGTTAGGCATGATGAAGCGGTTACCTCCAATTGCTGGCCTCATCGTCATCTTCTCCCTTTTGAACTCTGGACTCTACTGAACAACAGAGAATTTGAAAACGGCGAGCTTTGGTTCTAATGTAAGGTTCGAGAGCTGGTGCAGCGAACGAGAACTGGAGAGAGTAAGCCATCTCTTGCAAAATGTCGCGTTAGTCTCTGTAACTAAGTAGAAGACGTTAAAAGAGAATGCGCTTAGTTGCCTTACTGTCCATCGCTTCTTTATTTTATGATGGATTATCCTAATAGGAATATCCATGAAGTATACAACTAGTGAGAATATTAATCATTTTATTTTGTATATAAAATCATTTCATTAAAACACTCTAACCACTAAAACTACAATAATTAGATAGTTAAAAACAAAAAATTATTACAGTGAAAAAAATTATATCAACCATATTTTAAATTAATATTTTAATTTATTCAAAAAAATCAATATTATTATTGATTGTGTGAAGAAATGTACACGTCGCCAAAATTGGCTAAATGTATAATTTTTACTCTGAACTTTCCTTAAATTGTCATTTCCATCTCTTAACTTTTCAACCTTAATTCATTCTTTTTATAGTAGCTTTTTTACCCTTTGCCATACTGGATCAGCGGAGCATGGAGGAAATCGCGCGTGAACAGTAATGTTTTTATCCTACGTGTAAAAGATGGCGTCGGCGTCGTATTGAACCCCATTTGCTTAAACCAAGGGCATATTCACTCTCCATCCGTCTTATTGTCTTCTTTTCTCGTAAACAGGCTGAACCAGAGCATTAAGCATTGAGTAAACAAAGAAAATCAGACCAAACCAAACACCATTGTGTAGTTTAGATCAAGCCCACCGTTGATTTTCTTCTTGGTTTTGTTTTGTCTCTCTTTCTCTGCACATCTTCTTCACCCACCATTGTGTTTCTCCTTATCTTGAGATTCTTTGTTTTGCGGTTAATGTTTTTTTTTTTTTAAAATAGATTTTTCTTTCTTTTAATTCTATTTAAAAAAAAAATGATCTTCCATCTGGGTTGTTGTGATTGCAGAGATTGATGAAAGTGAGAATGAAATAGTGGCGCATGGGAAATGAGAAGGCATCTTGATGAAGAGACCTCAAACTCAACTCAGATATGATATTGGCAACGAAGAGAACACGAAAGAGAAACCATTTGGATAACCTTAAGTGAGATACTGGTGGCTATAATATCAGCAATGATTGTTATTGGGCTGTGAGTTATCTCTCTCTCTCTCTCTTTTTTTTTTTTTAATTTTCTTCTCAATTGCAGAGGTTTTGTTGTAAGAGGCGTTAAAATCTTCCAACTTATTCAATTAAAAATTTGTTTTTCTCTATTCATTAGTTCTTGAAAATGTGGAAACCGACGAAGTGTCTCTGATAATGACATTTCAATTGCTTACGGCACGACACGTCAACGTGAGTATAATTCAAACACAAGTTTCAATTTGCTCAAGAATAAAAAAACACAAAAAAACGAGTTAAAGTGATAAGTAATCCCTCGCATAGATAAAGGGTACAAATGACAATTTGTATAAATTTCAGAGGAAAAGTTATGCATTTGGCCTACCAAAATTTGATGCATTGCTAAATTTAGAATACTATAAATTTTTTCCTTTAAATACGTGAATGAATCCATATATTTTGACCTTTAAATTTTGTTTCTTTAAAAAATAAAAATAATATTATTTTAAATAGATTTAAATTTAAATATGTACTAGTTACTATTTTATAAAAGTTTGTGTTTTAGTTGAAATTTTAATTTCTAAATATTTAACAACTTAGTCCATATATAAGTTTAATTTGATAAAGAGTGCACGTGAATTGCATGCGAAATATATAATAGATAGGTTACATAATTTAACCCCTAAATTTTTCAAAAATAAAATTTGTGTTATCTTAAATTTTAAAATAAATTTTTGGCACTTCGAACTTCAGTTTTTGTAACAATCTCACATTTATTTAAAAAAAAAAATCAAAATGTTTATATTTTATATATAAAATATTGATTTGACAAGTGGTTAATAGAATTTTTATAATAATAATTTTTATATTTTTTTAATTATCTAAGTGTTTAATTAATTTAATTATATAAATTAATGTGTTTAATTGATGAAATAAAATATATAACGTATTCAATTTTATAAAATTAAAGTATTTAATGCTCAAAGTAAAAGTTAAAGGTATCATAAATTTTTTTATAAAAATACAAAAATAAATTTATGTATTTTCTAAGAGTACATATATAAATATGATATTCAACTTGCAAATTTGGTTTAGTGGAGGATAAATTTGATGAGAGATTTATCATATGCTCATAAATTTAGAAATTTTGCTAGCTTTATACCAGTAATCAAAAGAAGTTTTGTCAATTGCAGTAAATAGTATTAAGCCATTAACGAGTATTTTCTCTGTTATTCTCAAATCTCTTACGTTATTTATTTGTCTCCCTTCTCCTCATTTTAGAGATGATCATCGAGCGGATTCAGATTGGATTTTGTAAATATATCGGTCAATGAAAATTAATATTCATTGGATACCCACTCCACGAAGCAGTGCATTTGTTAGAGTCCCATCTCTTTCCTCTTCTTCTTCCTTCATGCTAGATCTGTCTCTCATTTTTTAAACTTTCTTGGATATCAATTGTTTTGAACTTCACTTTTATTTCTTTTAGGCTTCATTTGTTTCATAAAATAATTTATAGAAAAATATTTTTTTACAATTTTTCGTTATTTTGAGCTCTCAGAAAAAATAAATCAATATAAAATATTTTTTTGGTCAAAGGAAAATTAAGTCATTTTTTAAGGAAAACAATTTTTCATTTTCGAGAGAGTAAAACATTTCCGGATATACAAACCTTATAAATCCATATTTTTTAATTTATTAATTATCATAATTACTACCATTAATCACCGTTTACCATCCACCACCACCACCGGCCACCGACCGCGCTATCACCGGCGGCTTTCATAATTTAATTTTTTTTACATTCTTTTCATATCTAACAATAAAATTTTTAAATTATAAAATTTGTTTTTACCATCCACTTCTACCCACCACCTGCGCCACCGACCGCTTTGCTAATCACGGTCATCTTGGCGAGCTTTTCATAATTTAATTTTTTTTTACATTCTTTTCATATCTAACAATAAAATTTTTAAATTATAAATTTCTATTATTTATTAATATTTTTTTATGGTCTTGTAAGATAAAATTTTAATATTTAACTATATTTCAAATTAACAATCACATTCACGACGAAAATTATATTTATTTTGGAAAATATTTTTAGTATTTTTTCTGTAAATTATTATAAAATTTCTATTATTATTAATATTTTTATGGTCTTGTAAGATAAAAATTTTAATATTTTTAACTAATTTTCAAAATTACAATCAAACAACGGAAAATAAATTATTTGGAAATATTTTTAGTTATTTTTCTGTAAATTATTCTATAGAAACAAACGGAATCTTAATTTCTTTTCTTTTTCTGGCTTTTTTAATCAATTTTAAAATCGTCTATTACGGCTCTCTTTCATGTAGGTTCGTACTCTGATTCTTTCTTTCTTGCAGCTCAATCCCGAGTCAGTTCGTTGGTTCTGTGATGAAGGGTGAACTTGGTGGTTTCTTTTATTTATTTTACTACTATGGTGATGGTATGGCTACGGCAGAGACGACCGCAACGGCAAGTTAGACCTGACACGGACAAAAAATTCCGTCAATTCAAGAAATGAAATTAACAACAAACCACCTTTTATGCATCAACTGCATGTCAAAATAAAAAGAGAGCACGTAAAACAAAATGGCCAGTAGCGGGCTAAGAAAGATGAAAAATCTCAATATCCTCCAAAACTTAAAAAAAAAAAAACATTTCTCTCTTACTCACGTTTACTGTTTCAGTCAAAAGACAAAATATGTTGGTGCTAGCTATGTTATTGAGAAGGTAAAAAGAACATTTCTCTTGCTCACATTTATTACTGTTTCAGTCAAAAGACAATATGTTGGTGCTAGCAACGTTATTAAAAAGGGCTTGAAAAATGCTGGTGCTTCTGTATGTGTTTACACGTTTGATGAAATGACGGAAAGAAACAATTTGGTTTAATTAAAATTAGATGAATTTGTGACACTGTTTATGAATTGTTGGAGAACTTACTGTCACATTTATATCGTTACCAATTTTTGCAACTTGGGAAACAAAAATAGGTTTATCACGTGTTTATAAATAGTTTAACTGTAAATATTTAAACGGAAAAGAAAAGAAATGAAAAGAAATGGTAGCCTGACTAGCATAAATGAATGTTTACAAAAGAATAATAGCATTTCACTGGCAGCTGAACTCACAACAGAAAACTCCTACACAAAACCACCTACTTCTAATGAGACATGACGCCCAAAAGAAAAATAGGGCGGCAGAATAATTGTAGACAACAACATAAACATGACTCACTTCAGGATTGTTTCAAATATTGGGATTCTGGCTTTGTTTCTCACGGTTTTCCTCCACAATTTTCTGAAACTCTTGCTCACCGACTGATATTAGACGTTTCATCATGTCAAAGGTAGTGAGCCTAATGCTGCAGGGAAAAGAAAATAAAAGAGATTTATCAGCCTAATTACATCCATTTTGCAATATTCCTTGTTTTCCAGATGTCTGAAAATTAAAAACAAAAACAACAAACATTTTCTATTAGCCTCAGGCCCTCAGATATAATAGGCCCAGAACAAAAGCCTTGCTGGCAGCGAACAGAACCAGGAGAACCTATTTCTGATCCCATTCTAGGAACCAGAAAGTACTGGGAGCGAACCTCCCAGTCCCAGTTCTAAACCTGAAAAAGAAAATTCAAAAAATAGGCTGGAAACTGGTTGGAGCCTGCCAGAACTGGCTAACTGGAGAACCTGCCAGCACTGACAGTTTGGTTCCAGTTCCAGAATCTTGGTTGGCCGTACTCACTATCACATTATCAAGTATGTCTTCTGCAGGAAGAACCAAACAAGGTATATTCCCAAATAAACGATTTGAAGGGTAAGGCTAAAGCTTATAGGTTCCTAACAAAACAAGGTATCATATTGAAGGATCCTCAAAATGCAGAGACATCAAACGATCAAAGTGAGAAGGATTGCTCACCTGCTGTTTGGTAGGTTCTTCAATGCATTTGGCAAAAAACCCCTATACAGGCCAATAATTCCATCACGTTGGATAATCCCTGAATCATAAAATTAGACTCACAATCCATTAGAATCAAAATTTAACCTCCCCCTAAAATTAACCCAAAGAAAAAAAGAATTGCACAAGGAAACTTTCACGATCTATTGAGTTATGTAGCATCAATAAATACTGGAAATCATGCTAGAGGGACAAGTCAAAATGGGGTAGAGGCATAGAGCTGCATGAAAAATGCAAGAGATAATGTGCAGTTCCATAAACTGGGGAATTCGTTAATGAGTTGATAAGTGGAGATTTTATAAACTGCATTATATACAGAAACTTGAGAGACTATATGCACAGAAGCATGCTTTGCAGACATTGTCCTAGTGCATTTTTTCTATTAAACAATTTGAGCAGAAAGCAACTGAGCTTATCATACACTTTAACTACGCCATAACTAGAGTATTAGCTCAAGTGATAAAGCGCTGGGGTGTGGTTTGGACCATAGTTTGAATTCTTATAAAGCTAAAACTTTGATTAACAGGAAAAACTGAAAAAGCAATGTGCTGAATCTTTCATGATTGATGGCCTTTTTATTATACCAAATATCAATATTAACCACTATACCTTATCCCTTTCTGGCATTCTTTTGATTTGTGTTCAATCCTTAAACTCCTTATGGGCACCTTCTCTTTATAATTAGGCTTGTTTACTAACATGTAAATTCCTTGTAAACCAATAAATTTTTATTTTGCCAATATACTTCGAAAGAAGAGCCATTACGTGTAGAAATCTTTACAGTAATATCTGACAAAAGACAGAACTCGCCGCACATCTATATTCCATATATTTATGTCAATTACCTGGAAAGGCATCCAAAACAGTCTTGTAGGGTGTTCCCTTCATTTGCATTTGTCTTCTAATTGTGTCTAAAGGATAGCATGTGAGGGTTGCAACAGCGGCAGATACCACAGCTGTGACTAGAGATGATTGAGCCTTCTGTTGATATTTCTCTGGCAAGGACTTCTTAATTCTGTCATCAAAAGACGATCAATAAGACACCAATCGTCTTCTCTTTCAATAAAATGCTCAAGGCATTAGTGAACTCACAAGTCAAAAATGCAAAAGTTCACAGCAATGTATGGGGCAATGCCAATAAGAGAAGGCCCAAGACCATAATAAAGGGATGCAACTCCTTCCTCGCGTAACATGTTGAAGGCCATCTGCATAAACCATTAAAATCCACATTTGTAAAATGAAGCATCTATCATAATCAAAATTCACGCCGTCAAACATACCTCAGACATAGTCCGATATCCTGGTTCAACTGCTAAGCGCAATCTCAAAACATCCAAAGGGTATGTCACCTAGATGAATAAAGGAGGTTTAAGAAATAAGAAAGAAAGAAAACTAATATTCAAAAGTGCATATACTACATGTAAAACTGGTATGAGATTGAACTGATAAAAAGAGGGATATATTGAGATGACTATGCACAAAGTAAATTCTTAAACCAGACAGAATTCACACATCATCTTAAACTTGAACAAATTATCCTTAAGGTAAATCAATTGAAGCACAAGAGGTGGCAATCCATGAACGGAAAATTCGGGCATTTGCATTACTAACTTACAAAAGTGGATGTCATGCCTGCACAAGCACCTGCGGCAAGTCTTCCAACAACAGAGAGCTCACCATCCTTTCCTGTAAACAGTTTCTATAAAACCAACACATCAGCAAAATGTCAACTTTCCAAATGCATACAATATTGTCCTCCAATTTGATTAAAGACATTTCACTCTCACCTTGTAAGTCTCATAAGTAAAGAGCTGGACCGCAGTATAAGGTATGATCCGAATCACCTGAAATTTTTAGCAGATATTCTAGATTAAAAAGCAAATCTTGACTGCTTCTATTTGGGAAATAAGAAAATTCTCAAATATAGAAAGAAAGTGAAAATTGGAAAAGGACCTGAGGAAGGTTTCCTTTCCAGTACCCTTTTAATCCTTCTTCTTTTCCTATCAATGTTATGGCCTGCGGTTCATTGTACAACAAGACACCACATAAAAATGCTAACCATGCATTTACATGGACGGATATGAAATTCACAATACACAGATTCCTCCTGATTAACTAGATACATAGATTAGGTTAGGTTCAAGAATGTGAATGAAAATTCCATTTGATGGATTTGATATACATATTTAGTACGTTCTCACTACATATATGGAGATAATCAATTAAAGCATTGACTAACCTTTAAATTATAGAATGTCTAAATCTCGCATTCTAAATTCTTCCATCCAAACATAGCATAAAATTTGACAGATAACACTTTGGTGAACTCTGAATTACCTCAATGAAACCAATTGCCTTCTTAGCACTTTCTTGCCCAGCCCGCACACCATGAGTCTATCAACACATCAAATAATTTAAAATCAATTAAACCAGAAAAAAAATTGAATCTCTACAAAATATTAAGATTTTTACATTTGGTATACAAAATTTTCCTCATTTCCTCAGTAAACAAGTAATACAAGAAAGAAGACTGGAAGTTATCATGAGACAGAAAAAGACAAGCATGCCACCAAACTCTATAACGACAGCGTCAAAACCGAAGCTACATTTAAGTAACAGATAGAAACGTAACCAAAATTGAGGGTGCTTAATAAAACAACACCTGCATAAGGAGCTTGATACGGTCGAGGGGAGCCGTAACTGTCTTGGCCGCAGCTCCAGAGATTGCTGCGGCAACGAAAATCGCAGCTTCTCTCGGCACATAGTTAAGTGCAGCCAACGGATGTTTCAAGAGCTGAGCCGAGCTCGGCGCAAACTCAAATTTGTCTACCTTCTCTGCCATTGAAACAGAGGCAAATTTACGGAAACTGCCATCACAGCCACCACCACCACCATCGATACAGCAGCAGAGATGCGCGGTCTTCCATAGAGGGCTATGGTCGTTACTTTCAACGAGACTGTATGATGACGTTTTGAGGTTCGCTTTGCTTTTGAAAGTCAAACTGAATTTCCCTTCTCTCATGTTTCGGTTGAAATTTTTACGGGTTGGTTATAAGCAGAGAAAAGATAAGGCAGTTAAGTGCAAGCAGAGAGGGAGGAGCAGCAAACAGCAACTAACCTGTGAGGATCCACATCTCGGTGTTTTATGTCTCGATTATTTTTAATTTGATTCAATGCGAGCTGGGCTATGGAGGGAGACTGAAGCCCATCGTACGATTGACGAGAGATAAGATATTTTACCAACTGATTTTGTTTGGGCCCACGTCCTTCGGCGATGTGGAGGTGGACCTTAAAAAGCCTTTGGCCCACTTCCCTGTTCCAATTACTCCAACATATAAGGTTATTAATCCGTACAACCATTATCAGTTGCTTGAATAGGGGAAAAAACGAAAATGATAAATTAGAAACTTAAGTTCCTTATTAAGTTATTATTGTGTTTGATTTATATATTTAATTTGAAATCTATACTCCATTTAGTATAAATGAATTTTAAAATATAGAATCTATTTGTAAATGAATTATAATAAAATTCATTTATAAATGAATTATTCATATTTGGTATCATTAATTTAAAACATGTTATTTAATTGAATTCCATATAATCATGTATGAGATAATCTATAATTGAAAATTCATTAGCTTTTTATTTTCTAAAATATTATTGAAATATAAAGTAATTTCACAAAAATAAATAATAAATAATAATTATATTTGTGTTATGTTATATAATTTTTTTTATATTTTTATTAAAATACATCGAAAAGATAAATAATAAATAATAATTGATATTTTGTGTTTATGTTAGTATAGATTTTTTTTAATATTTTTATTAAATAAAATATATAGATGATAAAATATATTAAGTAAATATTATTAATTCAATTTAAGTTGATATCATGGGATATAATATAAAAATAATATTAATAAAATTATTAAATTCAATTTAGTGATATATGGATAATTAACTTCAATCTCTCTCGTCAATGGTAATAGAATACTAAAAAATATTAAAATAAAAAATTTTGATAAAATAAATAATTAAAAAAAGTGAAAAATTGACTTTGTAGATAGAGAATGGTAGTTTTGTCATAAAAAGTTGGATTGCTCAGTTTTTCATTGCAAACACAAAAATATAAATTTCTAAATGAATTCCATATATAATTTTATGAAATTCATTTGTTTCAAACAAATATTTAGATTTCATTTGTTTTCAGAAAATTATTTATTTATAAAATATTTTTTGCATTTTCTTATATTTGGGCTACTCGGAAAAATTAGTTAGTTATAATTATGGAGGAGTTTGTCTTATCCCTCACGTACCTTGTTTGTTTCCTATTTAAACAGTTAAATAAATAGTAAAAAAAATTCAAATTAAAGAGAAAATTATTTTAACAGAATATATTTTTTATTTTTCGAAAGAATAAATTTATTATAATCTTACAAATATGAATTTATTAATTCACCCATCACATGGAGTCACCATTATATGGGTATCATCCGCAATCATCACAATCAAACAACAAAAATTGTATTGTTTGAAAAATATTTTCTAAAAATTAGTTATTTTTTAAAAATAAACTAACCTAACATTTTAAAGTGTAAAATATGTTGGCAATGATATGTATTTTAGATTAACCTAAAATTTGTCATATTTAAGTTTTGAAAACTCGATTGAATTTCATTTAAATCTAAATTCATTAACATTTTATTATCTAAAAAATAAATTTTAATCAAAGATATCAAAAGTATTGTAATTATTTTTAGCTAAAATGTCTTTTCTGTTTATTCAAAAAATAAGAAAAAAAAAAACTTTTGGTTTGATTTCCCACGAATAAATTCACAACCTATATAGTCGTAGTGGACTCAGCACCTTCAAAGCATCAAAATCAGTTTGCATTAGCTTACTTCAATTTATATAAAAATCAGTTTGTAATTATAATTATGTAGCTCACTTTGCTTGGTGTAATTATAATTATATTAAAACTAGGTAAAGCTATGCGCCATTATGCGGGATTTTGATTTTTTTTAAAAATATATTTAGATAAGTTATTTTATGAGTTTTAAAATAGATTTAGATGAGTCATCAGTTACTGTTATTTGTGTTGATAAAATTAAATTTTTGTAATTTTTATTAGGCTTTTTTTTTAAAAAAAAAAAGAATTATATTCATTTTTAAATTTTAGAAAATTATTATAATTTTGGCAATTAAAATATTAAATAATAAATGATATTTGTACCTTTAAAGTTTTTAGAAAATTATGTAAGATTTGGCAATTAAAAATATTGATAGTAAATGATATTTGTAGCGCATATGACTTATTGCTAGAAAATTAAATTGATCATGCTTCGAAGTATGAGTAGTGAGTAAAGATATATATAAATAGTAAAAATATAATCATTATAATAAATGGATAAATAATAAAGATTGAAATATTCAAAATTCAGGAATATAAATTAGATAAGTTATTTTGTGTAAGCATAAGTTTAAATTTTAGATATAAAAAGAAGTATGCTTTAGTGATTTAAGATAAAAAAAAATAAAAGAATTTAAATTGAAAAAGTTGAAAATTGAATATAGATATAGATAATTATTGATAAATAATAGTTATAATTTTAAAATATGTTTTAGATATAGATTTTCAATAGTATTTAAATAAGTAAAAATAAAATTTAAAGATGAAAAAATTATATTTGTAAGTATAAATGGTATCTAAATTTATTTTTAATTTATTAAAGTAATAGTGTTGTTTTTAAATTTATTAAAAAATTTATTTTTAATTTATTAAATATATTTGTTTTTAATTTATTAAATGTGTTTATTTTTAATTTATTAAATGTATTTTTAATTTATTAGATGTTATCTTATAAGCTCTCTTTGTTATTTTAAATGTATTTATTGAATTTAATATTTTTTTCTTTTTTTAAATAGTTTTTGTAAATAATAATAATCTCCAATCTAGTAAACAAAACAGATAAAAGAAATGATAAAATAATATAATAATAATAAATAAATAAATACTGACATTTCATTCAAAACTACATAGCCAAAGAAAAAACCTACTACTAAACATACTATATATCATACAACTTATTGTACTTAATTAGAGAAGAAGATGAGCAATGTATATCAATTGAAGTTACTAGTATCGTCCTTTTGCAATCTAAAATTTGAAAAATAACAATAATAATATATATTAAAATAAAAAAATAAAAATTTATAAAACACAATCAAAACTCAAGAAATTGAAAGCAAAATAATCCAATGAAACAACAAAGTAATATAAAGAAAACCATTATGAAAAAATCATTGAAACTGGTAGGTATTTATATATATGTACGTAGCTCTAGAGATCTAGATAAGAAAAAAATTTTAAAAATTTTAAATTTTCAAATTCAAAAATGCAAAAGGTTTAAATTTTTAAAATTCAATAATTTTAGATTAGTTATTATTATTATTATAAAAACATTTAAAAGAATCATTTAATAAAAAATTTCAAAATGAGGTAGAATTTCAAAATTTTGTAAAAAAAAGGTATACTAAACAAAGGACGATTATTTATATACTAAGCAAAGGACCACGCATTGTGCGGTCACTTTATTTTCTTATTATATATCATTTTTTTAAATGAACAATACTACTTATTAAAAAAATAAAAGATACATAGAACTTTAAATAAAAAATTAAACAAGTAAAAAAACTTTTAATATATCATCAAGTTATTACACTTGATTTTGATCAATAATATATAGAATTGGATTATATATTATGTAATTATATAAATTTACATAATCAAACATTAGAACATTAGATAAAAAACATATGCTAAAACTAAATTGAATTGAAATAAATAAAAAATATACTATATTTATAAATATAATTCCGAAATTATTATGAACTCGTGTAGATCCTAAAAAGTTAATAATCAATTATACATAGGTAAAGAATTAATTGGCTATATATTTAGGGGGCGAGAGAGAAGCGGGGGCAAACAAAAAAAATTACCTAGTACAATAAACAAAATAATTAATTGGCTGTTTTACATTTACCTTGTTGGCACTCTTGAATGTCAAAACCTGATTTGCAAGCCAATCCATAGATAAAACGAGAGATAGATGATTTAAAAGTTAAAAATCTGATTTGCAAGTTACTTGATAGATAAATATAGATAGGATTATATTTTAAAAGTTCTAATCAATACTTTTTAAACAATAGAGTAAATGATAGATGAATAAAAAGGATAAATGAATGATTTTATGGTATCAAAAATTTGTAAAAAAAAGAAAAATACAGCTTGAATTAAGATTTAATTAATTTAACTAAATTAAAACAATCATGTAAAATAAAAATAAAAAATTACAGGAATGCATCATCAAACCAAGAAGGAAACTCCATAATTATAATATAATAGCAAAATAATGAATTATTTACTTCGATGGACTTGGGACTGGAAAGAGAAAAAGATTTCTGTCAAAAAAAAAAAAAAAAAAAAAAAAAAAAAAAATATAGCAAAAATAATGAATTTATTTACTTCGATGGACTTGGGACTGGAAAGAGAAAAGATTTCTGTCAAAAAAAAAAAAAAAAAAAAAAAAAAAGAAAGAAGAAAAAAAAGTATATTAACATTTGATTTTGAATTCTAAAAAAAAAAAAAAAAAAAAAAAAAAAAAAAAGAAAAAAAAGTAATTAACATTGATTTGAATTCTACCAATGGAAAAAAGTAATTATAAGTATGAGAAAACCTTGAATCGAAAGCCATGTATAATCATAAATTAAACTATATATAGTAATTATAACAGACAAGACGAATGAAGAAATCTACTAAGTTTAATATAAATAGATCCCAAATCAAGAAAATAACAATCAATTGTATTTTATATCAACAACAACTCATTCAAGAACAAAGAAAAAACTGAACATCAAACTGTGATAATGAAAATAGAAGCACAAAAAACTGAAACTTGGTAGATGGTGAATGACTGCTTCCCTTTAAAACATGATTTTGCCGTTACTAACACTCTTATATTTAGTTCCCTTCAAAAATTTCTATCATGAAATCAAAGTATATTGAACTCTATATATAAAAGAATTTGAAACTTTTTAAAAATTGTTGTTGTTAGACGATAACACACTATAGTAGGAGATAAAGATAATAAATAGTTAAAATTTTAATGTTTTAGAAATGAAAAAAATTATAAAATTAGTTTATATTTCAAAAGTTGTCATTATTATCATTAATTATTAAATATTTTATTTATGAAAAGAGGAAAAGTAAATAATTAAAAATTAAAAAATTTATAAAAAAGGAAAAAAAATGTGAAAGAGAAGACTGCCACGTCAGATTTGTAATTTTTTTTTTTTACTTTAGGATTATACATATATATAGATATTATTAAGTTATTATTTATATAACAACTTTATTTATGTTTATTTGTAATGAGAAATAATTTATAATTTCTTTTCATTTGCAATTTTTAATTATTTGATTTTCATAAAAATTCTAATTAAGGTTTAAATTCAAATACAATAATCACCATTTTAAAAAAAATACAATAAATCACAAATAAAATTCTACAGATTAATAAAACATTGTAATAAATTAATTATTTCAATTTTCAGAAAAAGTACATTTCCAAAGACAAAAGCTAGGATTCATATTTAGGAAGGAAAAAAATTGAACATGCAAGTTAGAGGGGCAAAGTGATGAAGTCATGTTATATATTCTTGAACAGCTTTAATATTCTTAAGTGAGGGCAATTTCCCACTCTCATGTCAACATAGCTTCGTCCCCCCCTTTCCAAGAAAATTATTTCTTAAAAAATAATTGATATTAAATTATAAAATATAATACTATCAATAACACATATTTAAGTGTAAAGAAAATTATTCCTCAAAAAATAATTGCTATCAAATTATAAAATATAATACTATAATAAATTGCTATCAATGTATAAAAAGATATAAATACTATCATATACATAATATATATATTATAATTATATATATATATATTATAAAAGTATATATAAAAGTGTATTTTGATAATAGGGTAAACCGATAAATCTATTACACTTAACTAAATGAAAAATGGAGTTGATAATACAAACTAAACAGAAACACTTTATCCATTTTGTGAAAAATTATAATTCTTTAGTCTACTTATACCACCCCAACCAAACATCACCTTCGTTACCTCGCACCAAATGCACCTTAGACCTAACTAATTAAATTGACCCACTGGAATAATAAATTTCATTTACTTATTTGTCCCCATTAAATTTATAAAAATGCCATCACAACCTAACCCTATTTAAGTTTTACAATAATTTTCTAACTGAAAAAAAAAAAAAAAAAAAAAAAACTCGAAAAAAAAAAAAAAAAAAACAAAAGCACATTTTGCAATTAAGCTTTTCACCAAAGTCGCAAAAGGGGAGAATTATATCCAAAGAAAGCCCTCGCTATTCATTCACACTAAAGTGAAAAAAAACATTTCCCTTAGTATCTTGTGAAAAAGAGAATTCCAATTCCTAATTTGAAATTTTACGCTTGCAGGAAGTAACCAGGGTAAATTAAAAAGCTAAGGAAACAAAAAAGTCATTTAGATAATTTGCTTTTATTTTGTTTTAAATTAAACTCTAATTTTTTTAAATTTTTATTTAATTGAGAAGAGGGATATTTAAAAAAAAAAAAAAAAAAAAAAAACACATTTTGCAATTAAGTTTCACAAAGTCGCAAAAGGGGAGAATTAATCCAAAGAAAGCCCTCGCTATTTTCACACTAAAAGGAAAAAACATCCCTTAGTTCCTTTTGAAAAAGAAATTCCAATCCTAATTTGAATTTTACGCTGCAAGAAGAACCAGGGAATAAAAAGCTAAGGAAACAAAAAAGTCATTAGATAATTTGCTTTTATTTGTTTAAATTAAACTCTAATTTTTTTTTAATTTTTATTTAATTGAGAAGAGGGATATTTAGATTAAAGAAATAATGGATTTAAAATAATTAATTATTCCAATGAAGACGTGTGGGGAACAATTGTAACTGTAAAATTAATTATTAAATGAATATATTTTATTATACATTTACTGAAAAAAATTTCTGAATCCGCCAACGTGACTACAACACAGAAAAAGTCACAGTAGTAGAACAACTAAATTGGAGGCTTAAACAAAAACTGTTTAAATTTATTAATTTTAATCAAGAGCACAGAAAAAGCCACATGCCATATGCCACTCCTCTCTATATTGGCATACAAGAAAATCAAATCCAGTTACAATATCTATACAATATATATAACATATATAATATTTAGATGTATGCAGCCTGTCTCCACAAAGCAGCAAATTTTGTAAAATCTTCCATTTCACCTCTGAAGGCATGCATGGCAACCATAATCATAAATAAAACACAAAATGCTTGTTTTCCAGCAGATGATGGACATGGATCGATCCGGGCGGTTTCAATGAAGATGAAAGAATAAGAAATGCATCCAATCTGTCAATATTTTTGAACGCAAAAATCCCAATTGAAGCAGCCATGAACTTGACATTGAGGCCGGACCCTGCATTCACATTAGACAAAAAGTTAATTAGATGTACACGTATAACTGTATATATATTGATCCATTGGAGAAACTACGACTCACATACATATATTAAGCTGCGAGGACAATTCCAGGTGCTGCCTTAATTCCGAAATTAGTGACATTTCCATGGCCTGGAGTGAGTAAATCAATATTAATTATGTTATAAAATGGGATACATCTTAAAATTTTAAGGTAGCTTGAAATTGTTTGATTAAGACAGAAGCAAAGTTCTTACTAAGTGGTGTTTTCAACACAAAAAAGCAAGCTCCGATGACAACATAGCACAGCAGTAGAGCTAATCCTTTCAAGTAATGAGAAGTTCCATCCTGTAATTAATGGACGAAAGGAATTTAATTTCAATAACAATAGACAAGAAAAATTTTAATTCTTTTTTTGTAATCTGTTTGTCCTTTTGGCATATATGAAGGATATTTATGTAGTCTTGCCTGTAAAGTGAAGGCTGTGGCGATAATTGCTAGAGCAAGAGTACCAGTTTCCAGGAGATTGAAATTAAGATCCATCTTAATACCCATTATCCAAGCAACAATCACACATAATGGAACCTGAAAATCCAATTACAAAAATTATTACTTTGGTTGGAAATTAAAGAAATTGATCTTTAATTGGTTGGTATTTCTACTTGAATTCTTACCACAAACATGGAAATTTGAGTTGCAGAACCCAAAGCAACACCTAAAGATATATCCTGCATTTTGTGACCAAATACTCATTAGGGAAATTTTCAAGAAAAAAATCAAAATAAAAGAAGAAATCAAGAAGATAATTTGTACTTACCAACTTGTTCTTGAAAGCAAAAATGATTGCTCCAGCATGTTCTGCTGCATTTCCAACAATAGGTAGCAAAATAATGCTAATGAAGCTAACTGATAGGCCCCAAGAATCAGAAGCATCCTATTAAAAAAAAAGAAGTAAAAAAGAATCACGAGGGTTTGAATCTTCCACTCTCAATTTTTCTTTTTTCTTTAAGATAATACTATAATAGTTTAGTAATTACCTCAATTGTGCCAACAACATATTCAGACAACAAAGCAATGACAGCAGTCATTCCTACTAGCCAAATAATTCCACTCCAGAATCCTATAACAGGCACTTCTTCTGGAACATCATCATCACCGTCCTCGGATTCCTGATTATCAAGTACAGAACTTAACTATCTCTCTCTAATAACTTCAATAAACTAGTAGTATAAGGATTTTGTTTTTAAGTGTATTGTCTGACATTTGCACGAAAAATCATTTGAAAAATTTATTTCTCTCTAGTAAACTAAAAATCACACTCTAGTGAGAAGGAGGGAGTACTAATAAAATTAATCACCTGAGGCGCTTCAAACAATTGCCTGTGTGTGACTAGTTGAAAGAAGATGTATGCAACGTATGCAAGAAGCATAACAATACTACTCGCTCTCGAGAGCTGCAGTGTTGGGAGTGCAGTAATAGCAGTAGAAGCGCCCGCAATTCGAAACAACAATGGCAGCATGTGGCACAACAATCCCAGTAGCAGAAGCAGTATATTCACGTCAGCTTGTTTCTGTTGAATAATTCATAATTAATGCAAATAAAAGCAATATTAATTATCAATTTATTTTTGACTAGTAAGACAGTGGTAGTAGTAATTAATAAGACAAAAGCTTACTCTGTCGTATTTTTGTTCTTTTCCAACGTTTGCAATCCCACCACAGAATAAAGAGGTCCCAAGAACCAAAAGCAGGTTTGACAGTACGGAACCCAAGAGGGAATACTTTACCACCTCTATCTTTTGTTGGCTTAGTGCAAAAATAGCTATTATCAGTTCAGTTGCATTGCCACAAGTTGCATTTAGGAGTCCTCCCACTGCAAATTAAAACCCATAAGTTTAATTAGAAATCTTAAGTTTATGAGGATAAGGGAAAAGATTATAATATAATATAATATAAGATATGGATAGTTCAGATAGTGACATAGCAACTTGGTTTGTCTCTACATGAAAGACAGGAATCATTCTGCAGGCATTTACTGAGTTTTTTTTGTTCTCTTAATCATCAAAGAAAAGTCTTCAGACTTCAGTACAAGGATCCAAAGCTCTATACTTTTTGTAATCCTTTTTGAAGATTAACAGTCTAATTTTATTCTAAAGTTTCTTGAGAACCTATATGTACTTGCACTCCATGATCACCAAAATGATAAAGAATTAAGGAAATTAATCTTATACCTGTTGGACCGGTATAATAAGCAATTTGCCTGCGATTTTTGATCAAGAACAACAAAAACAAAAGAAAGATTAATGCCAATTACACAATCAACAATAGAAAACAAAAATGTTGGAATAAAAATTTTCTTACTCAGTGAGAAAGCTGACTCGTTCGGCTAGCGGGGTTAGTCCAAGCAAACTGAGAGCAAAAACCCACGGCTGTGTACAGGAAATTTTTAAAAAAAAATCAATTTATTTAATTAATTTACCTAATCTTGAAATGGGAATAATAACAGTAAACCCTAAAACTAGAGGAATGAATTAGTAAGCACTTACTCTTCCGAAGCCATAGCACTTAGCAGCAATGGCGAGTGCAATGGCGGGGAAAAGAACAGAAAGCTTAGTCCCTAAAATGACTTCCTGAAGATTTGTTAACAAATTTCTAAGCAACCCACAGCGGAGTTTCGAAACAAGGGTCAGATCAGATTTTTTGCGCAGAGAAGAGGAAGACATGTTATGAGCAGTTCTTCCGTGTCGCATCTCCTTGCTTAATAATTTAACGTTGCCATTTTCAAGAAGGCATGGTTCCTGCATTGAAGCCATTGATGATGGTGGTTTGGTTGGTGCAACAAGCCAAATAATATTGCGTACTACAAAACAAATCCCCCCAAAAGAAATCGCAGAAGGAAACGTTTTTCTCTTTTGACTCTGCTAGCTGGTTATCGTTCTCGCTGGAGATGGTGTCAAAGGCGTGAGAATGTACTGTTATAAATAGAAGCGCTTGGTTCAGTTCTTGAGAAGCTAGGTCTAAAGGAGAGCTTCTGCATCTTCCTGGAAACTTCGTATTTTTTGTTTTCATGCATTATTGCAGAGGTTAAGGATAAGCTAACACTGCTGGTTTTATTTTTCGATGATAATTATCATTGGCTTTTTTGTCTCAGGAATTTTAAATACAATCTTTAAGATAGAATTGTATTTGGACTCTTGTTAATCTGAATCAAAATTTTCCATTTGGTAAATTTTTATTGAAATAAGTTTGTTTTTTTTTACAGTTTAGAAATGTTGTAGATTAATTTTTGCAAATCTTTCATTTTTATATTGAAATTAGGGATTTGTAATTGAGAAACGTATATATACCATACAGGGCATTTCTTAAAAATAAAATATTATAAAAAGGATTTAATTGGATCAATTCAGAAAAATCCATAAAAGAAAATAAGAGGAGGTAAATTGATCTTTTTTAAAAAAAAAACATACATTTATAACTGAAATCATGAATAAAAATATCTTTAGAAAGACTAGACTTACCTAAAGTTGTACATGATATCTATCTATGAACCAAATCAATCAAAATCAATTTTAATAAGGATGAAACTAAGTAAATTTTTTATTAAAAAGGTTAATCTTTAGAATTTAAAAAAAAATAAAATAAAATTTGCTATTAATTAAAAGGAAAAATGGCATACCTATATTTAGGGTATTTGGAGACAATTAGTTGTATCAGTTAACGAAGATGGACATGATTGGTTGTAAATCTGCACTAATAAATTTACCGCAGAACTGAAAGAAAAAAAAAAATCAAGAAGAGGTCTAAAGAGATTTAAATATTTGGAATGGTAAAATTGATTTCATTTGAATTCTAATTGATTTTGTACAAAAAAAAAAAAAATATTTTCTTGGCTTCATGGAAATTCTTTATTCAATAATGCAAGTAGAATTCTGAGGCTTACATTCCAAAATATCATATTATTATTATTGCCATTACCTGCCCAGTTAGTTAAAGAAAACCCAAGTGAGTGCTTTTCCAACCTTAAAGGCAGGTGAAAAATGAAATAAGTATGATTCCAATCTTTATTGTCATTCTTTCATTTATGATATACAATAGTGAAATTTTGCCTAACAAGAATTCTTTTTTGCAACCTTTTTAATAAGGCTAGTGATCTCTAGAGCTTGACCAGCAAATCAGAGAATTATTTTCTTTCATTTGTTGACTGGAAGACTCTAATTCTAGTGTCCAAACACCAAACCATGTGAGTGGTTTACCACTGGCCGATGACATTTATCTTATGGGAATCTGAAGTTATGTTAAAAATTCTGGTCTTAGTATAGTTGCAAGTACACAGTAACTGTCAAATATAGTTTGTCCGGTATGGCTTATGGCTATTATTCAAAGAAAATAAGTGCTGTTACATATAGCCTGTCCATGTATCAACTGTCTGTAATCCTTTCCTACCATCAAAATGAAGATATTTTGGCTATACACCAATTGGTGGTGTCTGTCAAACGCCTTCTGGTCTTGGTATAATGACCATGGACTTTGATAGTATTATTAATAATAAAAATTTATATTCTTGTTTATAAATAGATTCTCTTTTTTCCTCTTAGATACAGGGAAGAGGCAAGGAGGAGATGGGGAATGGCATTGAACCTGGATCAATTCATGCAATTGCATGAGAACCAATCACAAGCTGGCTAAGCTTGAATCCCTCGTTTATAAATACCACTTCAATCTGAAATTCCTATGGGGTTTTGCCAGCAATAATAATTTATTATATATATTAACTAAACAAAGAAACAAACCGAACAGAGAGTTCTGAGCCACATGATTTGCCGACCACAAACTGGTAAACATATATAGAAAACAAATACGACTCTAGAAATGAAAATTTGCAGACCACATTTCTTATTGGACACAAAACCAAAAACAACCGGAAGCCAAAGCCAGACAGATAGTTGTTGTCTTAGCGTAAATGTGTCACAATCATTTATATAATAAATTAATAATAGTAGATTTGTCATGCATCAATTAATGAACTGTCACTTTTCTATATATATTGTGTGATGGGTAAATTAATAGGTAAACGGCACATGCATGATATAACTACACGATTGATTTTGCAATTTGAGGATGAAAGAGAAAAGTCAGGTACAGCCTACCGTACATTGGTATAGGAACCTTCACAGAGCAATTGAACCCGTAAATATTGGGGCTGCATGGGGGGACCTTTAGGCTTTAGGTTGACACTTTGACTGCCTAAATTTTGGAAATAAATTAATTAAATTATTGGGAAATTTAAGTTTAATAGCTATAATATCGCATGAAATGCATATTGAGTTTATATTAAAATTGGATTCAGAATATTGAGTTGGATTCCAATTTGAAATAATTTCAAAAAAAAAAAAAAAAAAAAAAATAAACGCCACTATGCATGATATAACTACCGATGATTTTGCAATTTGAAGGATTGAAAGAGAAAAGTCAGCGTACCCAGCCTACCGATACATTGGTTATGAGGACACCTTCAAGAGGCAACTTGAAAGCCACGTAAATCCATTTGGGCTTGCATTGGGGGGACTTTGGCTTTAGGTTGACACAGTATTGACTGCGCCTTAAATTTTGGAAATAATTAAATTAAATTATCCTGGAAATATTTAAGTTTAATAGCCGTTAATATCCGCATGAAATGCATATATGAGTTTAGATTAAAATTGGATTCAGGCAAATTATTGAGGCTTGGATTATCCAAATTTGAAATAATTTCAAAGAAAAAAAAATAAAAAAAAAAAAAAAAAAGAATTCTTAACTATAAATACTGAATTGAAACTGGAGCTTGAGAAATTATTATATAAAAGATCTATACCGATTCTTGTGAATAACTAAACTTCAAAAGATTTCAATTCGGATTCCTATTTTCTATTTAAAACTATAAAAAAAAAAAAAAAAAAAAAAAAGATCTTAACTATAAAAACTGATTGAAACTAGTTGAGAAATTATTTATAAAGATCTATACGATCTTGTTGAAATTAACTAAACTCAAAAGATTCAATTCGGATTCTTTTTCTATTTAAAACTATGACCATGTCTAGCTGATTATTTATTTCTTGTGTAATAAGTGAGTAGAGTTGAAATTCATACCTTTTTTTTTCCAATTTCCGACGAGGAACCTTCATTGAAGCTTCTTCCTACACCAAAATGTATAAATACAGTTATATATACGGAAGTTAACCTATTTCTCCAAGAAGGACATGATGTGCAAATCTTAGGGTTCCTTTCATAGCAGGAAAATTCTCCCACGTCAAGGAAGTCCATGAATCATCCATTATAAGTTTCTATTTCCTTCATGAAAATCTTACTTGAAGGACAACAGTGCTATTAATTACCATTAGAGGAAAGACAAATGTGATTTTTGTACGATCAATCGCAATATTATTCCAAGCATTTCCCATTCAAAGATTTAATTGGTTTTGTCCAGATAAAAGTCTTATAATAAACCATTAATGTACCAATATTTGTTGCTTTCACCCTTTATTATCAAATGTCCGTACAAATGTAAAAAAATGTCTTATAGTATATGTGTCTGTTTATCGGTATGCAAGAAGCCAAATGGAAGGTAGAAAGAAATTTCCAAAGAATAGGGTTTGGTTTTCAAAAACTAAAATGTGCATACATCTATAAAATTACCACAATATCCATTTTGGCCAAATATAAATCTTCCTAATTGTTATCTAGTTAGTTTTTTGTGAGCAGGGTATGCAAGATTTTTCTGCAACAAAATGCTGTTAAAGGGATTATCTGTAAGTAGTTCGATTTAATTTTGCGATAGTTGTTCTATTTTCTTGTTTGAAGTAAAGTTTAAATTAATTTGGTATTTCTAATTTCCTGCTAACTTTCCAAAAGCTTTGATTAACATTTTCTTGTTAATGAAGTTTATGGATGTGATTACAGTTTCTACCTCCCTATTATTTATCCATATACAATCTGCTTGGTGTGGCCTCATTTTCAAGGTATTACCATTTCCAGAACTTTTCATATACTCCAATTATAGTTTAAGTTTTCTATAATTTCTATTTTGAAGTAAAGTTTTATAATCTGCTTGTTGTGGCCTCGTTTTCAAGTTATACATATTAGTGACACTGCTGATCTCCCAAGCTTTCTAAATCCTCTCCCATTATTTCCTTGTTTTGTAGCCATTTTCCTAAGCTAAACTTTTACAGACCATATGGAAAATCATGTGATAATAATTAATATTACAGTTGTAGATATATAGCTAAGTATTGATTTAGGATAGTGGAAGAGTGTCGAACCACTCATTCCCTGAACTTCGTTGGTAAAAATCAATAATATTTTAGATTTTTTTGAAGAAAAAGGAACAACCAATAATGTTTTGAACATTACTTTATATATATCCATTTGAAACTCTTAATCAATTACACATATATGTATATGAATCATCACTTGCCTCCAAAAAACAGACCACTTGGAAAATACGCCCATCCAGAAACTGACTCCTGGTAACTGCAAACCTTATGATGGGATTCTGCCCCACTTGCATGTGTATCGTAATAGAACCCCCTAACACAATTTCCAGGAAGTTTCCTCTTAACTATATCTCCACTCATTAATCTGTAGACAAAAATTAAGTATCTACTTGTTCTTCAATTCCATAATCCACAATAAGACAAGCTTTTCCCAGCAGATATATGATATGTCTAGTCCGTTACGGAACAAACAAATCAAATACATATCTACTTTATTGTGTATATCTCGAAAGTTTCTTGGCTCTTCGATTTTGGAAATTGTACATTATATGCTCTCTTTCTGGTTTATAAGGTTAATTTTCTTTCAGGATTCTTAGTTATCCACATCAGAACTTATAGAAGTCATCTGTTTATTTTACAGCTGAGCTATTCCTTGCGGGCAGAAAATAATCTTTGTTCATAATGTTATCATTATCTTTAACAGGTTTGCATGAAAAATTTTTCCTTTGTTTCCAAATCTGTGAAATTTCATCAATTTGGTAAGTTACACAAACAGTCTTTTTACTAAAAATTGGAGGAAGACTGTGTATCTCAATCCTTCTCAGAGCCCACACATACAAAATGCTTTGTAAGCTGGTTTACCCTTGGATGAAAACTATTAGAAGAGAATGTAAAGTGCAACTAATAATAGTTTTTCGTTTTATTTAACGTAATTTCAATTGATAAAAGAACAGATAGATATCTAAAAATAGCGAGCCTTGAAATTTCGAGGAAGTTTCCTTTCTTCCTAAGAGTTCGAAACGGAAAACGGCTGGGCGGTGGCGGTGCCATACCTTCTGTTTTGTCTGGAACGAATGTTTGTCCGTCTATGACAGTGGTGTCCTTTTATGGTCCTGCACTGATTGCGTAAATGAACTGACTCTTATATAATTTGGGTACGTAGTGTATGGTTATAGTTAACTATTCCATCTTGCTTGTTTATATAAATAGTACATTAGATATTTTTAAAGCTGATTTCTGTACCATGAGAGGACCAAACATTGATTTCATAAAAATACTTATATCAATCATTTTATATATTTGAATTTATATATATACACACACATTACTGAAAATATCTTTTTGTGAGTACTTATTATTTTTTCAAAGTTTTTTTACCCGCTATTATTTATCGTTTTGAGAATATTAAAAAATACTTCATCCTTTGTTAAATATTTGTTATATTTGAAAAAATACTATATTTTAAAATATTCTAAAATATTTGTTGTATTTGTGATTTTAAGGAATAATAATTTTTTTTTCATATTTATCCTTTGTATATGACCAACAATTATTGTTTTAATTCTTCAAAACTTTGATTTTTGAATATATTAAATTAAAGATAACATAGTCAATTTACGCAATAAGTTATTGTAACTTTAATGAGTTTTTTAAGAGATTTGAAATTCCAACGTGGCTGATATTTAAAAACGGAAAGATTAGTAAATAATTTTTTTAATAGGACATTTTTTACTAAATGAAATAACTATTTTCTATAATTTCTTAAAAGTTGAAACCCTTTTTACTTCTCTCTTTTCTTTTTTTAATTTTAGTGACAAAATAATAGAAAGCGAATTATTAATATTGGAATAATTGCGTGAGATAAAGGATAAATTAAAAAGTAGTATCATATTTATAATTTAGGTAATTTAACATATAAAAGTGGATGGAGAGAGTATGTATTTGCAGTATCGACACACTCTTTACACTGTAATGAAAAGAAATATAGAGAATTGAGGGGGAAATGAAGAATTTAATGCGAATTTGGAGCTAATTGTAATTTTCATGGGGAAATCAGCCTGTGAAGCTGAAATGCTATGCAAGTACAAAAGAATGCAAAGGAACTTCTTACTTAATGATAGCTTGAGCTTGTTTGTCGGTTCATTAAATTTATTTTGGAAATTAAGAGAAAAAGTTGACTACCAGAACATAAACTTATGTAGGATTAGTCAATCGCGATTTGATTTTAATGTTATATTTAAAAAAGAAAGACAGACAAAATAGATGCTGCTAAGAACAACAGTAATAATATTTGTTGTTGTAAATTTATTTCGGACAGAACTTTTTGTTGTTGTAAATTGTAATTTCTTTTATATTTTCAAAATAGATTGTGGATGGACTTATAATTTTTGTTCCACCAAGACTTAAATGGGGTCAGAAAGTCACAACATCATACATTCATGAAGTACCGTTTGCAATTGGCAGTATCCTTTTGTATGTTTTTGGGTTAGAGGAAAGAGGCACATGGGGAGCACGTGCATAGTATAGTATCTCACATAAATGTCAGAAATGGGGTAAATCTTATCTCCCTGAACACAGAAAACAATTACACTAAATAATAATTTCTCTTTACATCTTTAACTTGCACATATTGATGATAAGAGAACAACTTTTTCCTACATTGCCCTTACAGGTTCAAGAAAAATACTAAAAAACCCATGTACATTAAGTATGTATTAAGTGATGCTAAGACAAATATCAAAGAAATAAACTGTTTTCTCACTCTATTACCTTCGAATTTTTCAAATTAAATTACAAGGAAGCTAAGGTTGTTGGTTTTTTGGGGTGGACACAAGATGTTAAAGGATGGCTCTTATTACATGTTGATGAAATCAATCACCGGAGTTAGATTTCTCTTTAACACTCCAAATTTATGTTGGATTGTATTATTTCTTAGGTAGACTGTAATTTTTGAGAAGATGCATCTATATGGCCACACTCTCAACAGATGAAGTATTTCCTGGCATTTTTAGGTTTTTTTTTTTCTCCTGAAAATATTTCGGATAAAGTAAGTTGTGTTTTCCCGTAACTGCCAGGGTTGTCGTGCATGGGATGTCATTTATACTTGTGTGGCTGGTCCTTGTTTGTGTCAAGGATATTTTGGAAATTTACACAAATTCTCTCTTTTAATAATTAAAACTAAAATTAGGTTAATATTTGAAGCTAAGGGATCACTCTTAAAACAAGAATCTTTTAGACTTTGTTTGGAAAGAAGAAGGAACATGATAGAAAAAGATAATGAGGAATTGCAATTCTTTTCTACAATTATTTTCCATCATTATTTGGATATAACGACGGAAAATTTATTTTTATTTATTTAGAAAAGCAAAATTTTAGAGAAAAGAAAATGTTATTATTATAAATTTCAATTATGTATTCATTTAAATAATGAGGTATTTAATAAAGGATTAAAATTTATTTAATGTAAAGTATTTAGGCAATTCAATTAAAATAAGTGAAATTCACACTTTTCCGTTATTTTCCCTCCAAATTAAAGAGATTCAAAACATGTTAACCCCAATAGAAAATAAGGCTCTATTTATTTCCGTAAAATAACTTATGAGAAAATATTTTCCAATTGTTTGGGGCATTTAAGAAAATAAGTCAACGATAAATATTTTCCTGATTAAAAGAAAATTAAGTCATTTTTTAAAGAAAACAACTTTTCATTTTAGAGAAAGTAAAACATTTTTCGAACATTAACAAACCTTATAAATCCATATTTTTTAATTTATAAATCATTATAGTCACTACTACCAGTCAACATTTACCACCGACCACCACCACCAGCTACCTGTGGCTTTCATAATTTACATTTTTTTTTTTTTTTGGAAAGGGCATTAAGAAAATAAGTCACGAAAATAGGTTTTTCCTGATTTAAAGAAAATTTAAGTCATTTTTGAAAGAAAACAACTTTTCATGTTTTACGAGAAAGTAAAATCGTATTTTGGTTCGAACATTAACAAATACCTTCATAAATCCCATTTTTTTTTAATTTATACAATCATATATAGTCACTTACTTACCAGTCAACAATTTTACCACCGACCTACCACCTGAACCAGCTACCTGTGGTCTTTCATAATTTACATTGGGTTTTTTTTTTTTTTCATATTCTTTCATATTTAAAAATAAAAAATTTGTTAAATTATTAAAATTTCTGTATTATTAATTTTTTATGGTCTTGATGAGATTATATTTTAATATTTATTAAATAAGAATTTAAAGATGTTCCAAAAATAAAATCTTTTAGCTTTCATAATTTACATTTTTTTTTTTTTTCATTCTTTTCATATTTAAAAATAAAATTTTTAAATTATAAAATTTCTGTTATTATTAATTTTTTTATGGTCTTATGAGATTAATATTTTAATATTTTTAAATAAAGAATTTAGATGTTCCAAAATAAAATCTACAATCAAAAAGCAAGCTAAGCTATTTTAAAGAAAAATAAAATGACTTCTCGTTCAAAATGAAACTAGTTTTCTGCATTCCAAAAGCTTATAAAAAAGAAGAAAGAAAAGAACATATGAAGGAGCCATATAGGCACTTGTACTCATTAGTTAATCGACCAACAATTTCCAATTGTTAGCACTGACTTTGACTGGCATCAATCATAATTTATCCCCTTTTTCTGTAATTTTTCTCTCATATTTAGATTTAAGAAGATAAAAAGAACGGTACGAATCTTATGACGGTGAGTCAAATATTTTCATAACTAATTTATTAAAAGAACATTGACATTTTTCAACATCCTCTGACCGCTAAAAATTAATTTTCAACTGATTTTCAATATTGCAATTAAACAACAGGAGAAAATCATTTTCTGAGAAAATATTTTTCAAACATATAAGTTTTTCCATCAAACAAATGGAGACTAACATCCAAAGATGATCAAATTTGAAAGCTACACGCTTAAATAAACATATCCAAGTCAGCATCAAAGCCAAAGCAAAATTCTGTTTGGAGCCACACAGGTATTATATGATAGCCATACCTTGTCAGCTTGCTAATACAGGCCATCAGGATATGCCTACGTCACCAGCCAGTATACCAACGTGACCCTATTGCAGGTTCATTACATCAAGCAGATACTTCCCATCCTGCAAGAAAGAATACCGATCTCCTGACTCACTCCAAAGCTATTGGCAACCGATATACAGCTTCTTCAAATGGACACTGCAGCACAGAACAGAACAAAAAGATTTATTGCAAATACAATGCCTTTATGCACTGAACAGCGGAAGAGAATCCAGGAACATCTGCTACCTTCTACCTCCTACAAGTACAAAAAAAATATATATATAACATAAATAAGAGTTCGTGCCTACTGGCTAATATTAATTAATAAAAAGGATCCAATTCGGACTTCATAACAAGCCATGGAACTTGCAAATTCTCAATTACATAGTAGTTTCAACTGTCAATTCTATTCTGTCTTCTGGATGCAGATCTCTACGTTTTATGCAGTATACGCGTGATCCAAGATGCTTAACTTCAAGTCCAGCAACCTCGCAACCATTGAAGAATAGGGATTCATCCTCCTTGCCAATCCTACGTCTCCAACTCATCAAAAATGCTGGCCTGGGCATCCCCAAGCATGTTCCTGCCGGGAAGGCATAAGAAAAATAAGCAATGGTCACCGTTAGATTCTACTCTCCTATAAGAAATCAAATAGTGATTACAATACTACCTCCACTCTGTTCGTTTGCTATGATTGCGGTGTCATTTTTTGGCTTGTAGGAATTGAGTAGAAAGGAAAGAGTTTTTATCAAGTTGGAGTATTGTTTCACATCTACAAGCATTAAAGGGGAAAAAAAAAGAGTATAACTTAAACAATTTCTAGGTGAGAAAATACAAAAGAAGCTCATTCTGAAATTTCAACATGGATATGCAGTTCCCTATAGATCATAGCAAGCTAGGATCCAGCAAGCGTCAAACATGACAAGTTATATTTCTCATGAAACGGCAGATAATTACTGCTCTTTCTAACTACACAACTCTATCATATTACTTTGAAACCATTATTCTCTTTTTTATTACCAGATACAAACAGAGGGAATTCATACAGAAGGCAACAGAACACGGGAGGGAAAGGAGCAAAAGCAAGACAAAAATCAATTGGCAAAGCCATAGAACTTTAGAAGAAAGATATATGGCCAACAAGGATGATCTTGATTTGTTGATCCAGGAGTCCTCTGGATGGAACCCACCATCAAACACTCCAGGAAAAATTGGGGAGATCATCTGCAGATGATTAATTGCCAAAAATCCTTTATTTATTCCCAAATTGCCTGATACTTGCAACAATGACGGTGAATGTGGGAATTCCTGAACAAGACATGATCTACATAGATTCGCAATAAGAAACTTGACATCAAGATATTTCGATGTTTTTCTAGGATCACCATTTCCATCACTTAAAATGAATGCAATTGAAAAAAAAAGGTAAAAAAAAAAAAAAGAAAAGAAAAGAAAAGTCTTAACAACAATAGTAACTGGTTTAATGAATGCTTTCATTTAAAGTTTTCCACACTAAAGAACATTATAAAAGTTGTAGAAGTTGGCAGATAGAAGCTTACATAATAAGATATCACTAGCTATAATCAAGTCCCAATCAGGATCAGCAACAGGAAAGGTGTCCCCCCATGAATCTGATATAAGAACATAAGAAGCTTTAATTTAACCTAATGCAATGCTGCAAGATCTTTGTCCATGAAAAACAAATAGAGAATTGGAAATAAAATTTTATTCCTCACCACTTGAGCCAACAATAAGATTATTTTTCCTATAAGCATAAGAGAAGCCAGAAGTACATTCACAGTCAAGATCATTAGGAAGCCATCATGTGGTAGATCCCACCAAATTGATGACTTGCTCAAGATTAATGCTGAAGAGGTTAAAATAAGCACCTCATTACCAGAAATCCTATTTATAATCAACATTTTCTTTTCAATTTTCAAAAGGAACAAGTTAAGTAACCTAATAATTCATCAGCTTACAGTAGTCTATGCTATGATTATACTAAATATCTTCTGTTATGTAGTTAGATAACTAGGCAACTCACGCTTTATATGAGGAAGGGTAGGTGTGATTCCATTAACACGGCAGTTATGAGCTATGTTCTCTTCAATTTCATGATCATCGTAATCTGAGGTTGTGATATCAAGATTAAATGATTTGTGAAGAAAAATAGCCAAAGCTCCTGTGCCACTGCCATAGAATAGAATTATCTGCATCAGCTGTACATTCAAAACTACATGGAATAGTAGCAACAAGATACCACAGGATGGAAACATGAATTATGGCCTCAAGCTCCCATATGTGAAAAAAAAAAAAAAAAAAAAAAAGTAAAAAAAAAAAAAAAAAAAAAAAAAAGTGAAAAAAAAAAAAAAAAAAAAAAAAGTGAGCTTACTAGTACTGACATTGTTGAAGAGAAGAACAATACCTGCCCAATTCAATGCATCGACGTCCTTCTATGTGTGACCTATGTTGAACTAACCATTCTGCAAATGCAAATGTCCCTGGCCAGAGCAAGTTAGCATTCAACTGGTGAAAAGAAAATTCTCTGATGAGCAACTCCTGCATAAGCCAAAAGACATAGAAAGCAGCGAAAATAATTAAAATTCCTTATATATGAAACACAAGTTAAAGAAACAAAACCACCAAGATGCTCTATCATATACATAAATATTACACTGACAAGAACAACTACATCCACATATAATAAATTGAATAAATTTAGCACAGAAATCTAAATAGTTCAATTCTAAAATCAAAATCTTTTCATCTCTACTGGAAAGAAAATGAACTCAATAATGTCATTACTTCTATTTATTTCATCAAACCCTCTAATTTCTTCCAGAAGTTAATTTCAGAGCTAAATAACCATCCCGCTATCTCAGAATATGATGGGAACCAATTCAAGAAGCCATTCTCATACCTAAACGACCAAGGCTCAACACCAAAATTCAACCCTTAAGTACCAGGAAAAGAAAGAAGTATCTACATAAAAAAATTTGCAACTGCTTAACCAAACATTTGCTGTCCAATTCAGTAATCAAACATTTTAAACAGAAAATTTGATAATTTAATCACTAAACCACAACACCAACGCTCTGCCTCACTCTAAATAATTGCACTTGACGATCAACAATATCTAACCATATATATCCCTAACAAATAAGCGAAGAGCAAAAACTAATAACCATTACTTCTAACAATGAGCCTGAAGAGGATTAATTACCATTCCAGGAAAACTGTGCCTCCTCTCCACATAGTTTTGTTCGGTTTCCTTGGTCTCTTCCTCTGAATGAAGAAAAAGTAAACACATTTAGTTAGAAGAAGAAGAAGAAAGATAGGAATATGATTAATAACAACTGTGAGTACCTCTACCATTAGAGGTATCGTCGTCGTCGGCAAAAAGGGAAGACGGAGAAAAGAGAGCTATATCCATGTTTAAGGGTAGATGAACTTGGGAGTACAAAGTGAGAGACTGAGTCATACTACAGAGAATTGATTTGTCTACCGGGCTCGGTCTAGTGGGCTTATCAATGGATGGGCCTTTATCAGTTCGGAATTTAGCATTGGGCTTGAGTTACCCGTATAATGTTGAAAATTATCACTATTTTATTTTATTTTTTGAGAATAAATGTAATATTATTTATTTATAATATTTTTTTCCACTGTTCTTATTGTATTTTTTTATTAACTTAACTGAATCTTTGTTTTTAGCAACCCACCCGAATAATATATTAGGTTAAGCAAATTATGGGTTTCGAATCCAAAATCCTGCTAACTCTTTTATTTCATTTTATTATAACTTTTAAAATCAAGAGTTAACTCTGTATATTAAAAAAAAAAAAAACAAGATGTTAACTCTGTATATTTTAAAAAAAAAAAAAATTAAAAAAAAAAAAAAATGAGTGACATTAAAAAGACTTGTATTAATTTATAAATTATGTATTAGTTTAAATATTAATTAATAACTTATAATTGTGTGTTGCTAAGTTTAATAGCTACTAGATAATGTATGACAAATGTGTATAGCACGTTAGATTACTAAAAAAATCCGTCAATTACATAAAAGCAGCACCTGTGAGGAACAACGAATAAATAATAAATTAAAAAAAAATTCTATAGCACGGTTTTAAGCAAAAACCACTAACTCAATTGATGATTTTAGTGCAACTGTGTCTTTTTGTGTCTTTTTATATCAGGACAAACATTAAATTGATAAATAATTTTAAAATTATATTAAATTAAAAATAGTTTTACGCACAACATTATTTTTATCAAAAGCCCGTTTTATCAAAAGCCCGAAATTCATGAATTCAGAAATTTTAAATGTAATAAAGTTAATCTAAGAAGAGCCTGACTGTACCTACTAAATCTGAAAAATGATCCCTCAACCAGCTCGTCTAAGGAATAAAATATCATTCACCCACAAAAAAAATGCACTGTCCATGTGAAGCAAAGCCATGGCCTAAATTATTTTTGAAACAAAAATCAAAAGCTCACTATATAACAAAATCAATAAGCTCATCTATATATATATCGTATAGGTATATATATATTATAGTATTTTATATATAGGATATATAAGTATTATATTTGGGTGATCTGCGTTCGCACATGATTGCCATTAACAAACTTTATGTTAATACCAATTATAATTAAAAACCTATTTCACCGGTGTATCAATATATATATTTGGTGATCTGCGTCTCACATGATGCCATAAAAACTTTATTCTAATACAATAAATAACCTATCTCACGGTGATCAATAAATATTCTTTTTACTATTATTCAATAGTTCTTAATGTTACATTTAACATTTAACGTTTTAAAGTGAGTTAAACTGTTGTATTACCGAACACTATAAAAAATAACTTTAAAATTTTAACTAATTAAAATATTAAAAATTACTTAAAAAATTATTACTGAATACAGTTTTAGCATTTTGATATCAGGCTAAATTTAATGCCCATGTCAAATTAGGGCTATAAAGGAAAAGCGCTTTCAATGAAAATTATTTTTATTCAAAAATATTGAATATTTGATCTCTTGTTTAAAATACATAAATTCCTTTTGCACTCAAATCAACTTTCGTCAGTTAAAATATAATCTCCATTGATTATATTATTCGGTAACTAGAATTTAAAAGTCAAGAGAATGTTCATGAAACGTTATTCATTATTCGAGCCTGCACCAAATTCATTTATTATTCAAACTTATCAAAATTTAATTATATCATATTTGCTACTTGCTAGGTCGGATAAAATTGTGATCCCTAATTGGCTCATCCCAAAACTTAACCCGAAGCAATCGACCACAGATTAGCTTTCTAAAACGCCTTAATCAATTGCACTTGCCACTAGTTGTTTAACATAGCCCGACAATCATTAAGAATTAAAAAGATTGTACAAGCGAAAAGGACCTATTAGAATGCCAGTTAATCCATCGTTACAGAATGCAGGAGCGGATCCAGTTTAAGAATTGGAGGCAAACCATAATTTTAATTAATGAGAGACTAAAATTAATTTTTATTTTTTTTTTAAAAAATTTAACACTAAAAATTTGAATTTTTTTTTCATCCAGGAGGCGAGCTTCCTTTGGACCTATATGTGTCCGCTCCTGACGGCATCGTTTGCACAACCAAACATCTCCATCCCTACCCCAAACTATTTTAAGAGCATCACAATTGTTTTTTAATATTTCAATCTATAAATTATATCTATTAAATTTTTAAATTTTTGAAATATATGTATTATCAAAATTAGTGATTTTAAAAGATTTTCCGCAAAATTTAAATTGCAACAAAATTTTTCACAGAAAAAGTACATTTAAATAATTTCATGGATTTGACCTACATCCAGACATCAACAAACACGAATATTGAGGCACAGGACAGACAAATCAACATTTAAGTACAGCCGCCCTTATCTGCGCGTACATGGCGTGTAAATCTACCATACAAACATCGCACATATAAAACGCAAACCGAAGATCAGAACGAGAAGAGAGCAAGACCAGCATCAATCAGATTGCTTTTCTCATCATTTATCAATCAGATTTCCCCAATTTCAAATTCGAAACTTCCGAACACGGTCTCCGAACAAAAGACAGATGGTCGGACCAATCAGATCTCAGTTTGTGTTGTTTGGATCATCCATTGTTCAGTTGAGTTTTGGTTTTGATGGATGGGGTGCTGCTCTTTCTCACTTGTATGCTCGTAAGGTAATAATTTGTTCAATTTCTGTTATTTTTTTATTAATTTTAAATTTTAATGATAGTTTAAGTTATTTCGTCTTAGGATGTCTTTATTTGATAGTTTTTTTTTTTTAAATAAATTTAAAATAGGTGAAATTTAAATAATAAAATTTTCTAAATTGTAGTATTTTTTTTTACTGAAATAGTGAATCAAATCATTTAATTTTTTATTATGTATTTATAGTTAAGAAACTGATTAATATAATTAATTAAATTCAAAATTATACAATATCAACAGGCAGATGTTGTGCTGCGAGGATACTCGGGTTGGACTTCAAGGGATGCTCTAAAAATTCTTGATCAAGTTTTCCCACAAGTAATTAATTAATTGCTTTGTTTTAATTAGATATAATTAGACACTGATGATGTATATTTTTATATTGTTATATTAATTAAAAATCAAGAATGACAGAGTCCAACCTTCACTGGCTATTGTTTATTTTGGAGGCAATGATTCAATGGAACCTCCCACATCTGATGGTCCTCTGGTTCCACTCTCTGAATACAAAGAGAACATGAGAAGAATTGCTTTACATCTAAAGGTAATTAATTAATACACAATCCTTCAAATTTTCTATAATTAAATGGTATTATTGAATTTTAGTTTAATTACGTGATTGAATGCAGAGCTTGTCTGAGACAATTCGTATAATCTTTCTCAGCGTTCCTCCTATAAACGAGGAAATGATTAAAGAATATTTGTATGTATTTAATTATATAGATTTTTATCCATAATTAAAATATTTTGAAATATGATTTATTGCTGAATTTGCTGTTGCTAAAATTAACTAGCGGTGGTGAAATGGGTCGAACCAACGAGGGGTGTCGGATATATTCAGAAGCTTGTTTAGAAGTAAGTAAAGAAATGGAAATCACTGCCATTGATCTTTGGACTGCCATACAACAAAGAGAAAATTGGTTGACTACTTGCTTCCTGTAAGTCTTTTTTTTGCCCTTTTGTTTTCTTTCAAGTTGACTATTTGATCAAGTGAATTGGATTGAAGTTGATGAAAAATATAATGTTTCAAATATACTGTTATTATAATTCAATTACCGGAATAACATTGCAGATTACACGACAGGCTAATCCGATTGTCCATTATTTTAAATTGAAGTATATAATTACTTTGGCAATTGAATTGATTTGCATATGTTAATTGTTGAATAGAGATGGAATCCATCTCTCAGGAGAAGGGAGCAAAATAGTGGTGAAGGAGATACTTAGAGTTGTTAGAAACGCAGATTGGAAACCAAGTCTATACTGGCAGTATATGCCAAGTGAATTTCAAGGAATTTCAGCCATTGATCCGGAGAACGATGAAAACCACAAAATCCACAAAATTTTGAAATCAGAACTGGAAAAAAATTTGATCTGAGTATCGTGTACCCATTTGCAGAATAATATTTTTTATCAACAAGAATAAAGGTTACTAAAGGCATTTTGGTTGTATTCCAGTCGTGATTTGTACTCGAGCTTCCCCTTTCGTTTAAATTATTTTTCTTTTATATTATTTATTTTCCTTACACCACCAACATTTAGTTAAAGACTACTAAAATGGTCACACAGCAGACTGCATCTCCTCGTTAGTTCTTCTCAAAAAAAAAAAAAAAAAAAAAAAAAATAAAATTATTCTTTATATTATTTATTTTCCTTACACCACCCAACATTTTAGTTTAAAGACTTACCTTAAAACCTGGTCACCACAGCAGCACTCGCATCTCCCTCGTTAGTTCTTCTCCAAAAAAAAAAAAAACAAAAAAAAAAAAAATTCTTGGGTAGATTAATAATATTAATCTAAGAAAAAAAATCAAAAAAAAAAAAAAAAAAAAAAAAAATCTTTGGTAGATTAATAATATTAATCTAAAAAAAAATCTAAACTTAAATAAGAAATAAATAAACTGGGGCGAAACTAGGGGATTGGACCCTCTAGCTTCAAATTTTTTTTTTAATTATTTTATGAAATAGTGCATTTTTTTTATTTGATCCTCAAATTTTTAAAAATTTTTCTTCCATCTCCATAATTTTAGGATCTCATCGTATCCTTGTTTATTAATTTATAAATAAGTCACACGAAAAACACTAATATAAGTTATAAATTCTCTGCATGTGAGATCTCATATGTGATTAACATGCTAAATTATTCATAAAATTTTAAATAAATTTATATTATGAAACTGAATCAACACGTGTGATGCTACTTAATTTAAAATCTCAATTAAAAAAAAAATCCATGTGAAGCAAAACCGTAGCCTAATAATAAAATAATAGCTTAATATTATCTTTCCTATTATGTTAATCAGAGTCAAGATTCTGATATCAAATGTTAATCTTATTTTTATCTATGTTTTTTGTTTTTTGCACGTAAGAAAACAATCCAGTTACTTAAATTATAAACAAAATACTACTTAATTACTCTAATTTTGAGGATTCTCTTTTCATTAATCTATCACTAGAATGTAATATAATAAAATATAACTCAGAAATAATGTAAATAAAGAATAACTTTCGTGGTCAACTATTAACGTAATGGGATTAATTAATTTCTATAAATATTAATATAGGAATAGAGAGGAATAATGAGATTTTCGATAGCGCTCTTTAAAATTTGAATAAGTATGAATAATGAATATAGTCAATGTTAGAAATATGTCACTTGTAGAAATATATATACAATTTTGAAAATGAGCAATGTAAACCAAAATGATAACAACAACAAAATCAAACAAGTGATCTGTTAGTTTCACATTTGTGAAGAAAAAAAATGATATTTAAAATTTATGTCTATCAATTTTTTTTTTAACTTTCATACGAATATTCTCATTTTTTATAATTATATTTTTTTAATTGAAATTTTGAATAGATTAGAATAATATACTTCTCAAATTGATTAAAACTCGTAAAATTAAAGAGAACTTGAAATGCCATTTTGATTGTCGTCTAATTAGGTTTCTCATTTAATTGAGGAGCGAAAGGTCTAGAGTTTGAGTCCTTATAACTATAGTTATTTTTTTATTAAAAATTAAAATTTATTTTGTTTCAAATAAATTCAATAAATATAATAAGAGGAAATTCTTATTATATATGTATTTTTTTTTTTTGGAAAAAATAAATTCAATGAATATAATAAGTTTACACCATTCAACCAAAACTCACTAACCTTGCTCAAATTCTTCAATGGGGAAATGAGATTGTGAAAGTAGAGTGCAAACAAGATAACCCTTCATATTACTAAAGGGTATATTTGTCATTTTGTTCTGATCTAACGGCTAAAACACTTGAAAACGGAACCGAAGGATTATTTATGTTGCGGATCTAGAAGTCAGGATGCACGAAATATTTGAGTAAAAAAAAAAAAAGACTATTTAAATAACTTCACCAAATCTTATAGACTAAATAATTAATTTCCCAGGAATGGACATCTAAGAACAAATAGGCATGGTCGGTTCATTGAACCGGCGGTTTTGATATTAAATTTGAACCGGCCCTTGAACTGTTAGTTCTAATGCGGTTCCTATGAATCGATAGTTCAAATTACGGTTTTTGGCGATAAATGATTTTTTTTTTTAAAAAAAATCGTTTTAACGTTACATCTTTCTTTTGAAAATATTAATATAATTTTAAAAAATATTGATAAATTTTATTTTAAATAAATTTTAGAATGTTCATGCTCATATAAGAATAAAATTAATTAAAATTTAGAATGTTCCATGCTCATATAGAATAAATTTAAATTAATTTTATAAAATAATCAACATAAATTATCACTTGTTATTCCGTTGTATTTATTTTAAATAAATTTTAGAATGTTCATGCTCATATAAGAATAAAATTAATTAATTTTATAAAATAATCAAATAAATTATCACTTTATTCCGTGTAAACATTATTAATTAGAAAAATTATAAGAAAATTTTGAAAATGCTTCAAAAGAATGTAATTTTAAACTTAGTAAACAATCGAAAATGGTAAAAAAAAAAAGAATTTAAAACAAATATAAATTTAGACTAAATATTTCTTCGTTTTTTTATCATTTTACTTTTTAGATTTGTAATTTTTTAAAGTAAAGCGTATTTAAAAAAAAAAATCTTAAGTAAAGTATATCATGTAGTAAAATATTATTGAGAGTTATAAAGATGTATAAAATATGTTAAGATGTATAATCGGTTTGAACCGCATTGAAACCGCTGGTGCAGGTTCAGATTTTAATATTCACATAAACCTTAACCAGCCTTGAACCGCCAATTCAGGTTTATATTTTAACATTTATATGAACCTTAACTGGCTTTAAACCGTCCATTTTGGTTCAAAACTGTGAACCAATGGTTTGGATCTGGTTCTTATTCATCTGCAGTATGATTTGGTTTCGGTCGATTCCGGTTCAAAATGAACTGGTGGCCATGCCTTGAACAAGTCAACATTTGCGTACAGCCCCCTCACCCACGCGCACATGGCGCGTAAATCTACCATACATACATTGCCAATATAAAGGGCAAAGACCGGAAGAGAGCGAGGCCATAATCAATCAGATAAGTTCTCTTACCAAATTCTAGATTGCCAAACGCGGTATTAGCAAGAAGCAAGAAGAGAAAGATGGTTGGACCAATTCGACCTCAGTTTGTGTTGTTCGGATCATCTATAGTTCAGTTAAGTTTTGGTTTTGATGGATGGGGTGCGACTCTTGCTCACTTATATGCTCGTAAGGTAACTTTATCAAATTTCTTTTCTTTATTATCTGTTACTATTATTTTTAAATAATATTGCATTTGCATCTTATGACGTTTTAATTTGATAATTTTTCGAAAATAATTTGAAAATTAGTTGGAATTTAAATGCTTAAATTTTTCTTAATAGCTCGAGTATTTGTAAAGCTTATTAAATTATTAAGAAATTATGTTATTAAATGCAATTAAAATAATCACATCACAGTCGTTTATTGAGTTCAAGATTTAAAAAAACAAGAAAAGGAATAGGAAAATCTTGAAAGAAAATATTTTTTTTTGTCTCCTATACGAATATCATTAGACTTTTCTTGTAAGTACATTATTATAGCGTTCTCTATTTTTCCTTCTGGTATTATTTTGTTTAACTATTTTCTTTTTCCGTCAAATTTTACCACCATCCAAACACATTCAAAGAGAATGATAAGATAAAGATATAAAAGCAAATGTTTGACTTCCTGTTTTGCGATTGATACAATATTAACAGGCAGATATAGTGCTGCGAGGATATGCGGGTTGGACTTCAAGGGATGCCCTCAAAGTTCTTGAACAAGTTTTCCCACAAGTAATGAATTATATCTTAATTACTTGCTTTGTTTTAATTAGATATAATAATTAGACACTGATGATTTAATATTCTTTTACTGTGATATTAATAAAAAATAATAATAAAGAATGACTCAGTACAACCATCACTGGCTATTGTTTATTTTGGAGGCAATGATTCAATGGAGCCTCCCACATCAGATGGTCCTCTTGTTCCACTCTGTGAATATAAAGAAAACATGGAGAAAATTGCACTACATCTAAAGGTAACTAATTAATTAATACATAATATTTCAAATTTTAATATATAATTAAATTTTATCTTAACTATGTGATTATTCGATTGAACACAGAGCTTGTCAGAGACAATTCGCATAATCTTTCTCGGTGTTCCTCCTGTAAATGAGGAAATGATCAAGGAATTTTAGTATGTATTTCAATTATATAAATTTTTATCCATAAATAAAATATTTTCAAATATGATTTATTGCTTAATTTGTTATTGCTAAAATTAACTAGCGGTGATGAAATGGGTCGAACCAATGAGGGGTGTCGGATATATTCAGAAGCTTGTTTAGAAGTGAGTAAAAAAATGGGAATCACTGCCATTGATCTATGGACTGCAATGCAACAGAGAGAAGATTGGTTGACTACTTGCTTTCTGTAAGTCTTTTCGACCATAATTAATAAGCTTTTTTTTTTTTTTAAAAAGGAATCTTCAATTTATTAATGAGAATCGTAAAAAGAATATAATTTTTAAATCATTAATTAAAATACAATTGTTATAATAATTATTAATAAAAAAATACTTATGTTTATATATAATTAATTACTTTTGTCAATTTAGTTAATTTGCATTATCTTGATCATTTTGTTAAACAGGGATGGAATCCACCTCACAGGGACGGGGAGTGAAATAGTGGTTGAGGAGATACTTAGAGTTCTTGAAAAACCAGATTGGATTCCACGTCTACACTGGAAGTCCATCCCAAGTGAATTTGTAGGAATTTCACCCACTGATCCAGAGAACAATGAAGGTCTTATCATCCCTAAAATTTTGAAATCGAAATGGGAATAAAATTTGATCATATGATCATCTTCCCATTTGCAAAATATTATTTATAGCCAAAAATACAGATTATTAAGGGTATTTTTATCGTATTTCAGTTATGATGTTTGTACTCGATTGAGCTTCCCTTTTCTTGATTTTGTTGTATGTCAATTATCTGAGTTTTGAATTATGAATAAATAATATGAAAATGTAGTAAACTTTTTTATTTATATGAATACTTGGGCTTGATTTTATTATTTATTGTTTAAATACTTGGACAGGAAGTCCATTTTTTTAAAATTGTTTTAATTAAAATTTCAATATTTATTTATATTTATGGTGCAATTGCAATAAATTAATAAGTTCAGAGTATTATAATTCACTTTTAGAGTGAAATTACAACTATTCAAAAAGTTCGGAGTAAAATTGAAAATTATGCCATTATTGCATATATTTTTTTATCCTCTTACTGTGAATCAGTGTACTTAAGATGCATTTTGCTAACTCTCCGTAGAGTTGATTTAAAAAAATATTATGGAAAAAACATTTATAAGAAAGAATTAAATTATGTAGAAAAATATAAATATGATTCCCACCTTCAAATTAGTAATCAAGTTTACAATTAATATTGTCAGGTTTCGACACTTCTTTATATGGAATAGTTGTATCTAATTGAAAACTTTTGCCAAGTAGGGAAACTATTCAGACAGGTAAAAAACCAAATAAAATGAAGTTGCTTTACGTTTACCTACCAAACTCTTGTTGGCATTGCATGATCCTCTCAAGCCAACCTAAATTTAAGAGATGGGTATAAAGTATTTTTAAAATTTAATATGAAACGCTTTATCCTTTATAAATTTATCTGATAGAAATTTAGATTAGTGGAACGAATAAATGATTTTCAGATAAGGATGTTTTAAAAAAAAAATTGTAATAGGATCTTAATTTATGAACTAAAGATTTTAATATAGAATTATACGAATAAAATCAAAGTAATACAAGTAAAAAAAAAAAAAAATGAGAGTAGTAAGTAGCTTATAGAATCTTTTTCTTCACATTTTTATAAAATATAGAAATCAATTACGCCTAAATATTCACATAAATATATGTTTGACAGTCCGCTATTAATTATATATTTCGAAGCATAAGGACGAAACAAGTTATAAAATTCTAGAAAATGTAGAAAAGAAAGGCGATATTTAAATCATATCAAGCGTTTTCAATTGGAAAATCCTTCTGAATGAATATTCCAGGGGATTCTTTGCAGGCTATTAATTAATTTAAAGCAATGAGTAAAAAACAAATTCCAAAGTCATGTACAGAATGACAATTCTGCATTTATACCAGTAATTATGATACGCACAAATTTGAAAATCAACAAGGTAAGCCAAAAAGATGACAACAATAAAATCAAACAAACCACTCAAATTTTATAAACGTAAAGATAAATAATCGAATCAAACTATACTTGATTGATATTTTTTTTTTTAGAAAAAACAATTCTATTTATTTAAGAAGAGAAAAAAACAAGAATTAAATAAACGAAACATGACTAATAGATAAAGAGGATTCTATTTTTAATCAATAATTAAATTAATCTTTTTTATACATATACACTGTAATCATTATATCATCATCGTGGCCGTCCCCGTCACCTTTTCAAATTAATTGTATAGCAATTAGCTGAGAATAGGTTCTAAAAGAATTGATGGCATGGAGCTATCTGACCTGTTTAGGCATTTTCAGAAAAAAGTGATATGGTATTGCAAATATTGTTGTTGGTTTCTGAATTCCAAACACGTCCCTAACGTGAACGTAACCAAACTTTACCAGAACTCCGAACGTCAGCGAACACGAAGAATGCCGATTCATCCATAAGTCATTGTGTAAAAGCGACCCCTCCACCCACGCGCACAAGGCGCGTAATCTACCATACATTTCTGGTATAAAAGGCAAACACCATAAGAGAGCGAGGCCAGACCTTTTGCTGCTCTCATCAATCAAATTTTGAACTCCCAAACGCCGGTCTTAGTTAGAAGCAAGAAGAGAAAAATGGTTGGACCAATTAGACCTCAGTTCGTGTTGTTTGGATCATCCATAGTGCAGCTAAGTTTTGGCGACGAAGGATGGGGTGCTGCTCTATCTGAGAAGTATGCTCGTAAGGTATTTTTTTCATTTATTTTCTCTGTTCTTTTTTTTTTCTTTTTTATTAGTATTATTGTGATAATTTTGTAATTTTTAATTGACAATATGGTACATAATAGTTTAATATTTAATGAACTTTTTTATATATTTATTTCATAAATGAAAATGCTATCTAATTCTAATAATTCAAAGATAATAATAATGATGATAAGACAGAGACTAAAACATGGCTCTGATTTGCAGTTTGGATATAAAGAGCACGTGAAAATGCGGCTCCACGTTTTGTCTATTTCTAGTATTTTTCACTTTTCCTGTTATGGATAATGTACAATTTGCAGTCATTTCGTTGGAATGTTTTCTCATTCAATCAAATAATAATTTTTTTTTTTTAAATGGAGACTTAAAATTCTTAAATACTTATATTGTAAGATAAATATTGGACTATTTTTAATAAATCAAATCATTTCTTTTTTAATTATACTAATTAATGTCATTTCAAAATGATAAAAAATATAAACAGGCAGATGTTGTGCTGCGAGGATATGGAGGTTGGACTTCAAGGAATGCCCTAAAAGTTCTTGATCAAGTTTTTCCAGAGGTAATTAATTAATTAATTTGTTTGAATTAGATAAAATTAGACAGTGATGGTGTATAATTTTCTTTTTACTGTGATATTAATATAAAAATAAATAAAGCATGACTCAGTACAACCTTCACTGGTTATTGTTTACTTTGGAGGCAATGATTCAATGGAACCTCCTACATCAGTTGGTCCTCTTGTTCCACTCCCTGAATACAAAGAGAACATAAGGAGAATTGCTTTGCATCTAAAGGTGATTAATTAATACTTAATCCTTCAAATTTTATATAATTATAAGGTATTATTGAATTTTAATTCAATTATGTGATTATTTGATGAATGCAGGGCTTATCGGAGACCACTCGCATTATTTTTCTCGGCGTTCCTCCTGTAAATGAGAAAATGCTTCAAGAAATTCAGTATGCACTTTAATACATTTATTTATGTACATTTAGAACATTTTGAATCATAATATTTGTTGTTAAATACTATATATGTATATATATATATAACTGGTTGTTGCTAAAATTAACTAGCGGTGACAAAACGGGTCGAACCAATGAGGGGTGTCGGATATATTCAGAAGCTTGTTCAGAAGTGAGTAAAGAAATGGGAATCGCAACCATTGATCTTTGGACTGCAATGCAAGAGAGGGAAGATTGGTTGACTGCCTGCTTTACGTAAGAACGTTTTTTAAAACCATAAGAAACAAACCAAATTAAAGATTTTTCTTTTTTTAATTTCAGAAAAGGGTTGATCATTTGATTAACCACCCGGTTTGAATCGAAATTGATAGAAAAACTTAATCCATCAAAACCTAATTCATATGTTTGGTTATTATCATTGAACAATTTCTAATATACAATCGATAAATTGATATATATTTTAAATTATTATATACAATATAATTTTGTTATAATCAACCTATCAAAACAAGGGAATTTTACTGGTTTAATTTTAAATATAATTACAATCTACAAAAGTTGCATTTTGTTTTTCAGGGATGGAGTTCATCTGTCAGGAGAGGGGAGTGAAACAGTGGTAAAGGAGATAATGAGAGTCCTTAAAGAAGCTGATTGGAAACCAAGTCTATACTGGGCCTCAATGCCAACTGAATTTGCTGGAATTTCACCACTTGATCCGCGAAACAAACCAAATTAAAGATTTTTCTTTTTTTAATTTCAGAAAAGGGTTGATCATTTGATTAACCACCCGGTTTGAATCGAAATTGATAGAAAAACTTAATCCATCAAAACCTAATTCATATGTTTGGTTATTATCATTGAACAATTTCTAATATACAATCGATAAATTGATATATATTTTAAATTATTATATACAATATAATTTTGTTATAATCAACCTATCAAAACAAGGGAATTTTACTGGTTTAATTTTAAATATAATTACAATCTACAAAAGTTGCATTTTGTTTTTCAGGGATGGAGTTCATCTGTCAGGAGAGGGGAGTGAAACAGTGGTAAAGGAGATAATGAGAGTCCTTAAAGAAGCTGATTGGAAACCAAGTCTATACTGGGCCTCAATGCCAACTGAATTTGCTGGAATTTCACCACTTGATCCGCAGACCGAGGGCACCACCACCGCCAACCACCACAGTATTTGATGGACCAATCTTTTCTTAAGGGAGGGAAAGACAGAGAGAGACACCCACTAGGGCAAAATTTCATATAGAGAGTAATTTTAGATACAAGCTAAGACTGCTAGTTCAACAACAAAATATCAAAAAAAAACTTTTATTAGCAAACAGATAAAGTATTTTGTATTTTCAGATACATAAGAGATAATAAATAAAAGATATACATTTTAAGTTTTACACACTAAGTGCTACTTTGCTGCTCATGAGATACTTCAAAGGGTACCTCCTAGTTTATAATTAATACAAGTAACAACGTAGCTATAGTTTGTGAAAGCACCCAAAAGAAGAGAGCCATGAAGAATCACTAGACAAACTTCAAAAAAAAAGTAGTAATAAAATAAAGTAGTTTCACCATGTCAATGTTGAAGACGGTCATCTACCAAAAAAAATCTTATTTACAACATCTACTGGCAAAGCATAGGCTGGATCTATGGCTTTTATTCCAGGATACTCGAGAAGTGAGAGACCTGCACAATCAGCAAAAGGTAAAAAGTTCATAACATGAAATCTGCAGACAAGAATAAAATTTTAAGCATAGGATGCAACAGATCACCAGAAATCACATTCCCAAGTTCAATGGATACACAAAAGTAACGTAGACATACAACCTCTAAGTAGAACAGGTACGAAGTTCTTCTACCCAGGAAAAACCAAATGGAGCTTATATAGAGAATAAAATATCCTGATTTAGGTAGTGGATCGAGTGGAATACTCACTTTCAATGCCAATAATCTAATTTTGTGACCTCAATTATTTGTCCGTTCTTTGAAAAATTATAAATCTTTTAAATAATCAGAAAAGAAAAAGCTACACTAGGTAAAGGGAAAAAAATGGAGAAAAACTGTCCAAGATACTGATTTCATGCTAGCAGCTGTTACAAAATTAAGGACTTGCAAAGGAAGAAAGGAAACCACATGCACATATCAAGATACTCAATGTCAAACAAATCAGAGCTGATGAAAATATGTACCAGCTACTCCAAAATATGTATGGAAAACATCAACAGCATCATCAGGTCTATCTGAAATTCCTCCATTCTCAGTGTCCTGAAAATTTGAATACATTTTAGCACGAGTCCTTATCTTTTCAGAGATAAAACATTAATATCATGAACATCCTAGGATTCTTTGGAAAATTCTAAAAAGTTGGCACTACCTGACAGTTTAAGATAAATTTAACAAGTTTTTCCTTGTTAATCCAATGAACTCTGTCAATCATAATCAAGCTTGAAAGAACCCACCAAGAGTAGCAAACCTGAAATCATTTTACATAATCATGATTGCAATAATTGGTTAAAATGTTCATACTGAAAATCTCTTATTTAACAGAAATACGAACATCAGGAAGTTTCTCAGGGCGACCATTTAGACCTCCAGACTTGACTTGCCGTTCACATAACCACCATCCAAGCAGGTCCTTGTCAACGTGATGCAGAGACCCAGTAATAGCAAGGGCACCCACACAGCAGAAAACTGCAATAATCAGGAGCAAAGCAAACTTTTGACTAATATTTTTAACAATAATCACTAAATTAGAGACTTTGATGAATTACAAATTGTTTGAATAAAAATGATAGCCATTATCTAAATTAGCAAAAAGAAAATTAAACTGTAGATCACAGTTCACATGGAGGACTGAACAGCTATCGGAAAGGGAAAAGAAAAAAATGAAGAATTAAGCTCTTAGGTTTCCAGGTTTTTAGAGTAAGACATGAAGCATCCATACATTTCTTTTAAGATGAAAAGAACCTCTTCAGCTCATAGTTAGATTGAATTCAAAATTGATCTGAAGACAGCCTTATCTCTGAGGTCACCTTTTACAAGTGAATTGACTGGCAGGGAAATATTTTATCAGATCCTTATTTCTCACATATTTCCCTTTAAAAGGCGAAGATGATATTAAACGAACAATCATTAGATATGAACAATATAAAATCCATATACAATCTGAATGACAAATTGCTTCCCCTTAAGAGAATCACACTTTGTGGTCGTTATTTATAGTGTTCTTTAATGATAATAGTGATAAATCGGCATCTAAACGAGTTTGCTATAACAAGAAGCGCAAGCTCAGAAGATTATATGTCACTGCCAAGAAAGAGATATTTTGTTTATTGCATCTTTGAAACATTTATGTCTAGGATCATAATCAGTTTCCACAGATGAGAAACTTTTGGGAAAAGCTCGCTTTTTTTTTCTTCAGTAAACCTATTCAATATGTTCAAGCATATCAGAACCACACATTTAGCAAAGCAAAATGTCATAACACAGAACATACTCTGTCCAGCATGAGACTCCCCACCAGGGGTGCATCCAAATCCACCATCTACATTTTTGCAGCTCAAGATGTAGTTCACAGCCTTCTCCACATTTATTTTATCAAGACAATGCAATAAAGAGAGACAACATAGAGCAATATATGAGAACCTAACAAACAACAAAAGAACTGTATCATTAAAAGATAATTCAGTGTTGCTAATTCCAAACCAAACAAAAGATATCGGATAGGATATGTTTTCCCTTTTTTCTTTTTGAAGAATACCTTGTATCAACTTCACCCCACATGTCTCCAGAAAAGGATCCATCTTCATTTTGCAACCCAGCAACATCTGACCTAAGGATTAAGTAAAACAAGAAATAGATGTGATATTTTGGACCCTTATCTTAGTTAGTTAATTTTTTTTACAGACAACTATGATAAACGGTGTTGATCGAAGCCTGAATCTATTTTTTTCTATCATTCAGCTACTAGAAAATAAACAATAGTTCCGCATAAACAAATTTACGCATTTATTGCAAGCCAAGTCGGTACTGAAATATAATCATACTGTTGTTATTACAAAGAATCTCCTGCTTCATATAAAAATTTCTAAATGATGCTTTAACAATGTAGAAGCCATTGCATGATGTGACAAGGATACAATTTGAAACTTTATCAACATCGAGAACATTTAGCTTGTCAAGAAGGGCCAGAACTTGCACGGCACTCAGTGTATACAGAATATGTGGGTCATGTCCAATATTACCAGCAAACCCACCTGCATACCAAAATCACCATTGATAATATCATAACATTCTATTATTTCATCTCAGCTTCAAACTAATAACCAATTATATGGAGTAGTTATCTCTAATGAAAAGTTTTCCAAAGTTGGAACATGATTCAGACAAGTAACAAAGCAAATAAAATGAAGCTGCTTTACATACCAGACTCATGTTGGCATTGCATGATCCATTCAATTACTTCATTTGAATCCACTGCATCAAGCTTTCCTAAAAGATCTAGAGTGGTCAATCCCCAGTAAGCTCCATTCATTCGTAAGTGCTCCATCACCACAGATTCAAAGCTATCCTTTTTCTTCAATTACATAATCAACAAAAATTGCATTGAGCAGTACAATAAAACCAAAATGTCATACTATTGTACATTAAGCATAATAACAATGAAAAAAAATGTACTTGACCAGAAAAAAAAATCTAGTATAGTAATAAGCATTAAGCAGTAAAATAAAACACACACCTGTTCAACTGATATGATGTATTTAACATGTTTATCAACTGCCAGCTCCACCATCTGCAGTCATTGTACATTTTCAATTAAAGGTCTTTTAACTCTTTACAATTGCAGAAAATAATAAAATGAAATTGGCTCTGAAAATTAAATTGAGTATTTCAATTTAGTTTAATTGGAAGTTAAATTTAAGGATTATTAACAATATTTCTCTTCTCAGAATTCGGAAAACCGAAGCACTGCATCCAAAGCCAAACCCAAATAAATCCAATCTGTCTTTGAGATATATATGAACAAACAAACATGTTAATCTAATGAATCAAATCAATCAGTCAATATTTATGCACCAAATTTTACAGCGCATTCAACAGAGACAAGCTAAATAGAGTTTGATTTGTAAGTTTACACACTTACCTTTGTATAAGTTCCAGCAAGAACTCAAACCGCACCAACAAACCACTCGGCTCTATTTACTAGGCTGAAATCAAAGAATCAAAGTCAGAGCTAATATATGTACATACTTAAACATGTATTTGAAAATATAAAAATATTTCTCTCCAAATTTACACGTTTAACACAACATGATATCAGCTCAAAATTCTCATAAAGGGTTAAAAAAATTGCAAGCAATTGGAATATTCTACTGAATTGATGAAGCACTTAACAAATATAGCTTCGCTTAAGATATTTTATCTAGTGCCTTGTCATCCTACTTTATTTAATTAACATATATATCTGAAGCTGAAAAATATTAAGTTGTTAAGTGCTGGTGATGCACATCAAACATGATGGCAAAACACCTCTCAAGTATTGACTTGTATTCTCTCAAGTGTTTCTAGTTTAATATAGGCATTCTCTAGCAGGTTTTTATACCACTTCTACCCGAAAAAGATAACAGGAAACAAGCAGTCAATGGTTAAAACCCTGATTACTGGCATTGCTTAATGAAGCAAATGCTGATGCAACCACATTTTTCACTTAATTTGCCATCCATACAAAGTAAAAAGAAAATTTAAAAAGATCAAGCTTGTATTTTTGTAAAACCCAAATGAAGAAATGCCCTCTCGCTATGAGTCACTGGAGGGGCATTCCTTTCTTGCTAGCACAGGAAAAAGAACATATTTTATGCCATCGGTCTATGGCTTCCTTTCCTTGTGCATATGGCTACTTTACTAGGCTATTCTTCGCATCAAAGAAAGTAAGGACATTGTATAAATAAGGGCACTCTCACTCTCTGGGCCTGCTCTCTTGCAATTGAACTAATAGGCTATTCTCTCTCTTTTCGATTTGCTTTGTCTGCGATTTAGGGAATTTGCTGTGATAATGTTAATTTTGGTGCTGAACTTCTCTTTGTCTGTGACACAGACAAAACCGGATGTCTAATGGGACTAAGTGAAACCCATAGATGCATATATGTCCGCTTAAGTAGACTGACATTTTTTCCACACAGCATGGCAAAATTAATGAAAAGACCCATTCAAGCCAATTTTAATTTATTACTGTCCCAAACACCTTTTCCCCCAAAACTCTAACCTATTGAAAGATCTAACCCTCCCTTTCTTCCTCTAACCTAAATCACAAGTTAGCAGCAAGTGATTCACATTTCTAACTTAATAATTATTAATTAGATTAAGAGCAAGACAGGCCCTGTTGCCAAGTAAGAACAACAAATATTTGTTACCAATATTCTATACCAAGAAACAAGTTTTCTTGTATCCTCGAGCACATTAGAACCCTATTCAATTGATTATCACAGAACCAAAAAGAGAAGAACTACACAAACAAAAAGAAAAAATTCTCACGCCACAACTTTGAAAGAATCAGTATTCTGTACAAAGATATGTGAGAAACAAAATGATTGCTGGGAAAAGATATACATCTTCGCTAACATTTATTTGTTAACACTTTTCGATAACTTCTGCTGGGTAAAGTTTTTTTGTGAGAGTGAGGTTGTTGTTGGATACTTTTCCGAATATGTTTGTTTATGGAAGCACAGCTCTGACTTCTTTCCTATCTGCTCCAAATAAACTCGCTAAAAATAGGAAACAAATAACAGATTCCAAAACGACATGTCGCTAGCAAATGAATATCCGTACATTGTGTGACTTAACGTGAACAAACAAATATTAAGGAAAACAAAATAAAATTTGAAATGCACAAAAGCACATAGAATTTCAAAACTCGAGTGGAGAAATCTGAGAAAACGAATGAAAACTGCAACGGGAAGGGAAAAACGAGGAAAGAAGAAACGGATCTGAAAGAAAAACGCAGACTCCAAGACTCAAAACGACAATCGAGAAACCAAAAAAGAATAAAAACAGAAATAAGAGAAGAAGAGTACCTGTGGATAATGGGAGAGGAACCTAGGGTTTTAATGGGTCCAGTAGCAAAGAATTCACTTTCAGAGGACACGAATCCGAGAAGAGGGAGAAAGAGAGAAAAACCTCTCGATTCGTTGTTGTTAGTTTGCTAGATAGAGAGAAGAGGAGGCTTGTACGAGTTCTTCAGGTTTTAGAACAACCACAATTGAGACGAGGAGGAGGAGGGAAACTCACGCACAAAAAAAAAAAAAACGTTTGGGCAGTCTGATTCAGTTTGAAAGCAGGGTTGGTTCTGCTGGCAAAGGAAGAACGGGAGGCTTAGATCTTTCAATTATGATTTAGGCTACAATTTTGGAGGAAAAGGCATTTGGGGCGGTAATAAATCGCGGTAAAGGAGTTTTGCGCTGTCAGTCTATGTGCATGCAGTTGGATCTGTAGTTGGATTTTGTCATGCTGCCAGTCTATGGGCATGTAGTTGGATTTTTTATTTAGTAGTATAACGAGTCTCATATTTTTTCATTCGAGATTCATAGTTGCCCCTACCATAAATGAGGAAATACTAATCTTTCTTCGTGCTCCTCCAGTGAAAAGGAGCAAAATGCCAAATTTAGGGCGACTTCAGTTTACATTTTGTTGGTTAATTTTCATAATCATCACGATTTTGGTTATACATACATGTTGAAACCAGCGATAAATTTGACATTGCTCGAAGGAATATAATCAGACGCTTGCTTATAGTTGTACTAGAGAAGAACATGAAGGTAATTAATCACTGGAGTGTATTGCAGCAAATAATTATTACAAACATTGCAGGATAAGTACCTTCATCTAAGTAAATTAAGATCTTTCAAGGAGCTAACATGGACAGACATAACCTGCTCCAAAGTAATTAATTAGTTTCAAATCTTCTTAGCTGGTGAAGTTTCAATTTTCTATTACATCACCAGAACTTGGTACAAGGCTGAAAAAACAAATGAAAAGCAGAAACATGAAGAAGTAGTGGGCCTGTACGATCTATTCGTTCTCAATGGTTATGTAATTATATTACATCAAGAGAAGTTACACAAACTCATCTCTCATGTGTGCTAAAGATAACACGTACATAACATTAACCAAACAAAGAATAATACATACAAAAAGGGGGAGCAAAAAAAAAAAAAAAGCAGAAACAGCAGTACTCACCACGCCACTCCCATCATAACCACCCAATTTACTCAGATGACGTTGGCCTGTCTCTCTAAACCTTTCAACATAAAAAAAAACAAAACCAGGCCATACATATCCATCAAATATCAAACAACACTCCCCAAGGATGATACAACTGGCAACTCCGAGGGCTCCAAGTGGGTGCGTGCACTCCAGTCAAAATCCTGCCTTAGGAGGAAAGCTGAAATCTGCCGCTTGGCTTTTTTCTTCTCCATCCCTAAAATTTACCAAAATGAAGATCAACATTAGACCCTTGTAACAACAGCATCGACAAAAATAGCAATGCTAATAATGACAATGACAACAAAAGGATGGATGAAAACTTACAAAGGCAGCATAATAAACGAAAGTCAAACCCGCTAAAACAATAAATGCGATCTGAAAAACATTGTACCTGTTATATAATAAACATCATATCCAGCATCAGTAAAATGTACATGCCCAATTAAAATAAGTATCATATGTGAATGTTAAGTGGCCACTCACTTGTACAAGTATTTAATTCCCCGGAGAGACTGCAATGTGTGGCCAAAAATTTCTTGGGCAGCAGTTGCTTGAGCATAGTACCCAAATGCTGTAGCGCAGAACTGAATCACACTGATATTGCCAAAAACCAAGAAAAATTTTGCATCAGTAACTTTAACGTAGTAATAATAAAAACTGACACACACACCCAAAAAAAAAAAAAAAAAAAAAACATTGCCACAATTAAGAATAAATATCATAATGTGAATGTTAACGTGGCACGTCACATTCGCTACAAGTATTTAATTCCCCGGGAGAGAACCTGGCAATGTGTGGCCAAAACTTTCTTTGGGCAGCAGCGTTCTTGAGCATCAGTACCCAATGCATGTAGCGCAGAAGACTGAATCCACACTGATATTGCCAAAAACCAAAGAAAAATATTATGCTATCAGATTAACTTTAACGTTAGTAATAATTTAAAAACTGACACCACTACCCAAAAAAAAAAAAAAAAAAAAAAAAAACTCTGCACAAAGTACTTCATATAGCAAAAAATAAACATCATTCCAAAACCAAATATATATAGATAGAGAGAGAGAGAGAGAGAGGAAAAAAGGGATAATTGCAAAATTAACCTCAACCCTCTCCGAACAACTGTTACATTTGGAACTCCAATGTTTCAAATTCCATCTATTCAAGAACTCCCCCAATCTTTAAACATAAATTGAACATATGGTCATCAAGTCAATGGGCAGTTCCAAGATGGAGATCATGAAAGAAAAAGGGATCCTAAATATAGTTTTGACATTATCACACAATAGCAACACCAAGAGAAAATACATGGCACAGATAAGCTTTTTTAAGTTAAGGAAAACAATGCAAACCTAATGGAGCATAGGAGAATGAGTCCAACATTGAAAAGAAATGAATTCATTAGAGTGGCTCCCCACCTGCAAGACAAGTCCAATAGATTAATGAGCAATCAAACAAGAATCTGACACTAGATGATTAATCATACAAACACACAAGACATGCCAAAACTAACTAAAAGCTGTCTCCAGAAAATTTATTACTTCATGGGATGAATTGTGATGAAAACTAGTTTCAGGCCAAGCATCATTGCCCCAGCTATCACTGCAAGCAGAAGGTAGAAGCAGAAGAATGCAAATGCCACAGTACCCAGAAGACCTAGCAAATTAGCAGAGCATACACGTTACGAGATAAGAATAACCAATTAAAATGAGAAGAGAGGTAAAAAATGGAGATCTAAAAATAAAAATGTCAAATTACCCCATATATCATCCAACTTGATGAAAACCTCATTCAGAAAAGGAGAAAGAGGTGGATCAATCAACAGATATATCACAATATGAGCAACCCAAGCCACAGAAACAATCAACCTAACAAACAAGAAAACAGATAGTTGTCAGTAAAATTTGGATGGGATCCTCTTAAATTCCATATGTACTGGATGAACGCAGAACAACTTATGATAAGACTAGATGAAAGATGAAACACAGTAGGCAACAGTCAATATCATATTTGCAAGAATAAGTTTCCTTCTAAACACCAAATACACCAAGCAATAATTGAAAACAAGAAGTTCCATAATAAACTTTTAATGCAAACAAGTGCTTCACAACCAGAAAAAATAAGTAAATAAAAATCAATGAGGATGTCAAATAAAGAAAAAGAAAATTCATGGTTCATCAACATTGGGATCCAAGATAATAGTTCCCAAGATCATAAGCATACACATGCATTCAAATTAGGAATGAGCAAACTTTGGAAAAAACCAAAAACCGAACCGAACCAAATTATTTTCGGTTTTTGGTTTGGTTATTCGGTCTTTGGATTCAGTTTCGGTTAAAAAATTCCCATACTTTCGGTTTCCAATTTTTGGATCAGTTATTCCAAAATATTTATTTTCTGAGTAAAACCGAACCGTTTGACCGAACCGATGCCTACCGAACCGTTTGACCGAACCAATGCCTACCAAGCCGAACCGACCAATTTGTTTCGGTTTCTGAAATTATTACGGTTTGGTTCGATTTCAAAGAGAATCCGTTTTCAGTCTTCGGTTTTTGCGGTTCAGTTCAAGTTGGAACCGAACCACCCGTTTGCCCCCTAATTCAAATGACTCTACTTGTTCACGCCTTCCAAAAATAAATAGGAACCATGTCTCAGTTGTGATGGATCATTGTGTTTTGAAGTTTTTATCTGCTTTTCCAATTTGGAGGGTAAAAAAGTCTTTTTTTTTCCCTTACTATTCCAAGAAATATACACTTAAAAACTTAAACCACGCCCCCACCCCAAGTAAGAGCCAATACCTCTCTTCCAGAGTGCAAATTTTCCTCTCTTTTACTGGGATGTGGCTCTCCTGTCCATGCAACTCAAGTCACTTACATCAGTAAGCAAGCCTAGGTGTGACATATTTCAATTAAATTATTTTGCAAATTCAGTTTGGTCTTAATTGTCAAGACGTACAACAAAATAATAATAATAATAATAATAACAATAATAAAGCTCACATTTTATTCAGTTTTCGAAACCTTGTGAACCAAATGCATTGGGAAAAACTAAACAGTCTTCCGAGTAATGCAATATTATAGTTTATTAACAGCTTGCGGTCTTATTTTTCAGTTGCTTGAGCCTCTCTTTTTTTCTCACCTTATATATATTACGGGTTCCTAATTACCCAAAAAGAGATATGCTTCTGGATATTTCAAAGGCCCTTTCTCAAATAACTGATAAGCTTCCCAAAGATTTTAGAACTCTTTCTTTTCTTCAAACAGTCCCATATTGCGTTCTATCTATCAGCTAAGCCTTATCACATATCCTCCTTTTCTTCATAGATCTCCTGTTCCCTTTGGTTGTTAATCTTGCATTTTATAGACTCGCAGAACTTTCACTTTTCATTCTCCTCTCTCTCTTTAAACTTTAGTTATGACTTGGATTGATGAAGGCCATATACCAATATATCAACTATCATGTCAGTAACAAAATGATGTGCACATTCTGTCACCTGTACAGTTATAGAACTTCTCTAATAAACTGACACCACCTAGGCCTTTCTCTGTGTTGAACTAGAACATCAAATATCACCATCATCTTTATTCTTCTATTGTTGTATGACATTCAATTGATTTTTTTATTCATTTACTAAAAAAGAAAAGAAATTCCTATCCATGCTTCAAAAATCAAAATGAACACTCTGCTCAATGGTTCTCAGGGTCTTGGTCACAATGGCTTAAGTCTTTACCATATGGAAGCATGAAAGCGAATGAATTGAAAAGGTATTAGAAAAGGAGAAGATAACATCATAAGAGGAAAGATTCCTTGAGTATCTAGATAAAGATCAACAAATTGCATATGAACCAGACTTTGAAGAATGGTAATTAGATATTGGAGTATCAGCACTTACCCTAAGATCCCCAGAACAAGTTTTGCCAAGTACCCAAGAACAGTCAAAGCCCAAGATGTCTCAGCCTGAAATGATGACCAAAACCATCAATACTAAGGAGAAACGAGAAAACACACAGTCCAGCCACTTACTTAAAACAGTGAGTTAGATGATCACCTGTTCTCCTTGAGGGTACATCTCTTCCAACAGCTTTACATCTTCCTCCAACTGAAGCAACTCCTGCAAGTTTAAATTTTCACAAAATTAAGTTCTAAAGACCACAATGAATCTGTTGCCAAGTCATGGCCAGCTAATTTATACTCGACTTTTCAACATGCATATAAAGTGCATTGCAAAAGACTACCAAAGGTTTGAGCACTAATATGATTCAGTTTAACAGACATAAAAGGTAACAACACAAACACATTAATTACTGAAGCAACCCCATCTTTTCTAGTTGAAAGAAGAGAATAAGTGATCACTATTGAAAAGTCCAAGTCCTTGAGCGAGAAGTTTCAAAGCTTGACAGTGTGCAATGCATAAAAGATAGTACTTCAGCAGATGACAAAAGTTTGAATTCTCAAAAAGCTAAATATATAACAAGCTAAACATGCTCCCAACCCATTAAAACTACAACTGCATACTCTGTGGCTTCAATTACCTTCTCTACTGCCTTCACATTTTTACGCCATTTTCTACCCTTGGAACCACTTCTTTCTTCCTGATGGAGTGCATCAGCTGCTTTCTTCAATTCTCTTGCTTTTTTACCAAGTTCAGTTGCTTCCTACAGAATATTAACAGCTGTCAATAACTATCAAAGAATCTGTGCACTGTCCTCAACTATTTAAGGATTTTTTAATACAGCCACATAGTGCACAAGGAGAATCACCTTTATGTACTGTGACCGAGTGATAACAGCCTTTGGACGTCGGATGAACGAAAATACAAGTCCCAGTGGCAAGCATGCAATACCAACACCTCCAAATATCTGACAAATATTGAGAGGTACATGCTAATATATTGTTGTAAACAACAAAGATAAAAGATGGAATCTACAATTCAGAAATTTCCATCCATATGAACATAAATAATTCACATGTATGTGCATCATCTTTTAATATATGATCTTTGCTATCTCAGCATAACTCATTTAACAGAGTTCAGTCACTAGCCCTTAATAAAAGCACAGTATGCAATCCTTAAAGTTCAATCTTCATTCGTGCAAAGCCAAAATTTCAATTAAATCAAAGTATAAGCTTCTGTAGGAATAATTTTACCGTAAAAAGTACAGATCCAACAACTGTAGCCAGAGCAACAACATATTCTGGAAAAGTGGCGCGCATCGTCCATGTTCTCTCTGAGGAAGCATTTGCAAGATGTGCCGAGCACTGTAACAAGTAACAATGTTAGAAAAACGAAATGACAGAGGGGAAAAGACGGCTGTGGGTTCCATAATTCTTCATTGTACAATGTAACGATCATATAAAAGCAAATGCTTCAGAGAATAATATGCCAGAGCCATGTTATTAATATTCTACATAGAAAACAGATGAAAATAAACTTAACCTGGCGTGCACCCGCTCCAATACATGGCTGACTGCTAGAGAAGTCCCAAGTACTAGGGAAGTTAGTTGTGGTCGAAGAGAGGTGCCTGACAGTGAAATCCACCTTTCCAACGAGTCCTGACATATCATCAAAGAATATAAACTCAGTGGAATACAGTTATGTCTGATTCAACGAGAGAAGCACAAATAACCTTCATTTTACCACCAAAAACTGATGGACATAGTCTATGCAAGTTTTTAAAGTCAATTAACCACACTCATAATTGTGTATCCTAAGCTATATAACAAAATTTTCTCTTATAGATTATCCAGAACATGCAAGAGCCATACACATTCAATAAAAAAACAACTTCGAAGGCAAAACTACGTATATATTTTGTATGCATTTTCAGCTGAATGCTGTGTGGCAAATCTTTTTATCCTTACAAACAAGAAAAGGAGACAGTAAAGAAAGCAAAAATGCAAAAGTACTAACCATATAAAATGCCTAGCGCAAGACCACATACAATGGCCGTTGTTATCACCCATAACAATGCGCTTTTCATCCTCTGGCCAATACTCCTGTAACCAAAAATCGCGCACCGATTAACAAAGCTTCACCTAATACTAATAGGTAAGCGTGAATATAATTAGAAGGAAAAAGAACCCACTTATCCTGGTCGCCTTCATAGTAGAACATCGCAAAGGGGATAATAAAGAAGACGAGTAGAGCATCAATAATATAGACAGCGATCCATAGATCTTTCATTGGCAAGGTGAGATTACAGGCGCCATTGTATATCGCGTGACGACACGCTTGCCGGTTGGCAACGTCGGCCGGTAACATTAATATCGAAATGAGAGCGATGGAGAGGCCCAAAACGACAACGAATTTAGGGAAATACGCCTGATTTTTGTCATCTGGATGTTGGTAATTGATGAGAAGGTATACATTGAAGATGAAAACGATAATGCAAACAACTATAGCTACAATAATTAGAGCGAGATTGAAATCGCCCATTGCTTAAGCTCTGGATTCGAAGCCGTATCGAGCCAGAGATTGAACAATTAGGGTTTCTTGTTTCGATTTGGCTTTGTAATGAATGTTTGAATTTCGTAGATCTGGTCTTTCCTCCTGGAGAAATGGGCAAAAAGGAAAGGGAAAGGTTTGGTTCCGGTGAGCTCGTTTGTTGAGATGAATGACGTGTTGAACAGAAAATGACTATTTTGTCCTTAAAAAACTGTCCAATGGCAAAGAGGGTTGCGCTTTGCTATGAGGTGGGTTAGGGGTTAATAGTAATTAGGTTTTGTGCCCCGTGAGAATCATCGAACAGCCTGTCCAGACGAGACGAGCCATTTTATTTCAACTTTCAAAATGCTTTTTAGTCATGCAATGAAGAAAAGAGCTCGTATGCTCCATAGCAACGGAAGCATAAGCTAACTGGCAACTCCCAAACGTCAAGTGATGATTGGGCTTTTACCCTCAAATCCGACCCGAGCCGGTAAAACTTTATCTTGTTAAGATAAATTATAACTTAAAAAATAATAGTATAAAAATTATTTTCTTTGCCAACTCAACAACACTTTAAAATTTTTGTTTTTAATTCATTGAAGACCCGATAAGCTGATATAATAAAAAGTAAATTTTTTTTTAATTCATTAAATTAATAAAAATAACTATAATTGAGATGACTCAATTGGTGAAATTTTTTTTTTGTCATCTAGCACTTCAATTTTTTTATTAATGTACATCTAAGTGAACGTGCTTCTAATATTATTAATTTTATTAATCATTTAAAAAAATAAATTAAAAAGTTGTATTACTTAAAATAATATTAATGATATATTATTAAGTATTTACTTAATTATTGAAAAAACTGAACAACGTATAATATTACTAAATTAAAAAAAAAAACTGAAAAAAATTATTATTTGAAGTAATGTTAATGATATTGTTAATTATTTAATTAATTATTGAAAACTGAAAATATTTAATACTACTAATGATATTAATATCAATATTAACTCAATTAATGTCTAAATTAAAAAAATAAAATTAAAAAATAACACAAAAACCATTCTCTTTTTTTTTTTTTTTTTTTATTAATCATTTAAAAAAATAAATTTTAAAAAAGTTTGTATTACTTAACAATAATATTTAATGATATATTATTAAAGTAGTATTTAACTTAATTATTGAAAAAACTGAACAAGCTATAATTATTTTACTAAAATTAAAAAAAAAAAACGGAAAAAAATTATTTATTGAAAAGTTTATATGTTAATATTATTGCTTAATTTATGTTAATTAATATGTTGAAAAACTTGAAAATTATTTAATTACTACTATATAATTAATATCCAATATATTAACTTCAATTAATGTCTAAAAATTAAAAAAAATTTAAAAAATTAAAAAAATTAACACCAAAAAAACCATTTCTCTTTTTTTTTTTTTTTTTTTTCTCCCTCTTCCCTCCGCCTATCCCTACCCACATTATTACCAGTTTACCACCTCCTGGTTCGACCTTTTGTATTTCTCCGAAAAAAAAAAAAAAAAAGGAATTGATTTCAATGGAAAAAAGCATAGAAAAGGAGATAGGGATAGCCAACCTTATATTAAATTTGCAAACCATTAAATGTTTCATAAAAAAGAAGAACCAAAAAAAAAAAAAAAAAAATATGCCACCAATAGCAAAAATAGATTATAAAATGAAAATATGAACCAACATTGACATAGATATTTTTATAAATTGTAACATAGATAAAATTAAAAAATAAATTAAAAAACATTAAAAAATTACTACTTTCCACTAAGTTTAACCATATTGATTGCCATATGCATAAAATAACTAACACCATTTGGTAAACAACAATTTCCTGAAACTAAAAAAAAAAAAAAAAAAAATGCCACAATAGCAAAATAGAGTTATAAATGAAATATGAACCAACATACATAGATATTTTATAAATTTGTAACATAGATAAATAAAAATAAATAAAAAACATAAAAAATACTACTTCCACTAGTTAACCATATTGATTGCCATATGCATAACTAACACATTTGGTTAAACAACAATTTCCTGAAACTAAAATCCAAATCAAATAATTAAGTTTAAAATAAAAAATACCAATTCAATTAATCACTCATCCGATTCGATTTTCTCAACTCTTCGTTCATTATTTCACCGATAATTCGAATTTTCATTTTTCTTTGTATACGTCTGGTGTAAATCTTCTTAGAGACTTTATTATTTATATTGAGATGTGTTCGAACCTTGTACCATTTTCTCTTGCAAAACCCTCCAACCTTCCATTTGGATTTAGCAATAAACTCTTTCACTGTAGGTGCTTGAGTTAATTCAGCCATCTAATACTTTGCTTGCTCTTAATTACTATGATAATGATAATTAAATCTATAAATCTCTTGAGAAAATACCTCTCTTATATCTCTTTCTTTTTTCTATTTTTGGGTCCTTTTCTTAATTAAATATCATCAATTTTGACAAATTCTATATTAATATTTGTTGTACGAGGTTGGCATTCCACCTTGGTTGGTTAGTTAATGTTGATTTGGATGATGTCTGTAATTTGGTATGCAACTATAATTTATGCCTCTACAGTTATGAGGTTGGTTAGTTAATTATGTTTTTTTTTTCTTTTTTGTTAAAAAAACAGCTAACTGTAAATTAAAATTCACGAACTTTAGGTTTTTTTTCTCCACTTAATTCTATCATAAACTGAATTTTTTTTTTCAGTGCAACGTAAAAAATTTATATATATATTTTAAATTTTATCTAGCTGTTAATATGTCTTAAATTCTAATAGAAAAAAAATTATATTTAGTTGAGAATTTTTATTTATATTTATGATTTTTTTTTATTTATATTTTTGACGAGTTACTATACTTTTTCATATAATTACCGTTTTATTGTTTTTTTGGGAGAAAATAGAAAGCAAAACTCAAAGCATTACACAAAATCTAGAGTATGTTATATCAGTAATATCGTGAAACAATCATGAAGCCATTCCAAGAAAGAGATCACTAAATACGAGTATCAAAAAAATAATTAGTATAACTCATTAGCGTCTAAGCTTAACACTTAAAATTTATCCTCTGTTTGGAAAGAAGAGAGATGAAAATAATGAAGGAAAATAACGATGAATTGTTAATTTTCTTTCCATTGTAATTTTTCACCATTTTATTTGGATAACGAAGGGAAATAATGAAGGAAAGAAAATAAATTTATTTTTCTTTGAAAAGACAAAATTTTAAAGGAAAAAATTATTAATATTGACATCTTACCATTTTAACTTCATTTATCATTTTAGAAGACTTTGACGTTCATATAATTTCAATATATTCAATATTTAATTAAAAGTAATTTGGGTATTTAGATAACTGCATAAAAAATGGAGAAACTTTAACATTCTACTATTATTTTATCTCTTAAATGGAGAGATTCTATCCATATGAGATAAGAAGGAAAATGAATTAATTTTTCCCTTTTTCATTATTTTTCCTTCTTTTCCAAACAAGGTAAAATCGATTTCCACAACTATTTTTCTCAGCTATTTTGATTTTTTCAAAAAAAATACTTTCATTCAAACAGAGTGTTAAAGTTAAATTTGAATTTATTATATATCATCTGGTAGTTTTGTTTTTTTTTTTTTAGTGTTTCACATACTTAAAGCATACAAGACTAAGAATTATGATAGATACATTAGTTAAAATTTAGAAAAATTACTATTGCTGATGTGACTGCTACAAAGGTTAAATAAATTTTAAAAATGAAAAATCTAATAAACCTTGAAAAATGAAAAAAACAACACAACCTTTTTTTTAGAATCAATAAAAAAAAAACAAAGAAAATAAAAAATAAAGATAAAACTGTCGTCGTAAATGAGCCGAAGAACAACTTCATATCTAAATAAAAAAAATGTGTATTTCTTTCTTAACAGATGAATAATTGCTTATGCTAATAAAGTACACACCATTTTATATTTTTTTTAATCAATATTTGGTTAAATAACTCATCACAATTTAACCAAATTAAGTCAGTCAATTAATATTTCAATGTGTAAAAAACAATAAAATAATATACATGTTTCAGAATGCATAATCAATAAGTAATTTAAATTTACACGACAAAATACCCATGAGAATTACATTCATGATTAATGGATCCAATTTTCTCACAGCGAGAGTTTAAATTTACAAGAGAGTTTTTTTTTTTTTCAGCAAATCTCATAATCTCAATGTGAATGATATTGCAGAAGTGAACTTAGTACGATCTGTGCAATCAACTCATGATACATAAAAGGTTAAATTTTGAAATTTTTTCTAACTGTGTACCATCCTTTCTTGCAAGCACCAACAAGTTTCCAACGTAGAACTATACCCTTCTTATGTTTATCAGAAGCTATTTCCTTGATTGCAACTTCTAGCTTTCCCATTTAGATATTTGATATTGTGTAGCAATGTTCATATTAATACTTATTCTTTGTATATTGGGAATAGACTCATTTATTAAGTTATGAATCAGTTGTTTGTTTTTCTCTGTTAGTGAAATGTCCTAATGTTAGGGTACTGGTTTTTGCCTACCCTTAACTAGGTCCATTAGTTTGTGATGTTGACAGTTATATGGGTTGTTTTTAGTTTGTGAAGTGGTTTAATGAAATATCTCATTTTTTCTAGCTACTTGTTTTGCATTATTGGGTATTGATTCATTAAGAATCGGCCGAGCGTTACTTTGATCAATATAGAATAACGCTCAGTTAAAGATATTTTTAATTGTGTAATTAATGCCGGAGATTATTGCTTAATATTTATGACTGAGATCCTTACTCGATATTTACTTTTTCACTTACAAATTAGAATAGAGAATGCTTTATAAATAATTGTATCATATCCTAGCAGAGGATCATTTAATAATAATTCCTGAGTATTCAAATTCTACTTCTATCATGTATAACTAGAAGTTGTTAGCAGGGATAAATCAATCTACAGTAGTTACCTATAATGATTGTGTACATTTTAGTGTGTATATATATTTTATATGTTTTAAAGAGGTTTATGTGCTTTCAAAGCTGCTAATATTAATAATATTAGAGATCTCCACTCTCTTAATAACACTTCTCAGCGTTTTTAGTTTTTATATGCAAAATACTGATTTAATATTTGATTAGATAATTGATCAAATTTTACAAATTAGAGCATTCAATAGAGTGATTTTATAAATTAAAATATTTAATTAATATAATTTTATAAATTAAAATATTTAACTGGTCAAAATTAAAATTAAAAATGTCACGAACTTTTTGAAAAATAATACAAAATTGAATTTAAATATTTGCCATCACCATCCCCATGTGTATAATTCATTGAAAAATACTATCTAACTAAACATATTTTATACAATATGATATTTTTCCAGTTCAAGGGGCATTGCACATGGAACAATCATGCTCAGGGGAATAGTGTATGTATCCAACAAACATTTTAGGTGTATAACCACATGTTTTGGTTACATTAAATGTATTTAATAATTTCAGCATAGCTATTGGATTTCAATTTGCATGATGAAAATCACTCATTACTAATTTGTATGTCAATAAAGTAGTCTTTATTCTCAAAATTTTTACATACCATTTAATTCTAAAAGTATATATTTGTTTTTTTTATAGCATCAAATATTCTTTATGTCCCTTTACGTGTTTTTTTTTTTTTTTTTTAATTTCTAAAAGTATATATTTGTTTTTTTTATTAGCATTCAAAATATTTCTTTATGTCCCTTGTACGGTGTTTGTTTTTTTTTTTTTTTTTATTGAGGATCAATGAATAAACTATTTCTCATAAATTATAATAAAATTCAAGAACAATTGTGACCCAATTTAAATTTTGTATAAACTTACGAAGATAAAGTATTCTATCTAATACTACTTTTTGCATTGAAAATTAAAAAAAGCAATTAATTTATAAATAAGGACGTTTTTTTTTTTTTTTTTATGAGGATCAATGAATAAACTATTTCTCATAAATTATAATAAAATCAAGAACAATTTGACCAATTAAATTTTGTATAACTTACGAAGATAAGTATTCTATCTAATACTACTTTTTGCATGAAAATTAAAAAAAGCAATTAATTTATAAATTAAGGATGAAATTGCAAAAAAGATTATTTATTATTTTTTAAAATACTTAAAATCGAATTATATTTTGAAGCAAAAACATTATCCTAAAACGATTTATATTTTGAGATGAAGGGAATATAAATAAGGATATAATTAGAAAAAGATAATTTATTACTTTTTAAAATACTAAAAACGATTTACCAAATACCATTATTCTGAAAATTGGATCGGACCAACCAGTTTGATCGGTTTAACCAAAAATTGGATTGCGATCCAGTCCGAATTACATAAAAAATCAGGCGTCTAAAAAACCGGCATGAACTGGTAAAAACCGAATGAAAATCGGCTAAAAACCGATGGATTGAACTGGTTAAAAATCGATTTGATTCAAATTCTGGATTTTTATAAAGTGTAGCTTTTAAAAAATTTGGCCTCTTAAGAATTGGTCTACTGGTTTTTTAATTTTTGGACATCTTTATTTCTAAACCCAAAGTTCTAATATATTAATTAAAACAATTAAATTGCCTAACTTTAAAGCCACATTTGAAAAATAATAATATATTTTATGGTAACTAATTAATTTTGTTTAGTATTAAATTTAGTCATTTTTTATTCTTTTTGAATATGTCAAATTTGAAACTGTTTTTTATTTGATATCAAATTTTTTTAAACCTATATTTTTAATTTTTTAATAAATGTATTTAAAAATATTATATATAAAAATCTAGTTGAACTGTATTGAATCCAGATGAATCCTCTAATTCAGTGAATCCCTAGTTTCACTGGTTTACTATAGGTTCGATTCTCAAAATACTGCTAAAATACTCTATATAGACTTATATTGGAATGTAGGGAGAAAAAAAATATATCAAACTTATCAAAAATAATGTTGTTGAGATAAAATTAATTAATAGAACAAAATTTAATAATTATAGATGAAATTTATACCGAAATAATTTTTAAAAAATAAACAATTCTTCGCTGAGTTAAAGATCAAATTGCCAATAGCCATTCACCACGCAACTAAAAGAACTATTCGTATTTACGAAATCACCCTTACCATAATTCCTGGAGCATTCTTATTGGTCCAAATTTCGCAACGGCAAGAACCAGAACTACAGTTCATAAAATGAAACCTCAAATTCCCGCCGGCATCTTACAACTACCATTCTTCGACAACAGAGAAGACTGATTGGTGATCTTGACTCGCCTACCTTCCGCTCAATGGCTTATTCTCTACAGAGACGAAAGGGTAAGTAATCGTCTGTTCGTTAGTTTATCAATTTATCATCACAACTAGACTTAAGTTTTGGAGTTTGAAGTTTGTTTCTTTATCAATCGCTTTGGTTTCATCCAATCATCTCTTTTCTCTCACTTTTCCATTCTTTCCCTTCTATAGAATGGCACAAACAGGGCAAGCTTCAGCTTCTTCTTATTATTCTTCTATTAGGGATTCTGGAGCTTCTGTTTCTCATTCTTTTTCTTCTTCAAGCAATAATAGGGAGTCTTCTGGTGCTGCGTCATCGTCTTCGTTTCACCCTCGCGAAGAAGATGAAGATCGTGATGGTAATCGACATCAATTTGGAGAATCAGAGACGGAGCAGCAACCCATTGGGGGGCTTTTTCGGGGAAATTTTTTATTCGAAGATGCATCGGTTATTAGAGATGATACCTGGTCTTGTGTCATTGTTGTCCTTACCTTTTGGTTCTTCGGTTAGTATTTTTAGTAAAATTTTTAATTCGGTAATAGATGGCATTTCTTGTGGTTTAAAGTTGAATGTATTTGTTAGTTTCAAAAGTGATCATTGAATTCTTTATTTTGTAGTGTCCATGACATTGATTTTGGGAGTCTATGGTGCTGCGAGCATAATGATAGGACCTAATTCTTCAGCTCTTATTCAACCTAATCCCATATTTGTGCAGTCTATCAAGGTAAAATTTTCCTTTCATCTAAAGTTCTTTTTTTGGTTTGTCATAATTTTCAGTAATTTGGATAGGCTCTCACTAGGTGGAAGAGTTGGATAGCAATCATCCAGGGCTCTTGCTATATGGATTTTATAAACCTCCATCACTTGATGTTGTGAAGTCCTGGTCCAAATCTTTTAACGCATCTGTTCCAGCTGATTCACACAAGGCAAGTTTAGTTTTCACATAATGTTATCCACAACGTTTGTATCCAATTCTGGTTTGGATGTATTTATGGATGTCCTTCATGACAATAATTTATAGACTATGTATCATTTTTTCTTTTCAGGAGTGGATATATTTCCTGAATGAGGGATCTCAAATAAATATTTCATACAATGTGAACTCCCCAAGCTCCTCCCTTTTTCTTGTAATTGCCCAAGGTACTTTTAGTTTCTAGAAGATATGCTTTGAAAATTTGTCTTTTTAAATTGAATGCCTTTCTTTTCTTGCTCTAATTTAAAGTTTAGATCATATAATACATACTGTTTAGGAATGCATGCAATTCTGGAAACCCTTTTGGATTTATTTTGATGTGCCAAAGAAGCATCTAAGAGAAACGGTAGCCATCCTATTTCTAATGAATGATATTAAGAACTGAAAGCCACAAATTCTTCTATGAAGCATCTAGCTTATGGGCTCCCATTGCATTTATTGGCGATTAGCTCTCACAAATATGTTTAAGACAATACAATGAAGCTAATAATTGAAGGCCACTTTTCTAATTTTCAGTTGATGCACTTCTGATCACTTATGTGGATTTTTATAAGGCTGATAGCATCTTGATAATTGCCCAAACCTGATAAAAACATAGCTGATTTGTCCATATTTTTACCCATATGATCTGATTCATGAACATTGAAGTTGATTTTTGGTAAGATGGAATTTATTATAAAGGAATTGTAGCTTGTCCTAAATTTGTTGATTGTAAGACAAAAAACATGAAATTGGGATGTAAGCAAGTTCTCTAAACAAGTTGGATGCGTGAGAGAGTAAAAATTTTATTTTATCTACAGCCACAGTAGCTATATCTGTACTCGATCTACTAAGCATTAAAATATTAGCATGAAAGATGCTGAGAGCAACTTTATTTTGTCGCTACAATGACTTTCTTGAGTTTAATTGAATATTCAGCTCTAAATTTGGTCTCATGGAAGACAGTTTTTCTATATTCCTGTCTTCCTTTTGACATTTCATGCGATGCCATTCTATATAACTGCACGCTTAACATATTATATTATGTTAAGTAATTAGAATTTGGCAATCACAGCATAATTGTGAATAAACTTTGAGCAGTTTTCCATTTCTATAATCTAATTCTCATATTATGAATTTGATAGCAATTATTCTTTTTCTTGTATCAATTGATTGGCTTTTGGATTTTATTTCACTAATATATTGAACTGCAAAATTGCAGGGAGTGAAGGCTTGTCTCAATGGCTTGAGGACCCAACATATCCCAATGTCACTTTGTCCTGGAATGTCATTCAAGGTGGACATAAGTTGAGAAGAATTAATGTTTCATATATATAACCTTTTTAACTGACATTATTAAGTGCTTCTGTGCAGGAAATGGTATTATCCAGCAGAAAATACTGAAGTCTTCAAGTTACTATGTTGCACTAGGTAACTTGAACTCGGAGGATGTAGGGGTAATGTGCAAGAATTTTGACTTTTTTGTTTTAAGTTTTATTAGTTGTTTTCTTCATCTTGAAGGAATGATTCACAAACAATTAATACAATTGCATACAAAAAATTTTTCTTTTGGTTTTCATTATATGATTTTAGTATCAAGGAAAGGTCTTAACGAAATTGACTATGCAAAAGACAATAATCTCATGTGACTTGAATGGCTTTACTGTTGTGATATAGGCTGCTCTGCAAACAACTACAGAATATGAAAACACCAATGCGATTGCAACTCAAACCATTCAAATGTATACTTTTATACAACAATGACTGATAATTATTTGGTTAACATTGTGCTTGGATCGCCCCAGAACAGCAAACTAGATCCTTCTTGATCTTTGCAGTTATTACCTAGGACATGATAAGATAGTGGTTAAGCAATAATTCGACTTGATATTGATTTTTAATCTCCTTAATCTTCCCTTTATTTTTTCCAACATGATTCATGTCTGCTGGATTATTAAAGTGAACTTTATCATCTTAATCTCATTTTTTTGCACTTGATTAAATAAGTGAAAGTCATATTTGCCAATTATGTTTTAAGAGAATAAAAGTACTTTATGATTTAAATGCATTATGGTATACAATGTAATGGAGGCTAAAACTGAAATAAAGTTCCTATATGTAATTGATAAAAAAAAAAAAAAGGCTAAAATAGAAAAAGAAGTAAAAATTTAGGATTGCTCTAGTAATAGCCTTTTTTCCCCTTTCTTTTCTAGAGGGAGTAGATATGTTGAAAACATTGGAAGGTCATGCAACATTCATTTGATTGTAGTTTCTGCTAGATATGAAGTAGGTGTTTTTTTAACTTTTAATGTTGGAGATAGATTTATGCAAGCTTTCTGTGGTGGTCCCTTAGGCTAAAGAATCACCACTAGATTTTTGTACTCCAATATTTTGAGAGTTTAGATTCAATTTCCAACAAGTGTAATGCCATAGAAGCACAGATATCAACCTTTGCTGCTCTTTTGTTCAAAGTGAAGTTGATTTGAATATTAGAGTTATTAAGGTAACAAATCTAATGGTTTTTTAACTTTAAACTAAGAGGTTGGGAGGCTGATGCAAAAATATCAGACAACATCGAAATTCTGGCACAAAACATGATGTGATTATTCAACTGACACACTCACGGGAGAATCTTGTTTGAGACAGCACAATTGAAATGTGAAATTTGCTTGGCATGTGGAGCTTCTGGAGCAGAGAAGGCAATGAAACAACATAGCATTACATTCTCAGGTTACATAAAAACTTAAGCTGGTAGGAAGGGAGGCCCATTTACAATATGAGGCCAAATCAAACTTTTTATAGAACCCATATGGAATTATTCAAAAAGACCTTATGATTTTGAATCTCATAACTCTCACTGTACTATTAAGACTCCATCTGATGTTTAGCCTTTTAGTTATGAAAGTTCTCTTCTGCTACCATAGAGCCAGAGTGAGGGGTAAAATGGGTGCTAGATTTGCAGAGAGTGAAGCTTTAGGCCCATGCTATATACTTTTTTTTTTTTGGTATGAAAATCATGTCAGGAAAAAGTAAATGTGCTCTGTCTCCATATATATGTTGCATAGGTCATTTTCACACCTACGTTATTCCATTTTTGATATAGCACTGTTGAAACTTTTCTACATCAAAAAGATGAGGGGAAATGAATGCATGGCTTTGGCAGTTGGGCATATTTCTTGTTTGTGACTTATAGTCCAATTTCAAATATCCACTTATATTTTTGGTGCTTTTAACAAAAGATTAGCTTTCAACAGAATTACAAGTTGGAGAGAGTTTAAATACAATTTTGCCTTTGAGTTTATCAATTTTATTCCATATAAATTTGGCAATAACCTTTTTTACTGCTTTTTACTCAATATCTTGAAGCAATTGTCACATTTTCTTTCTGGACAGCCATTTGCCCTATTTACTTAGAAGTAATTTTTAATTGTACAGGTGCAATTAACCTTCAGTATAAATTCTTTGCTATACAACACAACTAAAGCTTATTACAAGTGCACTTTCAGCAATGGTGCATGTAGATTGAGCATTTTGTTTCCCAATGGAAATGTTGTTGTCTTATCCTCTCCTGATCCCCATCAGGCAAGTCTGTTACTTTCTGTACATGTTTTTTTAAATTTTTGTATGTTTTCATGAGGGTTGTTATTTAAAAGAGAAATTTTCAGAATACAAGAGGGAAAAAACTTGTAAAAACACAAATCTAAACATGTCTTTTTCCAGTCTGTATCTTCAAAAGTTCTCGCAAGGGCAGTGCACATTAATATATTTATATCACAGAATCAGTTCTACTTCCATTGACGAGGTTACCTGAATATTTTGTATAATGGTGGATTTAACAGAGACTTTCACCTTATCACAAATAAAAATATAATCCTCATTGCGAGAGAACAATCGTTATATTTATCATGTTTTTCGTATTTTCTTTAGGATTCAATTGCTGAGGAGTGGTATGTCAAATTGTCCTATGGGCCAAGATGGGCAACCTATATTGTTGGCATAGGTATACTTCTATTTTTTCCTTCCTCTTAACTTTGACATGTGGATATCGTATGTATCCTTGCTTTTCTGTCTGTAGCTGCAATGACTGCACTAATGTTGGGGGCATTCAACTTCTTGAACAAGTTCCGGTGTATTCGTGAAGAAGAAACTGGAGTTCGGTATGGAGAGCTGGAGCCTGAGAGAACTCCATTGCTTTCACACAAAGATGATGATCTCTCAAGCTGGGGCTCTTCTTATGATTCCGTCTCAAATGATGAGGAGGATCTTGAAGAGTTTCTAGCATCAGGTTCTATGGAAGGTGCATCCTTAAGAGATGGTGAGAACAGCAATAGTACCAGGCGTCTTTGTGCAATCTGCTTTGATGCTCCAAGGGACTGCTTCTTTCTCCCATGTGGGCACTGTGTTGCTTGTTTTGCATGTGGAACAAGGTAATTGCCTATTTACTATCCTGACCACCTTTATTCAATTTTAGACCTCGACTTTGGAAACTAATCCATTCTAACTGGGAGTTCTTAATGGTTGTCAAATTAAGAAAGATATTGTTTTTTTACCAATCCTCTTTCATCTTATGAGGACCAGCCTTGCCCTAAAACTAGGACGGGCTTTCTAATCAATTAATCAGTGTTGTAGATAGCATATTTCATTGAATACTGCAACAAAACACGCACATGAATTCATAAGAACTGGCCTGTGGTGAACCAATTTTTAAGGTCATTTGGTGTTGCATCTAGAGATAATTGTCATAAAGAAGCTAAGATTGATAGGAAACCATTTCAATGAACTTTGGTTGTTATATTGAACTAATGCTGCAATACCATTAAAAGCAATTTGGCTACGGTTCACATAAAATAGGATGACAATTATTATAGTTTATGACCTGCTCAAACTAACCTGAGCACCAAGTTGGTGTGGCAAATCTCAGCTGGATGCCAATTGGAATGAGATCAGGACAGTCTTATTTTAGAATAATCAAGCATGATTATTTTTAGAACAAGTTCAACTCTGCATAGTTGCAACAGTATAGGCACAGATTTGCACATTGCTATGGTCTTAGAATCAACGCCTTCCCATTTCTGATGGATCATACCATTGTAATGTTAAATTCAGTTAGAGTGATTATAGTTGATATTTGATCTTTAAGATTTTAATTGGAAAAGCTAATTTGCCAACTGTCAAAATTTTATCTGGCTCATACTCAAGTATTTGGCTTTCCTGCTTCTGGAAACACACTTGTAAGATAACCATACTGAAAAATTGGCTGCTGCTATGCTGCTTGTGAAGTTTTTTACTTCTTAAATGACAAACATCTTGGTCCACATGAAGCTAATGCAAATCATGCATCGTAATTTACCTTTGCAGGATAGTTGAAGCTGCTGGTACTTGTCCTATATGCCGTAGAAACATGAAGAAGGTGAGGAAGATTTTTACGGTTTAAGCCTCATGATATTATTTTTAGCACCTGCAAAACCTGGGTGAGTAACTTGAAAAATAGATCAGCCATGCTTATAACCATTCCTTTCATGTTAACGAGTATTGATCGAGTTGGACTGGTCAAGTAAATTATAAATGGAAGATCATCATCATTAAGATGGAATGACCTTGCATTCTGTTTTTTGTGTTCTCCATTTGGCATTCCATCATGCAACTTTGTATCTTGGTAGGGGATGTCAGAATACATGTGCTTAACTTTGACACGATTCAAAGGTGTAAATTTTACTGCAATCCTTTCTTCTAAAATTTTGTTCTATGAGAGGTTATCGTGCATTATGCAAAAAAAGTAGAAGTTAAAAATAATAAGAAAATAAAGTAAATGCCTGAGTGAGTTCAATTTATATGTTACTATCATGATTGCTAAAATATGTCACTTTATTTATTTATTTTTTTTTTACCAGATATTTTGATTCTTATAAATATTTTTTAATTAAACAATTATTATTTCCATCTTTTAATAAAAAAATTTCAGTTTAAATTTATTTTTAAGGTTAATTTTAATAAAAAAATTACGAAGAGATTGTCAAAATTGGCCATGAGCATACTAGTAGCTTCCTACTTGAATCAATACCTGAAAATTGGAATTAGACTCCTATTTTGGTTTAGTTATGATTTGGAGAGTTCAGTATTGGCAAATCTTTCTCTAACAATTTAATTAATATTGTCAATTTGATGGTATCATATCTCCACTTTCCATCGTAAGAAGTTGAAGCCTTCTTAGTGGCCCTTTGGCTACTTGTATTATTCTATCTTTGTCATGCGAAAAATTAAGTTATTTCCTTAATGTCATGCGAAAGCTAAGGAATAATATCGTCAACTAACCCTACTCAAATTTAAAAATATTTTTATAATATAAATTTAAATTGTTGAAAATTTTTAAAAAGTATATATTATGTGAAAAATCATAATTGACTGAAAAGTATTCTAGCTCATGTACATGGTAAATCTATCCTTTCTACAAATTCTATCATTGTGTTGAATACTCGAATTGAATGACGACAAATTCCAAATGGTACAAAGAGATTTGATTAAGTGATTAATTAATTATTTTCAAAAAAAAAAAAAGTGATTAATTAATTGAAGTAGAGAAACAAAGATTTGCTTTCTCTTTCGTGTTGGCCAAGAGAGAAAAAGACAGTCAAGAAATGAAGAAGACAATTTGAACAAACCATCTTTTCCCTTCTCCACTTTCCATTTATGGGGACGAGAAATTTTTTTATAAAGATTGAAAACGTGAGGCCGCCTTCGTTTCATTTATCCTACCCATTAATTTTTCTCTTTTGGTACGATAATATATATATTCATAAATTATATATATACCTATCTCTACTGGGCAGATGCAGAAAATCAAATTAATTGAGGCAAATATATAAAGTAATTACTCAATGGAGGCAAAATATAAGAATTCAGTAGAATAAATACAGAATGTTATAATTATAAATATTAAAATGTGAAAAACTATAAACTAAACCGTAAAAACATGAGTGGGGAAAAGTGCCCCCTTGCCCCATTATAATTTCGTCTCTGCCATCAAGTGCAGTCTTGTTAGTCTTCTCACTAATAAAAGAGTATAGGAAGGCTGGAGTTCAAGTTTTTTCAACCACGAGAGTTTTCATTAATTTAGTGAGTAAAAAAACTACTCCACTATATAACTTATAGCATTATTTCGGCTCATTAGACTTCAACGAATATATTATTTTCGGCTCATTAGACTTCAAAACGAATATATAGATATAATAGATATATATATATATATATATATATAAAACTTTACGTGTAATATATAAACTTTACGTGTAACGTGATTGAGGTGGTAAGTGATCTCAATTCTTGTAGAAATGAGAATATAAGTTTGATCTCTGAAAAACGCACCTGCTCTTCAGTCTGAGGGGAGGTTTTCTGGTTATAAAAAAAAAAAAGAATTTACTTATCTTTTTTTTTTCTTATTGCTATATGTCATAACCTCATTAGTTAGTCCAAATCAAAGAATCGAAAAATCACAAGAATTAACGGAATAAGGTTTAGAAATCAAATGAGTAGTTATGTAATCCATTTACATTGCCATACAGAAATATCAATGGTATACAGGAAAAAAAAAAAAAAACATAATGCCACCTTAAAATTTCACGTTAATCAAAGATTTGAAAAAAAAAAAAAAAAAGATTTGAAAAAAAAAAAAAAAAAAAAAAGAATTGGTAAAGTTCATTTTTAAATTATGTATTGAATTGGTAAATTCATTAAATTATGTATCCTATTATATAAATGATGATGTACCTACCTTAAAAAAAAAAAATCTCACACCAAACTTTAATATTTGATTTGACTTATCAGTTATTTCAACTTTTTATAAAATTAGATCCGTTGAACAACCTAATTTTTTTTTTAAATTAATATATTGCATATAAAATATAAAACCTGTTGCGGAATAGGTGCGAGAATGTATTATAAAAGGTGAAAATTTAAGAGAGTTATATAATAGAATAAATTTTAAACTTCAAATATTTAGCTGATACATTAAAATCATCCTTAAACTTTTTTATTTTAACTTGACAGATTTGAAAAAAAAAAAAAAAGAATTGGTAAATTCATTAAATTATGTATGAATTGGTAAATTCATTAAATTATGTATCCTATTATATAAATGATTGTACCTACCTTAAAAAAAAAAATCTCACACCAAACTTAATATTGATTTGACTTATCAGTTATTTCAACTTATAAAATTAGATCCGTTGAACAACCTATTTTTTTAAAAATTATATTGCATATAAAATATAAAAAACCTGTTGCGGAGGTGCGAGATTATAATAAAAAGTGAAATTTAGAGAGTTATAATTAGATAAATTTAAACTTCAATATTAGCTGAATACATAAAATCATCCTTAAACTTTATTATTTTAACTTTGTTGCAACATTAATTTTTATTTTGATATATTAAACGCTTCAATTTATAAAATTAAACATATTATAAACACTTCAACCTGTATAATTATTTTATTGAATACTTCAACTTACAAAATTAAATCAATTAGACACCTATTAAATAATTGAAAAATGTGAAAACTATTGTCTTAAAAATTATGCTAACTACGTATCAAATCAATATTTTACTTGTAAAAGCCAAAATTTCTAAAAACAATAATATTATTATAGAAATGTGTGCAATATTATCGAAATTTATCAATTCAAATGCGCAATATATCATTCACATAATTTAGGATGTCATAAGGTTAAATTTACCAAATTCATGGATGAATTTTTATATTTGTTCAAAAATATTTTTTTATCAAAATTCAGGAAATAAATTATATATTCCGCCTATTAAATTACAGCAATGAGATTATATGAAGGACAACTAATAGCTCTACATATTATATTTATATTGTGCATGATAAATATGAGGTATATTTAAAAATGAATGTAAAATTTTAAATTCAAGTGATATTAAAAATTGCTCCTTAATATTCTAAAAAAAAAATTGGCCCTTATTGCTAAAAAGCAAAAACTCTCTTTACCATGTTATTTAGGTATAAAGGCACTTAAAAGTTCAACAAAATTTACAAATTAAAATATTTAATAAATATAATTTTATAAAAATATTTAAAATTTTAATTAGTCAAAATGAAGATTAAAAGTACCATTACACTTTTTATTGTAAAGTTGAGGTGCTAGTTATCCATTTGGCTTCTAATTATTTATAAAATTTTACTTGTGGAATCTAATTACATATTGTCAGATGAACTAAATGATATAAATTTAAGATACTTTTATAAATATATGATATAATTTAAGTTGAGGTCAAATGAGACGATAAACATCCATTCTTCTTTAACTAGAGATTTCGAATTTAAATTCTAAATATAAAATTTCTTTAAATACTCACGAGAAAATATTTTTTTATTTTTTGCAGGTGTATTCGCAAAAATCCGGATTAGTAAAAAATTAAAAAAAAAAAAATTAAAAAATAGAAGGCCACATAAGGAGCACGGCACAAACTAATCAGTGCATTCAGAGTCTCCACGTAGGCAGTAGCCCACCCAAAATTTGCTAAAACCGAGGTTCCAAATACAGAAAATTGCGTGGCCTCCATTTTATTAAGGGAAAAATATTCCGCCGCTTCCATGATAACAATTCTAAACCCTCTTTATTACCCGTCAGATCTCCCAGCATCATCGTCGTCAAAATCCCAATCCCAATTAAAAAAAAATCATCACCATTACACGTCACACCCACCTCTTTCACTATTAGTAACTGCTCAGAACCATTCAACACTACCTCTCTACTTAAACCCTCCTCGTCTTCCTCCGCCTCTCCATCGCCACCTCTCTCTCTTTCTCTAATTTCTGATTAGCTTTCTCTTTCTCCAATCTATCTAGCTTATCTAGATATGGCAGGAACTGGGGTAGTAGCAGTTTACGGTAACGGAGCAATAACCGAAACCAAAAAATCCCCGTTCTCCGTTAAGGTGGGTCTAGCCCAGATGCTTAGAGGCGGCGTTATTATGGACGTTGTTAACGCTGAGCAAGCACGTATCGCCGAGGAGGCTGGCGCTTGCGCCGTTATGGCGTTAGAGCGAGTCCCTGCAGATATTCGTGCCCAGGGTGGCGTCGCTCGTATGAGCGACCCTCAGCTTATTAAAGAAATTAAACAGGCCGTTACCATACCTGTTATGGCCAAAGCCCGTATTGGCCACTTTGTGGAGGCTCAAATTCTTGAAGCCATAGGTATCGACTACGTCGATGAGAGCGAAGTTCTCACTCTGGCCGATGAAGAAAATCACATCAATAAGCATAACTTCCGTATCCCTTTTGTTTGTGGTTGTCGCAATTTAGGCGAAGCGCTTCGTAGGATACGTGAAGGAGCGGCCATGATTAGAACAAAAGGCGAAGCAGGGACAGGGAATGTAATCGAAGCGGTTAGGCACGTGAGGTCGGTGATGGGTGATATTAGGGTTTTGAGGAATATGGATGATGATGAAGTGTTTAGCTTTGCCAAGAAGATTGCTGCGCCTTACGATTTGGTTATGCAGACGAAACAGCTAGGAAGGCTACCCGTGGTGCAATTCGCAGCGGGAGGGGTAGCAACACCCGCGGATGCGGCGTTGATGATGCAGCTGGGTTGCGACGGAGTCTTTGTTGGGTCTGGTGTGTTCAAGAGTGGAGACCCAGCGAGGAGAGCCAGAGCGATTGTGCAGGCTGTTACACATTATACAGATCCTGACGTGCTTGCGGAGGTCAGTTGCGGTCTCGGTGAGGCTATGGTGGGGATTAATTTGAACGACAAGAAGGTGGAAAGGTTTGCAAACCGGTCTGAATAGGTGGTTTGTTGTTTTGATTGGAGGTGAGGATCAAAGGCCTTGCTGTTCACAATTGTGTTACTTTAGTTAATTTTTATGGTTTATTTATTATTATTATTATTGTTATTATTATTGTTATTATTTTAATTTAGACTGACTGGTTATAGCTTTGTGTTTTCATATTTCTTTATTATGCTATTGTAATTGAATAATTTTTTAAATTCACATGGTTCAGAAAGCTTTAAGTGTCACGATCTGTATCTATGTGATTCTGGTGTATCAGTGGCTTTGGCTTTAGACTAAGCTTTATAACCTCTATGGTTACTGTATGTTCTATTGCAAACCCACCTTATGTGTACTGGAGCAATTTTGAATACATATTCAATCCATCCTAGTGTTTGAACATAAGGATTGCTTACATTGAGATATTTTATTTCTTGAATTATTGATGTTTGATCTTTGGTGGCTCTCAAAGCTGATATTTTTTATTCCATGCTTGATTTTTAATTGCAAACATTGTCTTTTGAATCTTCATTACTTAAGAAAGTGAAGGAAATACTTTATGGGTGTAAGTCTATATATGATTCGAACACTAACCGCAATTTGTCCAAGTATAAATGGGGCTGAAGGAAAGGTGTGAAGGACTTGTCAAATTTTTCATGCTCAGTTGATTGCTGTTCAGAGCTCATCAAAGAAAAAAAAAAAAAAGAAAGAAAGAAAGAAAGAAACTTGTATGAAATTCTAATTATTGTCTTGAAGTTTTTTTGCTGGCTGTTCGACAAAATCTTTGACATAATGCAAGAGATGTTGCTGTTATTTTAAATGCGGATTTGGAAACAGATGCCTCTATTTTGGTGTATATATAGAGGAGGGGTTGCAATTGCTAATTTTTTTCGTCTTGTCATCTCTAAGAGTTGAAGGGAATATTGGGTATGCTAGAGTTTGCGGTTATAGAATTTTCCTTGTTTGATGCAGTTAGCTATATCAACTGAGATTTTTGAATGATTTACTGGTATCACAAGATGATTACTTAGCTATTTATGTAGTAAATAAATATTATATGCATTTTATTTTCTTTAAATAATTCTTGGCTCTTTACTTCCTCTGTTAGCCTTTTCTTTTTCTTCTGAGTTTGCTTTTACTGCTTTTCCATGTTTATGACCATATGTTTTTAGATGCGTTATATTTATCAAAATGAAGATTACTTGTCTTCTGTTTATGACATAGCAGATAACAAAGTTGATGGTATCTGATTGTGTTATTACAGGAACATTTTTTATGATGCTCATATTGCTCCAGTCTCCAGATTATCCAAGTGTAGTCTACAGCTACCAAGTTCTGGAACTATTGTGTATGATCACTGATAATAGTCAAGTTGGGAATGTTTTCCATATTTGCGTCCTAATGTTATTTGATAATTGAATTTCTTTTGGACAACAGTGAAAGATTAGTTACAAGTTTTTTCTTTGTAAGATTGCATTGTACTTAATAATATAAGTTGTGTACGTTCAGGTTATGTGAACCTTTATTTATTTGGTGCCCTCTCCATGTATTCGTTCTTGATGCTTAGTTTAATTAGATTGGTAATGATGTTTGTTGCACCCTATTGTCACTTGAACTGCTTGTACTGATAATGGAGAACGAGGAACATAATCTCATTTTACAAATTATCATCAATTGATCAATTGCTCTTGCTTATATCTTGTAAGAGAATTAACAATTTAAGGAAATAGTAGGACGCTCCCCCTATAGTTGCATACTGCAATTTTTCTGGTCCTTCAATTTCTGGGAAATCACCATCGGCTGCGCGATTGAATCCTCCGGCCAACCATCCGAGGTTCTTGTATCCTTCATCGTACAACTTTGAAGCAGCCATCATAGACCTGAGGCAAAAAACTGTAGAATAAGTTCAAACAACAAACATCGCTCAAATGGAATCATTGTCCTTTGAGGCCATGAGATGAGATTGCAAGTTCGAAATGAGGGCGAAAAATGAAATCTAGCAACCGAACATCCATTTAGAAACAACAATCTAAATGGATAAGGTCTCTGTTTCTAACCTTAGTCCTTCACCACAAGCCACAAGTAGCTTGGCATCCTTGTTGGGAACAATGGTGTCTACCTGCTTGACAAAATCGGGATTTAACATGGTAAAATTCTGGCCAGTCCAGAGCCCAATGTAGCCAAAATGAACCCACTTCTTCAAAAGGGTTAGTGGACTATTATCCAAATCTTGAACAAAGAGTGGCACATGTAGCGACCCTGTAACTCTTGCCTTTTCTCTCTCCCAGTCTGGTCTGACATCGAGAAGCATGAAGCCATCAGAGCTAATAGCCATGGCTGCATCTTTTGAAGATATGGGCTTAATAGCACCAGACTGTATAAGCTGCTGGGCGTTGGATGCTGCTTTGACTTGAAATTTTATCGGCCTTTGATGTGTGGAGATGGAGAGGGGTGGCTTTGGTTGTTTTTTCTCATGCCTGAGAGCTTGTGCGTAGAGATGGTTCAGTTGAATCGCCATCTCCCTCGATCTCTCTAACTATCTTATCCTGATTCCCCAGATGGGCTTGTTAATAACTACAAGAAAAAGACAAATTGTCGTTCCCTTTGTACGTATTTGTAGTTTTGCCGTTCCCTTTCTTTGGTTTGCATTTATTTCCTGGTTTTGAAAATGCTTTTCACAGGCATCCTTCGTGCACATCTCAATTTTTTACTGCCATGCCAAGGAAGGGAATAATAGTGCGAAAAATCAAATTGTGGCCAAATGCATGTATTGTCGTCGCTTCAACTTTATATAAGAAAGTCTAATAATATTTTAAACTTTTATTTGCGCTAATTCACCGCTTCAACTTATAAAATTATATTTATTAAATATTTTAACTTAAAAATTACATTTATTCTAAAAGCTGTCAAAATATTATTCTAAAAGTTATATCATCCACGCATCAAAGTAATACTTCATATATAAAAGATAAAAGCTTAAAAAATTATTGTCGATAATATGAAAATATGTACGATATCATTAAAATTTGTAACTATAAAAGCACAATAAATTCTCATCATAGTTTAAAGTGTCATTAAATTTAAATTATAAAATTAAGAGGCATATTTATATATTTATCCTTCTTGTTGCATGCATAACATCAAAGTCATAATAAACTTCTTGAAGTATAACCTCGAAATCAATATTAAAAATTAATAGCATTCGAATGAACTCTTTTTAATATTTGATTTTATTCAATAAATAAACTTAATAAATTATGTAAAAATTTATTTGTAATGGAATATTATCTTACTAAGTGGTATCTTATTAATTGCTAAGTACCAGTAAATTCTAGAACTTTTGTTGGTAAACCTAACAATTTGAGTGCTAAAGGCATAGAATTAATTGAGTAAAAATAATTGAATACTCATTTTATAAAATAAAATATCGCATTTCACATTTTTTTTAAAGAAAAAACAAAGAGATATACCATGCTAATGGGAAATTTCAAATTTAATCTTAAGAAAAAAAGTAAAAAAAAAAAAAAATTCAAACTTACAAAATGTTTAATTAAAATCAACATAGGAGACCACCGCGTGTCATTTATGAATAGGTATTTCATTGTACTTACAAAAACTGCACCGCACGTAATCAAGGCCTCAACTCGCAGCGTTAAAGTTTAAAAGTTTCGCCTTCAGCTTATAACGAACCAAACCGTCTCTACCAAAGTTCACCAAAACTGAACCCTAGTCCTGTCTCTGAAATTGACCTGCTCAAATCCTTTTTGACCAAAATCAACATTCAAATATTTACCCTTTTCCCTCTCTTTAAAAGCCACACTTAATTATATTACATTTGCTCTAATGATTTCATACGGACTGTGAAATTGGAGATTTAATGGTAGGAATGGTTAATTCCAGTTCGAGAGAGAGGCTAGCGAGCCTCGTTAAAGCGGCCATTGACATACCTTTAAAGCTCGAGACCTTGCGTCTATTAAACGAGAATTTGTTAGAAGAAAAGGACGTCGGTTCGCTATCTGAGTTTCTCCCTCGACTTTTCGAGTTACAGTATGATCAGCACTCTCCGGTTCGCAAATCTGTTGCCCAGTATGATTCCTGTAGATATAATCCTATAATTGTTGATACCAATTGATGTTGCTATCTATGCGCTATTGCATTCTTTGAATATTAGGAGCTTTTTAGTTTGGTTTTCTGCCATGGGCTTTAACGGGCGTTCCTATTATCGAATTTGATTTTGCGTAGGATAATTGGAGAAATTGGGCTCAAGCACTTGGAATTTGTGCCGGAAATTGCTCCTGTTTTAATGAGTGTTTTGGATGATCGTGCACCTGCTGTTGCTAGACAAGCCGTCACTTGTGGGATTAACTTATTTCGATCCACCTTTCAAAAACTTGCTATTCAGGTAGAGTATATCTCCTTTTCCTGCTCAATTATGTTAAATATGGTCAATGATTTGAGACCTTCTAATTTGAAATGAACATGTTCCATTATTATCAATCATAGCGTGACATCTCATATTTTAGTCCTAAGTCATTGCACCTTGTGAAAGTTTCTTAGATTTGGATAAGAAGCCTACAATGTTAGCACTTCACAAACAATTTTACTCTTTTCTTTCTTTTTGGCTACGCTCTGTTAAATGGCATAAATTGAGCTTTGTAGTGCTTCTTCCTTCTGCTATTCTCTTTTGATATTTCAGGGTCTTTATGCCAGTGAGGTGGATGATTTGCTTAAGTCATCATGGTCATCGATGTTAGAATTCAAGGAAAAGTTGTATTCTATAGCTTTTCAGGTAACCGCTGTTTATTGTGAAGACACTGCTTGATTTTCTGCTTATTCCATATTCTTATTTACTGTGATAACTTGTTTTCAAGCCTGGAAGTGGTGGGGTAAGGTTGCTTGCCCTGAAGTTTGTTGAAGCAGTCATTCTTCTTTACACACCTGATCCTAATGGCCCTGCAGAACCCCCTACTCATGAAGGTAATCATTTTAAGCCTTTCTTTTTATGCTAAGGTAGTATCGAAGACAAGAATGTACAGGTTAATACTCAAATGCTGTAGCATCTCTTTATTCTTGTAGAAGAACTTGTGGAATTTAATATATCATGGCTGCGAGGGGGCCACCCTGTACTAAATGTTGGAGATCTGTCAATTGAGGCCAGCAAACGATTGGGTTTATTACTTGATCAGCTTAGGTTCCCAACTGTGAAATCTCTCAATAACTTGGTGATCATTGTGCTAATAAATAGGTAGGGATCAATTCTGGATATACATTTGCAATTTTATCTTCTTGCTTTGTTTGGGGGAAGCACTTTTACTTAATATTAGTATGGATGGCCTACTCTTTGGATAATTGACACATTGTTGAATAAATTTTTAAAATTAATTATTCTTACCAGCCTCGCCACAATTGCGAAGAGAAGGCCCCCGTATTATGGACGCATCCTACCAGTTTTACTTGGTTTGGGTCCTTCAGGCTCTAGTATTGAGGTTATGCATGCTTCTGGGGCAAATCTTGCTTTGAAAAATGCCTTTCTCACCTGCTTGAAATGTACTCACCCTGGTGCAGCACCGGTATGTTGCTAATTGTATCTTTATTTGCTTGGATAAATGTAGGTAACCTCTTGTCTCGTTTAACTGCTGATTTGATGCCGTACTCATGTTTATATCAGTTTCAATTTCTTATTGATGATAGAATGTTAACATAGCAATTATATAAGGACACTGTTATCAAGAATGGGGTTTTAAATTAGCATGCTATTACTAGATTTATTTATGTCCTTTACAGGATTTAAATTTTTGTTCAGCTCTCCCTAGAGTGTTTTACATGTGCTTCTTTTATTCTTTAGCTTTGTATGTATTGATGCTTCCATTATGGATTTTAAGAAATGAAATTGTGCTAGGATTGGTTGGGAAGTTGCAGAAGTTGGTAAAGTTGAAATTGTTTGCCATTTTGAATTCTAATTGATATAAAGAAGCCTTTCATCTATCTTTAGTTAAAATCCTGTGTTTATTAGGGCATTATTAAGATGTTATATAGTCTTTTTTTTTTTACTTCCATACTTGGCATTTTATTCCTCTGCCAGAATAATTTTACAACTAGTATGATGTACTAAGGTGATAAAATTTGCTGTTATCTAGCAGTTTATTATATAAACTAATTGTTAATGGACTTCTTATTTTTCTGCAGTGGCGGGATCGTTTAGCTGGTTCACTAAAAGAGATGAAAGCAGGAGGGCTAGCTGAAGAAGCCTTATGTCAAAATTTCAAGAGTAATGGGGGTGCAGAGGAGGGGGAAGAGGTCTCAACAATTGCTATGGTATGCAATTTGTACATTTTCCTGTTATTAAGTATGGTGCATGTGTTTTGATTCCACATATAGAAACACATCTATGTTTGGAGTTTCTTGTTAATGCATGGACATTTGCAGGATGATAAACTTAAAACTGAACCATTTGATGGCATACATGAGAAATTTGGAAGTAAAAGACCTGGAGGCGAGGACAATAGTGAGTCGGCTGAAGACAATGATGTGCCTAAGAAACGTGCCAGGCAAATGGCTAGTGTCTCAGAGGACTCAACTAAAGAGTTGAACAGAAATATTTCAGTGTCCCAGGATGATATATCCTCAGATGGACCTGCTGTTACAAAAGGTGAAGATGATACTGGACCTGTGCAGCAACTTGTTGCAATGTTTGGAGCCTTGGTTGCTCAAGGTGAAAAGGCCGTTGGTTCTTTGGAGATTCTTATTTCAAGCATCTCGGCTGACTTGTTAGCTGAAGTAGTGATAGCTAATATGCGCTACCTTCCTTCTAGTCATCCTGAAGCTGAAGGGCAAGACAAACCACTAGTGGATATGACTATAGTTGGCAGTAACACTCAAGCCAAGTATCCATCATCGTTTTTGGCAAATGTTCTTTCGCTTTCTACTTCTTTCCCACCAATAGCTTTGCGGCTTAATGCTCACCAGTCAACTTCCAACGACATAGAGGTTTTTGCATACTCTTCTTTCCTATTCTTACCCTGCCTTTTTATGTTAGTTATTATTAATTTTTGACATTCAACTATATTGAAGTGTAATGATCTATATATGCTTCTTTAACTTTTCCATCTCCTTCTTGTTCTTCTTTTTCATCGAACCTTTTTGGTTTTAGATTCGCTAAGTACTAAGGTTTTTATATTTACTAAAGCAGCTGACGTCACAAGTTCAAGAAGAACCCTATGTTGCTCTCGAGTCTGATAGTGCTGTTGTATATTCTGAAATGAGTTGTGGGGCCAAAAATGAAATGTTGCCTACTGGTTCAACAGCTCCTTCAAATGTGATTTTATCTGGGATGGAGATGGATATACCGTCTGACAGCCATAGCGTTGGGAATGTGGAGAGTGAGATACCCGGCCTAGACTCTTCTGCTCGTAATGATGGATTATCTGAAACCGTGGGTGCTTCCTCATTGGCCTCCACTGATCTAGAAGATGCTAGTCAAGAGCAGGTTACAAGTTTGGATGGAAGTTCAACCCTGGATTTGCATCCGGTGACGTCAACAGATAGGTCAGAGGAGCTCAGTCCAAAAACAGCTGTTACTGATTCCAGCAGTTTGATTTCATCAGCAGCGGCAACTGTGGGCTTACCTTATACTTTTGTTTTGCCTAAAATGTCAGCACCTGTTGTTGACCTAGCAGAAGAAGAGAAGGATCGACTTCAAAATTTGGTTTTCATGCACATCATTGAGGCATATAAACAAATATCAGTTGCTGGAGGTTCACAAGTCCGCTTTTCCTTGCTTGCTTATTTAGGAGTTGAGGTATTAAGCCAACCTTTTTTAAGGATTCCTGTTACCTTTGCACCACTAGTTGCAATGCCCTAGATATTGCCAAAACTTCTCAAATTTATTGCATAGTGCATGTGTATAAATTACTTGGTTTATTTCCATTTTCTTGTTGTTTAGCTGCAAGTGACATGCTTGTGCTATTCACTTCCTTTCAGGCATTCATGAAACTTGTAATGGTGTATAGTCTATCAAAATATATATGCTGTTGCAAGAGCAATAAATGTTATAATATTAGCTATTCTAGACATGTTTAATTATGTCAATTTACAAGGTTAACTATTTTTTGTGTTAATTCAGAAAATTCTTCCCTATTCATAAATACTTACCTTTCCAGGTTGTCAAAGCATGAATTTTGATATATTAATCTGTACTATCGGTTTGAGAAATTTTCATGGAACTGGCTAAATAGATGCTATTAATTCTGTTCTTTCCACAAGAAATTTCATTGATTTCCCTATTCATAGTTGCAATTAAACAACGGTTTTGAAGCGTGAATCCTGCTTTTCTCCTCTTTAATTTATGCAAAAATTATTGCTTCCTTCATGATTTTCTTGTTAGCATAATGATGGTTTTCCCTCTGCCATCAGTTTTACCTATTCGGTGCACCTGATTTTATGTAATTGATATTTTCGTCGTAGATGTTTTTCAGACGGTTATATAATTTATCCTAAGTTATGGCCTTGGCCTCACCTTTGTGCTTGGCACGATTTATCTAAGTGAAGATTCATACTCTATATGGTACTACATTATCTTTAGAAATTGATACAATTTTTAGTTCTTGCAGTTTCCCTCTGATTTAGACCCCTGGAAACTCCTTCGAGAGCACATATTATCAGATTACATGAGTCATGAGGTAAAGGAATTTTTTCTTTATTGCACATATTCATTCCGGTTGAATTGAAGCTAATATTTCTAACAATATGAAACCTACTTGCCATGGATGGTCCTTGTTCCGTTCTACAGGTATGTCCATGGCTTCATAGTCTTGCATTATCCAAGGTGACAATTAGGGGGTTGAACACGTGCCTACTTGAGCTTTGGCTAGCTCCAGCTTGCTTGTTTTTTAAACGAATTTTGTATTTAGGTTTGAGCTTGGCCTGTTTATTAAATCAACTGAATTGAGATGAGCATCACCATTCACATAAAGGCTTACAAGGCAAATAAAGCTAAATTTTTCTTTGTAAACTTTAATTAGAAGTTAAATAATTCATAAATTTATTTTAATAAATCTTTATATCACTATATAAATCTTAAAGATTATTTTTTACTTATACGTTACAAAATTTAAAATAATATTTTATATGAATGTTTTTCATTAAAAATTTTGGGATGCATATTATAATAAAAACTCATAAATCTTAATTTTGTTTTAAAGTGATTAATACTGTTATGTTGGGATGTTTAGATTTTTGTTGAGATACCTTTAAATAGTTTGAAGTTTGGAGGGAAAGTTAGCTTTGTCTTTTCTGTTGTAACCTGCTGTTCCAAAAGGTATCAGAGCAAGACAGCCTTACTTAAATGAAGGAATTATTCTCATCTCTATTAGGGAAAGTTAGCTTGTGCTCACACGTAAGAATACTGACACGGCTACCAAAAAGGCAGCTATTGAGCTCCTTGATTATGTCACTAAGAAGGGAAGCCCTTGACCGCTAAAGCAAGTCTTAAGAAATTAAATGAAAGGGCAGAGGGCAACCCTGCTTCGATCTCCAGATCGAGTCATAGGTCTAGGAGATACCATGAGATGGGACACTCAATTTCAGTCTTTGACTTGGTCAGATAATGGGTTAGGTAGTAGTATAGGGGCTAAGCTTGACTGTTTAAGTGAACTAAGCATGGCTTGGTTATGAGGACAAAGCATGATTAATGCATGGCTATGATGTCTTTAACTTCATATCTGGTAGTTAGCTCTATATAAGTACTAAAGTAATAAATGAAAAATACTGCTATGAAGGTTCAGTTTATACAACCTGTTTCTCTGTGAATGTGAGCTGTCTGAGTTGCTTTTATGCCCTACCAATTCTCAGCATGGTATCAGAGCTTGTAGATGGTCTTTAAAGCTTTGTAGTTAAAAGAAAAAGGAGTTTTTTGAGAAAAAAGAGAGATAATGCGGTATCAGTTTTTTTTTAGCTATTTTCAATTATTGTTTTATTGTTCTCCTCTCTTCCTTTCTCAATAATTGGTTAGATTTTCATGTTCTTGGTTCAGGATGAAGATTGTTTCGTTGAATTTCTGTTATTTTACAAATCCCACCCATTTTCAAGCGTAAAATATCTGTTTATTGATTTTTGAGAGTAAAAATAGAAGAGGTCAAGCATGTCCATGAATTGAAGAGCACTTGTGAATGTCCCAAAACTGCATATGTAAAACTGCAGAGTTTTAAGTGGACCTAGGCATGTCCTAAAACTTGAAAACTTGTTGAAAGACCTGTGCATGTCATAGAACTGCATAAATCATGTTGAGTGGGACCTAGGAATGTCCTAAAACTGCAGAAATCTTGTTGAAGAGGACCTAGGTAAGTCCTAAAAGTGCAGATCTTCTTTGAAGGGACCAAAGCACGCTCGAAGACTGCGGGAAACCAGTTGAAAAAGGACTAGGATGTCCGGAAACTGCTAAAAGAATTTGCTGAAATTTGATGATAAGGATAATAGCAACCCTTTGATGAAGGTTTTAGTTGCTCACATGGAGCAGTAGGAAGAATAGTTATTTTTGGCAACTGACAACAACTAGGCCCACCATGGATACTCTCAAGGAGTCACTATCAAGAGGAGCCTAGTACATTTTTCGGCAAGAAGTCCATGAAAATTAGTGACGAAGCTTGGAGACAAGCGCTCAAAAGAATAAAAGAGAAAAAAAAGGAAAGAAAGTGATTTGAAAAGTTTGAATACAAGAATTTGTTCAGATGTACAACAAATACAAGAAGATTTGAAAAATGATGGTGCTCAAGAAAAGGCCAAAACCAATCAATTGAGATGATGCTCTATGGAAGTACGAGTTGAATTCCTCCAACAAAAATCTCAAGGAGTGCTGGAATGGTGAGATTTTTGTTGAGACTTGAGATACTTTTTATTAGTTTGAGTTTTGGAGAGAAAATTAGCTTTGTCTTTTCTGTGGTAACCTTGCTGTTCCAACATGTAAAGTTAGTGGGGTTAGGTAGCTGTATGGGCTTAGCTTGGGTGTTTAAGTGAACTAAACATGGGTTAATTATGAGGAGAAGCTAAGCATAGTTAAGCCATGGATATGTTCTGTTTTTGTACTTCATATCATGTGGTTAACTGTTAACTCTACATAAGTACTAAAAGTAATCAATGAAATGTAGCCTTTTGAAGGTCCATTTTCTGGAAGCTGTTTCTCTGCCTGTGTGAGCTATGTGAGTTAGTTTTATGCCTTGCTAATTCTCAATATCTTATGTGCTAGCTGTCAGACAAATTTGCGAACAAGTATGCTTGAGTTCAGATGAGGAGAGCTGTGACTAGCTTAAACTCGGCTAGTTATTACATGATTCTTGATATCAGGCTTGAGCTTGGCTCATTAGTTGTAATGAAGGACCGCTTGAGCGAGATTTCATGAAGCTGAGCCGAGTTGAATATCTTGTAAGTGGCTCAGCTTGGCTTATTTGGAGCACAAGATTTAGCATACTTTAAAGGAGATTCTTGAAATTATTTAGCCTAGTAGGAGGTTTGGCCTTTTCATTTCCTAGCTCGTATGATGATCACCACAAAGTACCTTGTTGCACAACCTGTAACTTTCAGCATGACAATTTTAAGATCAAGATTGTTGACTTGTAATATTCTGATTAGATAAACACTTGCAAACTCAGGTGTCAATGCTTTTCTAAAATGCAATTAAATTATATCCTTTGTTGCTAGCCATGGGTCATTTGTAGCTTTCAAGACTTTATCATTGCTTCTAATCTTATTGTATATTTGTATACTTCTAAAATATTTAGTTTCTGACATTACTTGCTGGATGCCTTCAGGGACACGAGTTGACATTGCGTGTCCTCTACAGGTTATTTGGTGAGGTAGAGGAGGAACGTGACTTCTTTTCTTCAACAACTGCTGCTTCTGTGTATGAAACATTCCTGCTGGCCGTGGTTTGTATTCATTCCTTTATATTACTTCTCTCACTTCTTTTGCCAGGTCTATTATTATTGAAAAAATTTAATATCTTCAATGCAGGCTGAAACACTGAGAGACTCCTTTCCTCCTTCAGACAAATCTTTAAGTAGATTGCTTGGTGAAGCTCCTTATCTACCAAAGCCAGTTCTGAATTTATTAGAGTCCTTGTGCTGTCCTGGAAATGACAAGGCTGAGAATGATTTACAAAGTGGGGATCGAGTTACTCAAGGTCTAAGCACTGTATGGGGCCTGATATTGCAGAGGCCTCCTATTCGGGAAGTCTGCTTGAAAATTGCTTTGCAGGTTTATTCTTGTTCTTGTTCTTCTTTTTTTCCCCTTGGATTTCATGGTACTGAACAAGATTCAAGATATTTGGTTGCAAATTACATTTATGTATTATTTGCAAGTCATTGACATGGGTATTCATTTATGTATTATATGCTGCTGAAATTGTATGTATTCCTCATAAGGCTTGCTCAATTTGAGTTTAAGCCAAGTTCAAACCCATTTAGAAATATATAGAACCAAAACTGAACATGGGTAAACTCAGTCAGCTTGGTTCATTTACACCTCTACAACCATGTTATAATGGTATTGTAGTATGAAAAAGATGGGGAGAGGATGCAGAGGGAAAATATTGCGGGAGGGATGAAGATTGGAACAGTGTTAATTTCGTGATGATTCAAAGTTGAAAATTTCCTTTTTATATATCTATTTTAACTTCCATTTTCTTTCAATCTAAAAGAGTGCAGTTCATCACTTGGAGGAAGTTCGCATGAAGGCAATTCGACTGGTACGTGCACATGACTTGTTATAGAAGCAACAAATAAACAGTGCTATGCGATCCCTTTTATGATTCTGTATGCTTTCATGTTACAGGTGGCAAACAAACTTTATCCCATCCCATCTATTGCTCAACAAATAGAAGATTTTGCTAAGGAAAAGTTGCTCTCCATAGTAAATAGAGATGCTACGGAAAGTATGGATGCTGTAGGATTAAGTATTGAACTGAAAAAGGTACTAAATTTATGAATTAAAGGGTGAAAAATTACTATAACACATTGTCTGGTGCCAGAATTCAGTCTCTTTGATCTGAAAATGAGCATATATCGTTGTTGCATCTCCTTTTAGCCTTACAGTGCTAAAAAAGCTGCCATGAACCTGTGAGCAATTATTTGTATTTCTGTTGTCTTTGCTGCGGAATAGGTTTTTTTTTTTTTTTTTTCCCTCCCCCTTTTCCCGTAATATTTGCTGTTGAAATGAATTATTAACTTGGTATCATTCACATTGCCGTACTTCCCTGGCTTTCTGTACTTTGTTTACATTGAACTGTCTGCATTATTCATGTAATATTTAGTGTTATTTTCATTTTCACATAAATTTTCCTCCTAATTATTCTTGTTAAGCAGAAGATTTTTCCTAACTGTCTTTTTTACTCTCTGGCAAAGTGTTTCTTTTGGTTCTTGTTTTCAAAAAGGCATGTCATTTATAGAAGTCAATGCAGACACTTCATTCTTCTTTATACATTATCTTATTTTTTATCAATTCATTTAAGTTGTCTTTTCTCTTTTCTCCATTAGTTTGATTATTCTTTTGCCACTATTAAATAAGGTGGCATTGAAAATGAAATATTTTATACGATTGCAAGATAGCAATATGTGGTTTACTTTTCTTTAAATTCTTTCCTTTTCAAGAGGACATTCTGCATAGAATAGAGGGACTATGTTTTTTAATGTCTGTCGGCCATGTTCAAAGCATATGTACTGGAAGTATTTCACTACTCATTCTGAAAATGGAAACACCACATTTTGGGATGTGATTTATTGATCCCTGATAACTTTTTTTTGAATGAAACAAATTGGTCATTGCAAATGAAATACAATCCCATTTAGGATCCATTTATCTCGTGGATTTTTTAAAAAAATCTTTTTTACTCATTTTTGATTTTCAGTACAAATTGAAAAATTGTTCAAATGAAAAATTTTATTTGTTCAAAGGAAAATGAAATTACTTTTAAGGAAAATGATCTTTTTATGCGGGAAGTCATTTTTTCATACATCAACAAACTTATGAAATGGGAAGTAATAGCGTTGTAAACAAGGCGAGTTCTGTGAGCTTGAAATTTGAAACAGGTATACTTGAGCTTGAAATACAGAGCTTGAGCACAGCTCATTTGGGTTGCTATTGGGTCCGAGCATGGTTTGCTTAATTTATAAATCCAAAAAAAAAAAAAAAAAAAAAAATTTTGGGTTTGCTATTAGGGTCCGGCATGGGTTTGCGTTAATTTATAAATCCATAAAAAAAAAAAAAAATAAAAAAAAATTGCTGGCTTGTTCACAGAGCTGGAACTGAGGCTGGTGTATATAGGGTCTTGTTAAAGCTCGGACAGTGATGCTCCCAAGCTATTCATCAAGTTCACGGCTCTAAGCTCGTTTATTAAGATGCAGACTCAATAAAAAAAAAAAAAAAAAAAAAAAAAATTGTGGCTTGTTCACAGGCTGGAACTTGAGCTTGTATATAGGTTTGTTAGCTCGACAGTGATGCTCCCAAGCTTCATCAATCTCATGCTCAGCTCGTTTATTAAATGAGCTCAATAATCAAGCTTTAGATTAGCTGGTTTGGCTTATTGAAATAGCTTGAACGAGCTTTTCTAAACTGAGCCTCGAGTAGCTTATGAGTGGCTTGGCTCATTTGCAGCTCTAGGAATATTTGAGCATATTCCCTTTAGTACATTAACCACAACAAATGACTCTCTCTGTTTATGACCACTAGTTAGTGGTGATCATTTTTGCAATTTAATCTTTTTCTTTTGGTTTAATTTGCTCTTATCCAATTACAAGGTAAAAATATGACTCTTTGCAAGTCATTATTATGGTCTTTTTTATTGAAATAAAATTAAGTTTTCAGTGTAATTAGTCGCTGAAAAATAATTTCACTTATTTTCAATGCAACTGCCAAGCAGCAGAATTTTTTATTTGGAAGCAGTAGAGAAGAAATTATAGTGTCAGAAAAAAAAGAAAGTTCTCTAAAAAAATTTTAAATAGACATTTTCCATTAGCTACTGGAGACGTGGTTACTACCTTTGCTGTGTTCCTCACTTGGATTTAGGTTAGAACTATTTGATTGAAGTGCTGGTCAAACATATAGTATTTAACTGTCTCCTGCTCAAACTTATGATATACTGCTTGATCTTTTACTTATGTTTCTTATGAATTTTGGAATCGGGCTTTTTCATTATAAGTTAAATACTTGCATTGCACTAATTCAAGTTAATATCTAGAGATTTTTGGTAAGTTCAACATTGATATATGATTGGGTGTGTTGTTGATAACACTGTATCATGCATGCTCTTTCCCTCTTTGTTTTAGCTCTTAAGAAAGTAAATTGCTTAGTTGGTTGAATTTGATTTTAACAGGATTGCAATTTGGAAAAACCAACAAATGACCATCAGTCAGTTAGTGCCACCAGTAAAGATATCTCCTCTGAAAGTCATCAATCATGCACATTTCAAAGTGCACCATCTTGCTTTATACATGAGGCCCAGCAGTGCATGTCACTGTACTTTGCTTTGTGCACAAAGGTGATACTTTTGTTATTGTTTAGTATCTTGTTATCTCAGCGACTAGTAATCGATGTATTTGCCGTCCTTTTGCAATCTGAACATCTCCAATGTTTCTTTAGATATACTGATATTTTACTTGTATAATCTGATCTGCAGAAGCATTCCCTGTTTCGCCAAATTTTTATTATTTATGAAAGCACATCGAAGGAAGTTAAAGAGGTTTATTTTATTTAGGTTTGGTTCAGTAAGAAAATTATCGTTCTTCCCATTCTACTACGAGATTCATCTTCTTATCAGTTGTATGGTGCAGGCAGTTCGCCGCCATATTCCCATACTAGTCCGTACAATGGGATCATCTTCTGAGCTTCTTGAAATAATTTCGGATCCTCCAAGTGGAAGTGAGAATCTTCTGATCCAGGTAATTGTTCAACTATTTACATTGTAATCCACCCCATTAAAGTAATATGATCGAGTTTGATTTTCTTTTCTAATATTTTCCTTTTGGTGTATCAGGTTTTACAAACACTTACAGATGGGGCAGTTCCTTCTCCAGAATTATTGTCCACCATTAGGAAGTTATACGATACCAAACTAAAGGTATTAAAATTGATTTCCTAGAGGTAAAAGCGAGGCCATCAACTAAAATGTTTGCTTTTGATTTGTTTCAGGATATAGAGATTCTAATTCCAGTACTGCCATTCCTACCAAGAGATGAGGTTTCTTTCATTCATTGCTTGGCTATGAAATGCATCTCCTCTTTATCTCATGCATATTGTCTGCACGTATTCTTTTAATCTATAATTTGAATTTTCATCTTTATGCATTATTTTTTATGTTCATAATGGTATATTTCTACCTTCTGGAAACTCTCTGTTAGGAACTCAGATGACTATCAATAAGGCCTAAGTAGTTTATAAAATCTGGTGCAAGAATCTTTTACTTATTGTTCAGTTTCAGGATTCCCATGGAATTAGTTTCCCTTTGTTATGGCAGGATTTTATCGTGTTGCAGTTTTTCTTTTCCTTGTATTTAAACAACGCAAGAAAGATAAGAAAGGATTGTAGTTTTCTTCAAGGTTTGAGTTCCTAAACTCAGAGATCAAAGGTTTCTCTCTCCAATGAGCATATAATTTCTCAACATATGTAAAAAGGAAAAAATACATCGAAACATCAACACCTAAGTGTCCCATCCTAGAATTTCCCAATCATAGACCTGTAACTTGATCAAGAACAAGGGACTATAAAATCCTCTTGGGCTTTTCTTTCATATCTTCGTGAAATATTGCATTGTAATATTTTTTTCCTTATTGAGGATTTGAGATTTCCACAGTTGAATCTTGGATGTGATAATCTGGTTATAGGTCCAGAATTCCCATACTTATCAAACTTCTGGCTGTTTCTTTTGTTTGGATGGGTTTGATTTCTTGGTTGAAAAGGGCCCCTTTTCATTTCAACTTTCCTGACCTAGCTGTGATTTAATTATTAAATTTGACACGTGGATATTGATAGGGTTGTCTGTTCTCCTGCCACATCAGAATTTTAAGATCCATGACTTTTACACAATACAACAAAGAATGTTTGACAATGACATTGTTATTAAACAATAAGCAATAAGTTGGGTTGATCCAAACTAAATATTCAGTGAAAAACAAGTTATTGTTGAATATTTTCAAGTTGCATGAGTCAATACTGTAATGCTTGCTGCTGGTTCTGAGAAAGGGTACATGGAGGAATCCAACAACTGCCCCCTGCCATGACTTTTTCTCCTCTTTGGGAACTTGCCAATTATTTTAGTTGTTTATTTTTCAGGTTTTGCTGACCTTTCCCCATCTTGTGAATCTTCCTCCAGATAAATTCCAAGCTGCACTTGCACGTGTGCTACAGGTATTTTCTTTCTTCTTGACAAGTGTACCTTGGATTTTGCACTTCAAATAGATTCCGATGACCTTTCAAAGGAATATGTGACCTTGAATAATCACAAACCTTATTTCAATATTGCATTAAAATTTTAAATTTTTTTTATATTATTGTGTCATACATACGGTTGCTTGTGGTTTAAGCTTTTTATAGTGTAAATGAAGGTGCAAAACTATAATGCTATATTTAAGTGGATGAACTCAAATTTAGGGATTTAAATATGACTTAGTTTTAATGTTCAAAATCATTATTTGCAGTGTGTAAAAATCAATGAGTACAAACAATGTGCAATGCACTTTCAAGAAAACTAATAACACCTAAAAGTTGTTCATTTAAATTTTAAGCTCTGATGTTTGGTCTACTTGCAAAGTGTGCTTAGTTTAATTGAGTGCTTTATTTTATTGTTTATTTGAACTTGGTATAACTTAGCTTTGATATAGGGATCACCTCACTCCAGTTCTCCTCTCACTCCTGCTGAAGTGCTAATAGCCATCCATGGAATTGATCCAGACAAAGATGGAATTCCATTGAAGAAGGCAAGTTACCATTGTTTTCTCCCTTTGTGAAACCATATGAACCTGAACAATTGTACAACTGACATGTACATTCTATGTTCAGGTCACAGATGCCTGTAATGCTTGTTTTGAGCAACGGCAGATATTTACTCAACAAGTAATAGCGAAGGTTTTGAATCAGTTGGTCTGTACCATGCTGAACTTCTAAATTTTGTAATGCAAAATCTTTAGCATCTTATTGACAATAATGTTCTCCTGCAGGTTGAACAGATTCCTCTTCCTTTGTTGTTCATGCGTACCGTGTTACAAGCTATTGGTGCTTACCCAGCACTGGTAAGATACTGTCCAGCAAATTTAAATTAAAAAATAAATTATTTTCCTCTTAAATTTTTTCTACAAGCAGCAATGGTTGTACTTTTTCTGGTCAGTTGTTAAGCATTTGAATCAAATCAGGCCACATACCTGCATCAATACTTATCGTGAGAAATGGATTATGGCTTCGTTATTGATTAATATTCAGTTAATAAATACTTCTAACTATGTTTTCATTCACATGAGGTGCATTGAGTGAGATTCATCCATATTTTGGTGCTTGCCTGCATAAGTGATTCTTTACTCTTTTGAATGCTTATGGATAGTGTGAAAATATTCCTTTCTTTAGTTAGGAACCAGGCTGTTTATGAATTGTGATTGTCCTATTTAGTTTAATTGCATGCTTTTCCTTCAAATCAGGACAGAATTGTTGCCGCTCTTTGAAATTTAATATCTCTGGAGAAAAGTTCTGCTATTTCAATCAACTTAATAGTTCCTATCCTTGCAGGTGGAGTTTATAATGGATATCCTTTCTCGTCTTGTTAGTAAGCAGGTGAATGCTTTATCATGGATTGCTAGCACTTTATGGTTGATAGTTGTTTTATGCTAATTTAATGGGCCATTTCAGATTTGGAAATATCCAAAGTTGTGGGTTGGATTCTTGAAGTGTGCACTCTTGACAAAGCCTCAGTCCTTCAGTGTGTTGCTTCAGGTGTGTTCTGTTTCGTTGATTACCTTTTGTATGTAGATTTATCTATTTTCATTTTGAACTGCAATACATGGTTAGCCAGAGGCATGCTATAGACTACAGTACTTTAATTATTGACATATGGCGCTCTCAACTATTCATCTCTTGAACTTTGCTTGAAAATGATGCCATGCGATCATTTAGAAGAAGATATTGTAATGTGGGAGCATTCCCAAGAATAATTGTAACTCATATAGAAGAAAATCTTGGAAAAATCAAATTGTTAGATATGTTAAATAAGAGAGAAGAAATAATTTTATATGGAGAATTTCATGGTGTTTCCTCATGACACTCGCAACACTTGAAATTTTATCGCAAAAATAATAGAGAGAGAGTGAGAGAGGTGTGGAAGATCAATTCAGAAATGATAATCTAAGAGAAGGGTAATTGAATTAGTTGTTCTCTTTGGACTATTTTGATTTTTTCTGTTTGTCAGTTCTGTTTCAGTTTTCCATTTTAGCAAGACCAGTGGTTACTAGACTGAACTCAAGATGCTTCTCCTTTTTTCTCTTGATGATTGTTGTCCTATCACACTTCTTTTTTTTTTTTTTTGTTATCTCATTGAATTGTAGTTGATTTTGCAATAACAAAACATATATAAATTTTTATGATAAAAATATTGTAGTTGACTTAGGGTCGTTTGTTAGGATTAAATTTTGGATGCTCAATCTGAATTAAGAGCTTATTGAGCTGATTGATTAAAAATTGGTCACAAGAGTTGATTATTGAACGAATAAAAAGTGATATGTGGTGCCATTTCATAGCTATAGGCTGCAATTTTTCATCTTTTCATCTAATAAATAATATAACTTATTGGATCAACTCTAAAAGAAGCTTTTTCATTCAAATAAAACTTGGCTTGTACATTCAGATAAGCAGCTCATTGGTTCAGTGGACAGACAAGTTTATTTCATCATTGTCCGAACCAATAAGCTGAAGGTCCAATAAGTTGTCAATAAGACCAAAAATGACCCCGTAATCACTGATACTGAGTTCTAATAGATTAATTGAATCAATATGTGGTGTCAGATGATTCAGCAGTTAACTGGCATTTTCAAGCTTTTTAGGATCTTATTTTGGATTTGAGTTAGAATAACATCTAACAGTTCAAGTAGGCAAAGCCATGATCCCCCATAATGGTGCACATAGGAGCACCAGCAAAGGGTGGGGGGAAGGAGATTATCTGCTTTCCTCGTTATCTATTTTTCTTGCTTTGTTTTCATAGCTTCAGCATTGCAAATCATTGATCTTAGAATGTGAATTGTGCTTCTTGAATAGCTTGTGATTTTCACTTTCAGCTACCTCCACCACAACTGGAAAATGCATTGAATAGAACTGCAGCACTGAAAGCTCCTTTGGTTGCTCATGCTAGCCAACCTAACATCAAAGCTTCACTACCAAGGTTCATGATAATGTCTTTTACTATTATTATCATTATTACTATTATTTGTAAAAATCCCCTTGTTTACTTCTATAGAGAGAATCTTTCTTTCTAGTTCAGTGGTTCCTAACTATAAAAATTTATCTTTTCAGATCTATTCAGGTGGTTCTGGGAATAGCTCCAGACACACAGACTTCAAGTCAAGCACAAACAAGTCAGGCTCAAATGGGAGATACAAGCACCTCAGAAAAGATGCTAACAGAGAAGTCTAAAGAATCTTCCAGTGCTAGTTGACGGGGCTAAAAATAAGTTTTAGCAGATCAGAATGTTTGCCTTAAGAGAGGAGTTGCTGGTCTTGCCAAGCTCGGCCAAGGTCAGTAGTGTTCGATTCCTATATTGCTTGTGTCCCATGCAATAATCTTCACTCTGTACGATGATGGGCTGGAAAGGATCTAAGGTAGCCAATGTTGTATCATATAATACCCTACTGTACCTCACAATGCTATTTAATGGAATTGCTGCCTTTGTCGATGAGATTTACAATCAAGGTAGGAAGCACCCTCTAGATAAAGTGAGTGCGACATTGGTTTAGTGCAAATTTTGGAAGTTGAATAAGCAACTGGAATTTCTTTTTTCTTTTAATATGATTTGCTTCTAACGTTGTTGGGGACTTCTAAATGTTGATAATATAGATGTATATTAATTCAACAAGTATTTTTAGCATGTTTTGTTGGAAACTCTTTTGGCAGATTGTTTGGTCGACCGGTGTGTCAAAATGAACCCTGAAACTGAGCTTCTGTAGCACAGACAATTTAACAGTGACATTCTGTAATTTTCCATAATTACAATTACTGGAATATTAATCCATCCAGGTTGTTCATGCAGTAAAATGACAAGACTAGCTTATTTAACTGGGACAAGGCCAACTGATTCAAAAAACACAAAAACAGAAAAAAAAAAAAAAAAAAAAAATTTAGGCTGCCAAAATTTTGGAGTTGAATAAGGCAACTGGAATTTGCTTTTTTTCTGTTAATCCCTGATTGCTTCTACGGTTGTTGGGGAACTTAGAAACTGTTGTATAGTCTTAGCATGTATATTTAATTCAACAATATTTTTAGATATGTTTTTGTTGGGAAACTCTTTCTGGAGATTGTTTTGGTCGACGTGGTGTGTCAAAGAATGATACCCTGAAACTCTGAAGCTTCTGCTAGCACAGACAATTATAGACAGTGGCACTCTCTGTAGATTTTCCCATAGATTATCAATTACTGGAATATTATCCTCGAGGCTTGTGTTCGATGCGTAAAATGAGCAAGACTAGCTTTATTTAACGGGACAAGGCCAATTGATTCAAAAAAACAACAATAACAGAAAAAAAAAAAAAAAAAAAAAAAACGGGAAAGAATTATGAAAGTTGGTTCACTCTATCATTATAAACTTTGTTGCCAACTATATCATGAGATGGTCTCATTTGCAGCATTCGAAGCCAAAAATGGCAGCTTTCATGACTGCTGTTTTTATAAAATTACATTTATTCAATGAATACGTATTGTCACTTTGGTAACAATCTTTCAGCAGCAGAGCCGAGATAGATCACAATTCCACAAACAAAATTTAGTTATGTATGGTCGTGTTGTCTAAGGGGCAGGATTCAGATCTTACCCTGACCTTCGTTCTCCTCCTCCCCCGCTCCTCCCTCCGGACGAGTGCTTAATGGGTGTAAAAGCTTAAGCAGTTAACACACGAAACAAATACAAGTTATGCTAATTCTTCATAGGAGTAAACTATCTACTGCATTCTATTCGTAAGGTTGTTTGAGCGGAGAAAGGCGAGCATGGCTATTCCATTATGGTATTGCAGCAAGAAAACTGAATGGGTTTGTCAGCGGAGAAAGGAACGCATGGTATTCCATTCAATGGTTGCAGCAAGAAACTGAATGGGTTGTTATCAACAATTACAATTCGATGGAGATCTTTCATTATACAAGATAGATCCTTCACATGTTCTCTATATTCTCTGTGATTTCACAATATTAGAGTTTGTTAAAAAACACTGGTAAGGCTTCCTAGCAATGCTATAAATGTGAATTAAATTTATTGACCATAAGCAACAATGCTTTTTTTTTTTTTTTTTAATGTTTTATATTTTTCTAAACCACACCTAAAAAATATTTCATGTGTTTGTTCTCTAAGCCTACTATTAAAACAAAATGTTACTTTGTCTAATGAAAAAGAAAGCTATTATTCAATCATGATCCACTGAATAAAGTCTAGGAAAGGAACTTTGTAATTAATTCTTTAGCAATTTTCTACAAATTCCAATCGCAAGGCAAGTCGTCTGCTATTGTATGATGCAATAGGTCCAACCTTCAAAAACAACCAATTCTATGAAAGCTAACATTCTGAGCATAAAACTTGCCAAGCTCTCAAAAAGAGCATAACCACTAGACCAGGCATATCTCAATTTCGACTATTCAATCAATATCCTTTAAGAACTGAGAACAGTGGTCCATTATAAACCTTCCATTATATGAATATCTCCAAAATAAATATATGCATATAAAAAAATGTCCATGTGATAATTATAACAAATAGGGGAAGAGCTTACGTGCTAACAGTTGAAGGCCGATAAAGCCGTAGTTTAAATCGGTTCTCCACATCTATTCTGTCAACAAGTGGTCTAGCATAACCTGTATGGTGCCCAAAGACATTACGTTTAAAAAAAAAAGAACAAAAAATTATCAAAGTGATAATCATAGAGCAATAGCATAAAATCTACCTTCAAGACCAGCAGTAAACAAAACAAGGTCTGCAAATTCATTAATCTGTTTTAAGAACTCTCGCAAACCAGGTCGTTCGAAAACCGTCACATAATTTACTTTTGTCTTTCCTTCACATTCCTTCAACCCAAAGATATCACATTAATCGTGTTCCTAAGATATTGAACAACAAAACAGCAAGAATGAATGTATCTATTAATTTGGATGAGAGAAACAGAGATAGAGACCTTGTCTGGAGAGACACATTCCAACTCAAACCACTTCAACCCAGCTCCTATAGCTAGAGCGCAAATGCTGCTAGGCAAGCTAGATGTTTCATATGCACAAACTAGTGTTTCATCCAAATCAAGCACCACCTAAAATATTACAGAACAAAGATCAAATGATCAAAACTTTTTTACTTTGCCCAGAAAGAAGCTGATATAGAGCCTTTCTTTCCAAATCAAACTTATAACAACAATCCAAAACTAAATTTCTAATTTTTACATGAATTTAAAATTAGACACCATTAACATGAAGGGTTTCAACAAAAAATATATGGGATCCTTGATTATTTATTACTCTCGTTTTCAGCTAAACTAGAAGAAAAATGAACTCCCAACTAATAATTAAAAAAAGGAAAATATAGCATAATCATAAATAAACAAGTAAATGCTTGCATTGATTACAGAACATTGCCCATTTTTTAACAATCAATTTCTCCATAAAAACTTACAGTAAGCTTTTCCATGCGGTGATTGCAAGCATCGCCCTCACTGACGTCAGCCGGGACGCTGATTTGTGCAGGTAGTGTTAGCGATGACTCTTGCAAAGGAATTTCTACAACGGGCAACGACTTGAAAGAAGAAGAAGAAGAACAACAAGAAGAAGAGAGAAGTGGATATGTAAAACCAACATAAGACAGCGCCATTTGAGCCATGGAAGGCGTTATTCTCAGGATCTGAAGAAACAACTGCAACAAAAACCCTAACCAATTTACTATCCCTCTCCATATCTGCACCGATCTCGTCATATGCACTTCTCCTTGTTGCTCTATCAGAGCCATAAACCCTAAAGTTTTATACTTTTAACACATGAAACGAATACTGGGTATAGTGAGTGATTAATCCCAGAGAGAAATGAATAGAAAGTAACAGAGAGAGAAAAGGTTGTCGCTTTAGAGATAATGAGGATTTCTTGGGGAATGTTTAGTTCAATTTTGTGAATTTTGTAGTTGTCGTTTGGGGAATGGAAGGAATTGCGGAAGTGTTAATGGCATTTTGTTGCCTCGTGTTTTAAGTCTGGTTTCGTATCTCATTTTTCTCTCCAGACAAGGAGGAGAATATTTTTGAACAGTATTTACTATTCATTGATATTTTAAAAAATAAATAAATATTTGGGGGATATTTATCAGGTGCTTCCACATAGCGTGAGTTCTATTTCCCCCTGTCAAAGTCTACTGGGGACAAAAGGGTTATTTTTGTCTTTGAGCTTGGTCTCAAAATCAATTGACCCGTATTTCAAGTCAATTGACCTATATTTTACTTAAAACCAAATTTCTACATTAATTAGCATATTACAGCTAAATAGCTCAGACATTTAGCTGATCAGCGCGCATGTAATATAATCAAAACTCAAAAAGAGTGAAAGAATAAATTCAAAGCTGAATCTCCACACAGACGATTCAGTTAGCAAATATTATTATTGTGAAGGAAAAATAAGTCAAGCTACCTCTTTTGTAATATGAAGTTTGCACGTGCAGAGGAACGAAGGAGCGGTGTCTTTCAATTGAGGTAAAAATGAAATTGGGGAAAAAATAAATTTTTCTTTAATATTCAAAAGTGAAACCAAAATTGACGGTGAATCTCATTCTTCTCAATATCAAAGGTAAGTAGTTTTTTTTATCCTCATCCTCATTCTCTCATTGATTAAGGATTTCTTTTGGTGTTTAGGGGTTTTGATTTCTGATAATTTAGGGATTTTAGAAACAAAGGTAGCATTTTAACTGTAATTACGTTAATAAAATGTTTTCATTTTTAATAATTTTTTTTAAAAAATATATATTCTTTGACCATATGTGAATCATACTCTCGTACCAGCTGCATGTTTGAGCTATTTGACCGTAATATGTTAAAAATGGAGAAATTTGGCTTAAAAGTTGAAATATGGGTTAATCGAATTTGGGAACCAAGTTGAAGGGCCAAAATGATTCTTTTTTTCAAGTCTACTGTGCAATTTCTTGAGAGTTTTATAGTTCGTTGTGTAAGGGTTACAACCTAATATCTAAACTGAACCAATTGTATTCATTTTGGTTCTAAACATATTATGCATATTCAGTTTAATTTAGTGATCATGAATGGTATAATTCAGTGACAATGAATGATCATTTAGTATATTGATTACGATGCAAACAACAACAGTTGTTTCCAAAAACATCATAATAGAAAACAAATATTTTGACGCGTCAAATGATGCGTCTTTAGTCAGTATAGAAATAAAGTTTAAAATTAAAATATTGATTAGAGTTTTTGATCTTTCATCGATTGTATTTCTCTAATCTCTCTTTTAATAACAAAATCGCAATAGCCTTTCTCTCTTATCGATTGATGTATGATCAGTCGACACTTCTATATCAACAACTCTTTAATTAATCCTTATTCAAATTGTGGCAAGTGTGAAAAAGGTAATGGTATATATATTTCAAAGTATGAAAAATAAAAGAGATTTGGTAATATGGAGTGTGCTAAAATAGAATGGAATTCAAGACAATAAACATATACCTTGGAATGGTTGCTTGTGGTTTTATTCTAATGAGACAGTTATATTGCAATTGCCTATGCTTGATCGAATCAAGAGATTTTTTCATTTGAGCAAATAATTTTTGGATCTATGAAGATTTTTTTTATTCTCATGTCTGCGTTGGTTGTACTCTGAATGACATATTTATGAAGGAAAATGCTGATTTTGAGTCTGCACGTAATATTTTTGATAAAATGGATGAGAAAATATGTTAACTGAGCTGTGTTTGGTCATAACTTTTAAAGTAGATTATAGTGTTTTTTTTTTTTATATATAGTATTACATAATATAGCATTAAACTAGCTTTTAGAGATTAATGTAGCGTTTTGTGAAAAGTTAACTTACGTAGCATTTAACTTTTAGCGTTTCATAGAAAGCTATTTAAATAGTTAACAATTAACAGCTACCAAAACAACCAATTTTGCCGAACAGACTCTTGGATAATAGCTGAGTCTAAAAATATTGTTCGGCTAATATCCAAAAACAGTAATTGGTTATTTGGACGGTTTCAGTTTTGTAGAATAACATCGAATATAATTGGTTTTGATATTTTCATTTTATCTTTTAAAGTGTTTTTTCTCGGTTGCTATTTTTGTAAAATTCATCCATGTTCGGTTTGAGTTGTTGGATAATTTGGATTTACCGAATGCTAATCTCTAACTGTGTTCTATACATCCATTGAACTCTTTTGATTTTTCAATTTAAGTGGCGTAAGACACTAATTTGGTTTCAACTGAAACTACATCAAAATTAATTTGACAAGAAATAGATTAGAATCAACTTGATAATTTCAGTTTTGAAGCATACGAGAACCATCAATTCAAGAGTATGATTTCAATTCCAACAGCCTTCTATTGAGCTGGAATTTAAAAGTGTTCAGTAAACGAGTCAAACTATTAAACCAAACCGAACCATTAAACAACCAATTTTACTTGATTTATTTTTCAAAATGGTTTGGTTTGTTTTAAAATGAAATCGACTGTTTTCAAACCATAATTAATAAACAAATAATTTGGTTGTAAAATAATTTCTATTCAATGTTATAGATTTATATTTTGCTCTATTATAAGAAAAGTCAAACTGCATTTGTTTTTTAAGTTAATCTTTATAACACATCAAACAAATTTCACATCGGTTAAATACAAAATAGAAGGTGCGGAAAAGAATGGATAGGCATTGGAATAGTATGACGAATTTTTGGTGTGGAGGTTATACCTCAACCTAAGGATAAAATCATTTGAGCTAGGTCTAAAGCGGACAATATCACACTAAGACTGGAATGTTGGTGGGATAAACCTCGGTGAGGACCTTGAGTTTCTAAAGGTCTATACATAATAATGGGTAGGCCTTGGATTAGTGTGATGCATTTTGGGTGCAGGTTAGACTTCGAAAAATCATACAGTCTAGGCCCAAAGCAGACTATATCACACTAAGGTCGAGATGTTGCAATCTTTTAAAGAAAACTCCAATGATATCTATCTTCTTCTTCCAATTTCTAAGCTCATCTTTCTTATTCCATTACTATGTTTGGTAATGTAATTAATAAATTTTATATAATTCTCATTCAATTACATGGTTGATTACACCGTACCAAATATGGTCTGAGAAAATTTCATAAGGTTTTACATTGACCAAAAGGACATGTAAGTTACACAACAAGGGGCAGTCCTCCAAAGTTATTCTACAGGTTTGATTTGATCACTTTCAAATTTCTTTTTGCTATTAGGAGGTCTGTACTTCTCTTTGCATAATGACGACAATAACAGCTATTTAAGAATAAATCTCAAAATATTAGCAATAATAAATCTCAATATTTGGGCAATAATAAATTTATAAATTTAATTATAATTAACATAATTTGTTAAATTATTTTTAATGGTACCAAACCACAAATCGAACTGCATCAAACTGTTTATTGTGATTTGATTTAGCTCGGTGTGAAAAATTTACAAATCATAGTCTTTTTATTTTCGTATGTTTGCACCATAAACACTCCGAGCTGAAATCATCAGTTGAACTGCGATTTTCGTATGTTTCAATAAGAAATTTTTTTAGACAAATGAAATTGACTTGCTGGACTTAGAACTGGTCCTCCTTATTTGCTCGAAAACAAATCAAAGGGATATATATATGACAGACTCCGTAGCTATAATTAAATCATTAAAAAAAAAAAAAGAGCAAGTAAGAGAGCAAGATGGATCTAGATATGCGTCCAGAAGAAGAAGAGATCACTTCCAAAAGAACTAAAATCACTTGGGATTTAATGAATCTTAGTTCAAAAATCTTTTCAAACTTGATGGTAAAAAATGAAAATATTAATTGGACCGTTTTGTTGAAGAGAATCAAAACAAAGGGATAAAATAATATATTTTTCAAAAAGTAGGACGAATTAGTTACTTTTGGCGAATTATAAGGATTGATTATATTTTTTCCACCCAAATTTTATTAAACGTTCGGGCAAATAAATTTACTAGCCCATTAAAAAAACAGACCCAACCCACAAAAAGGAAGCCTAAGAGGTAAAGCAAATCTTCAATTTATAAAGCAACAGTGAGTTAGTTAACCGCCGGAGCAAACCATAGCAAATACTCACGGTGACGGAGAAACAACAAGAAGAACAACCACAAAGGGATGGGCATTGATTACTATAAAATTCTACAGGTCGATCGAAGTGCGAAGGACGATGATTTGAAGAAAGCTTATCGGAAACTTGCTATGAAATGGCATCCGGATAAGAACCCTAAGAACAAGAAGGAAGCTGAAGCCAAGTTCAAACAAATCTCTGAAGCATACGATGTAATGAAATTCATCAATTCTTATATTTATCGCCTTCATCTCTCTTTTTAGTTAAAAGTCTAAGTTATCTAATTTTTCAATTCTCGTGATTTATACTTGTTTATTGTTATTTTAGGTTTTGAGTGATCCGCAAAAGCGGGCTATTTATGATCAGTATGGAGAGGAGGGTTTGAAGGGGCAGGTGCCGCCCCCGGGAGCTGGCGGTTTTGGACCGGAAGGGGGCTCTACAACATTTCGGTTCAATCCCAGAAGTGCAGATGATATATTTTCAGAGATTTTTGGGTTTTCGAGTCCGTTTGGAGGAATGGGTGACATGGGTGGCCCACGAGCTAGTACTTCAGGGTTTTCAAGGGGTATGTTTGGGGAAGATATATTTTCTTCATTTAGAACTGCAAGTGGAGAGAGCTCTAATATGCCACGAAAAGGGGCTGCCATTGAAAGGACATTGCCGTGTAGTTTGGAGGAGCTGTATAAAGGACATACTAGGAAGATGAAGATTTCAAGGGATGTTACTGATTCTAGTGGGTAAGCCTTTTCTTTTCTCAATTAATTTTTTATTGCTAAATGAGGTCACCCCCCTCCTCCCACACACGTCCCCAATCCCACCCCACCCCAACATAAAGTTCATACTATCGGGAGGGATAATGTGATCTATAATTTCCTCGTGACTAAAAATTGACTATGTTCTTGCCCAGTTTGTCAGGAGAAACTAACAAAATAGGATTTGAAATTTGTTAAATATACTGTTCAACCGTGTCATTGTTGTGTAAAGGTATTTCTTGACTCATTAAATCATGTGATTTGATGGTTGAGGTCACTGGATCTAGCACTGGAGTTGAAATCCATACGTGTTGATTTGCGAACTTCATGACTTGTTGAATATATTTTTATTATATAAAGTTATGGCATTAGCCTTATTATCTTAAGGTGGATTTTTATGACGATAGTGGTTAACTAATTCATAGTTTTATCAAAAGGAGCATTGTGTGACTATGCTTAACACTGAGCCAGGAGGCTGTCATGCCAAAACTATGGGCTTAAAGTCACTTATGCATATAAATGCAAGATGAGTGCGTAAAATGCATGTGAGGCTTATAGCCTTTAGATTTTGAGAAATCACACAATTGCAACTGCTCCTGGATTCTCACATTTGTACAACATGGGGTCATTTTTATGACTTCAGATGGTATTATTGTTGCACTGTCCCACACCTTTACACAAATATTGTAAAATGGTAGATATTTTGTGACAGTTCTTATCATTGGGACCTTAGTGGCTAATAATTGCAATCAATCAATCAATCTTTCTTTCTTTCTTTCTTTCTTTCTTTTTTTTTTTTTTTTTTTTTTTTTTTTTTTTTTTTTTTTTTTTTTTTTTTTTTTGAGTTCCTCTTACGGCATATCTTGTCAATTCATTGTCTAATTTATGATTGATATACATGTAAACCTACTTAGATGTTGTATTAACAATTGTAATGCTTTGGAGTCCAAATACTGGGTATCATCTCATAAATGGTATGACTGATGATTGACATGATAACAATCTTTAGGTATCCTCGAACAAAATGTGTGGTAGAATAGAAATATTTCCTCCAGTATCCATCCCATGTACATCTAAGCTTGGGAAGGAAACATGAGATGTTTGAACAAAGGTGGTTATTTTTTGCTTATGTTTGATCTCCTATGTCTTTTTTATCTATTAATTATAATCATTCTTATTCCAAGCAACACTAGGCTACTAGCAGCATATAGCCATATTGAGTTGATTTTTTTTTTTCAAGGAAAAAAAGTGACAGAGATCGTTTTTCTCTATTTACCGACCCAATCAGCTAAAGAAAAATAGTTACCTTTTCTTGCTAAGATACCAGATTTACATGAATTTTTGGTCGACTTATTACAAGTGAAGCGGCTTATATGAGGATTATTAGGATTAAATTTACATGGATCCTCAATGTTTCTTTAATTGGTTGTTTTTCGGTAATTGTTTGGCATTGCCTCAAGGATTGAGGGTGCTACAGGAACCATCCTTTGTATCTATAATTGTCATCCTCATAATGCGTGTGCATTTTGACAAATCATCAGAGGCGTGACACATGCATATGTTTGATATTTGTACATGTTACCCAATTTTATGGAATTCTGTGGGAGAAGGGTCGTGGTGTTGGATCCATGACCCACCATTACTTGTTTTTTGGGTGTACAAAATTCAGCTAATCCCAATTGGTGAGACTTGCAGGATACATGGTTCATGGTCTGATAACATTTGAGAGATTTTGAGATGGGATATGATGATTTATTTTGCAGCATGGTTAGTGGTTTTATGTTTAGAACTTGTAGCGGAGTCGAGACTTTTTCCCTAATTTTCGAGTATTCAGTGATATCTTCTCCTGGAATCCATATTGCGATTGGATCATGTTGTTTTCTGTGTTTGAAGTTCTATTTGTCTTACGCTTTTTTTATACTGTTAGTGTCTGATAATCATTGGAATTAGTATTAAGGTCTGTTAGGTGAATACTTAATGTGAATTTTGCCGTTGGTCCTTGTTGGCATTCCACAACAATGCAAAAGAGATTACCTTTTTAAGCTTTTGTAGTAATACGCAAAGATAGTTATGTGCAAAGCAATGTACTTTTTTTTTTTTTTTTTTTTTTCAAAGCAATGTACTTTTTTTTTTTTTTTTTTTTTTTTATCCTCCTTTGTGAATTGTAATACACAAGGATAGGTTTTTCTTCAAAGATTAACATATTCCTATCTGTGGTTTCAAGACTTTTGCCTCATTTTTTTTTTTTTTTTTTTTTTAATCTTCCTTTGTGAATTGTAATACACAAGGATAGGTTTTCTTCAAGATTACATATTCTATCTGTGGTTTCAAGACTTGCCTCAAAAGAAAAGGAAAGGGACAATTCTTATGGGATTTTGGTTTTCTAGGTGTAAGAGTAGGGTACTTCTTTTGAATTCATCCTTTGGTAATAATTTCAACTTTTATTCCTACTATATATATTCTTCTTCTTTTAGTTGTTTAACACTGTCAAATGCCCATTTATTCATTTTGTTCCAGTTCCTTGTAGGAAATGTAAATGGTTCCAGTGAGGTCTTTTTTTTTTTTTTGGGTTTTGGCACAACTTGAAATTCATTAAGTTTGGACAAAATATAATACAAACATAGATTTTAACTATTCTTAAATTGAGTCAATTTATCTTCATGTCAATAATGATGTAAGGCTTAGTTGATCAAAGCCGATGTTGGAAACAAAGGGATTCATATATCTGACCCCAACTTACTTTGGCACTAAAGCTTAGATGTTGTTGTTGTTGGTCTATCTTCATGTCAAAAAGGATGCCAACCCACAAAGGTAGAAATCTACTTCTAAAATCAACCTTTTCTTTCATTTCATATGCTAAAATTATCCTTCCATAAAAGAGAAGAGTTAAAAAAGGAAGGCTCTTGGCGGCATACTCGCTCCTCAAACTTTCCTTTCTAGTTTCATTCCTAAATTCCTATTTTGCTCGTAGATCCTTTAACAGTTGCAACCTCTAAACCCCTAGCTGTAGTCGTTAACTTCCATGCTGAAACCAGCATTTTTCTTAGTAATGCAGAAACAGCTACTATGGGATCTTGGTTGTATATGTTAATGGAGAGAGAGATGAATCATTTTCCTAGCTGTCATTCTTTTTATTAAAAGATCCCATAGTTTAATTACTTTATGCTAATACACATATTTTGACCATATATGTCTGTCATGCTTGTTTTCGGCCAAAATGTGAGGTATCTTAAATTCTGGTCCAAGCCGACAGAATCTTTTTGATTCCTCGTGTAGAAGAGATATAGAAAAATCATTACTTTGAGGCATAGTAATCTTTTTTTTTTTTTTTTCTTTTAAGTCTCATTTGCAGAAATTTAAATCAAATATACCCTTTACTTTACTTTAATCACGAATTTCATCTCTCAAATAAATGAACTGACCATTTATGTTGCATTTTATTGTGCCATAGATTATGGTGCTTGGTTTTAGGGAAGCTATGGCTGCAAAAGGTAGATTTGTGACATGAACCCGCCAAAAGTAAAAAAGTCAAACTTACCAATAGATAATATGTTGCTTGGTTTAATTTGAAGCCGACCAAATAAACACTTGAACCTGTTAAGATTAATTCAGGTCTGCAGGTTACAGTCAATTTGGTCAAGTTTACCTGAGTGTTGAGCCTCTCTAGTGCCCTATGACATGTACTAAATTCTAGGCATCACTGAGGCTGTCACCACATGGAATGGAGTTCTAGTCAGTAAAATGGACCCTGTTGTTATCTGGTTGCCAATAGGAACTTGTATTCTGGTAATTAAGGGGAATTGAAATTAGAAAGGCTAGTGTACTACAGGTCCGGTAGCAAGATGATAACCAGATAGGTACTTGCTAAAAATCTCTGTTATGGGCTTACTATTTTCCCTTCTTTGCTGATATAGGAGACCGACCACAGTGGAAGAAATTCTTGCAATTGAGATCAAGCCAGGGTGGAAGAAGGGAACAAAAATCACTTTTCCGGAGAAGGGAAATGAACAACGAGGAGTTAAACCGTCTGACCTAGTCTTCATCATTGATGAGAAGCCACACAGTGTCTTCAAGAGGGATGGTAATGATCTTATAGTTACCCAAAAGATATCTCTTGTCGAGGCTCTAACAGGCTACACAGCACAAGTGACAACCCTTGATGGCAGGAATCTGTCAATCCCTATCAACTGTATCATCAGTCCCACCTATGAGGAAGTAGTTAAAGGGGAAGGGATGCCTATTCCCAAAGAACCTTCCAAAAAAGGGAACTTGAGGATTAAGTTTAACATAAAGTTCCCTAGCAAGCTCACGGCGGAGCAGAAAACTGGGATCAAGCGGTTAATATAATCTTCATAAACAGTAATGATGGCTGTCCCTTCCATCTCTAAAATCTGTGTAAGCTTTCCATTGCATTAATTTTCTTTGCTGATCCAATCCAGAAAGAAAATTTGCGTTGCAGAATTGGAATTTTCACTATAACAGTTATTTAAAGTTTAAATATTGTTTTCCATGTTTCACTTTTCAATATTCTTTTTCTTTCTAGTATTACTGTTATTTTTTTTTTTTCTCGAAAGCACCCCATGCTCCTTTCTAAAATCCTTTTCTTTATTTTATTGCCTTTGGCAATGCCAATGGCTGATGAATGAACATGCTAATTAATTATTGACTGAAATTTTTATGATTTAATGCTCCTGCTACGTCATGATAAATTTATTTTATTTTCTGTACATATTTAATTTCTAGGAAGAGAAGATTTTGAGTATCTCAATATAATTTTATCTGTATGTTTTACACCATATTTTGAAGGTTTTGAAGATTTTGAGAGCAATGCTCACAGGAAGTTTCAATTTGATTTTGTTAATCAATATTTTTATTAATAGTTTTCTTAAATATTATGGTGTAAAATAAAATCTCATTTTGCTATAATACAAAAGAATAGTAAAAATGGAGATATCAGATTCCACCTTGTGTTCATATTTTTTTTCCAACAAACAATAATTATAAGATTTTCATTTTTTACCTTTATCATGTTAACATTTCTGTTTATTTTAGTTACTCTAAAAATACAAAACAAATAACCGTTATGTTCAGTATGTCATGTATGTTAAAATATATTATTATTATTATTAAGTATGTCCGTTTAATTGTTATAGGATTCCCACCTCCAGGGGAATCCTATAACAATCGATATCCAATGGGATGGATATTATTTTTTGCTACAGCCAGGGTCTAGTGCGGGTATAGCATAATCATATCTATTCGTGGATTGCTTATTTATAAACTTATGAGCTAGTCTGCATATAATTTTTATGTATAAATATATTTTTTTAAAAGTTATTTATTAAAAAATTTTTAATAATATAATATTGAAAAACAAGCATTTATTATAAAAATAAAAATATTAATAAAATTTAGCAGGTATGTTCTAATTTTGAAAATAAACTTATAAATTATTAAGTTCATGCATAAATTAATTAAAATGAAATTTTTATAAATTTTGGTAAAATGCAATTTATCCATGATAATTGCATAGCATATTTGCATGGACAGTTGGAAAATGTTGTAGCATTTTCAATTTTTATTTTAACTCGTTGAACAATGTAACTTATCAAATTACACATATCAATTATGCTTAAAAATATAGTTTATTTCATTGATTAGTTAGCTGTTGATGTGGTGAGAGTTTACATTAGACAAGTGAAAGAATTATTCTTTATGTATAATTCATTAAGAATTTTGAAAGCGTTTAGTTTAGTTTAATTTAATTCATGTAGATGATAATTGATTCATAATGAATAATTTAGTTGCAAGTGTTTGATAAATTTTTTAAAAAGCTGATAGACAGACTCTCCAAATATGTCTATCTATGTTTTGAAGTTTTCCCATATTTGCTGCTAGTTGATTTGAGTTTTTATTTTATTTCAGCTCCATTAATCTCAATAAAATAACTAGTAATAAAATTCCATTAACCTCAAAAAAAATAACAACTAACAAAATTATTTTTTAAAAGTTAATATTTTTATGATCATATTATTTATAGTTATTTAGAAATAATAATAATTTTCTATTAAATGTTATTTAAAGAAATTTAATTAATATTTTTTATTTATATAATAATTAGAATAAAAAATAAAATATTTACCCAAAAATAAAAAAAAATATTTATATTCTTAATCATCATTTTACATTTTAATAACAATTAAATCAAGTACAAATATTTATCGGTTAACAGTTATCTACCATCAATCAAACAAAACGAGTCCTTCGACAGATAAAAAAAAAAAAGACTATCTGTGTTCCCTAAAGTGCCGGTAGCATAACCGTACCCAACATTCAACAACCTCCCTATTGCCTTTTAAATATTTGGGACGAGCTCCAGTTCTGTACTTTAAAGTTTCAGGTTACTTTTGTTGTGGATAAAAATAAAAATAAACCAAGAAACCATGGGTTAAATGGAAAATAACAAGAACAAAGAGGAGCAAAGCAGAAGTTGTATACAATTTTTGCCATCTACACTCCACAGATTATTTATTAAAAAATTTATACGCCCGCTAAACCAGTAAAATTGTGCGCGCCATTAGCAATTTTACCGCAATTAGCGTCAACATTACAACACTTCCCTCTGCTTCTTTCTTTCTTCCCTTCTCTCTCTTTTCCTCTGTTTCGCTTTTACATGTGTACTTACGTCTCTCTTCGATCCATCCCCGTGGCTTCATATTCTCTTCTCTGCAATTCCAAAATGTCCAATTAATACAATTTCACCGCTAAATTTTGAAACCTAATCTTTTGATCTACTGTAATCGGCCATGGAAATGGCCTCCAGTCCGCGAACCGTAGAGGAGATCTTCAAAGATTACAGTGCTAGAAGAGCTGGAGTTGTTCGTGCTTTAACTAACGGTAACTTTCTCTCTATTTCTTTAATTTTTTTGGTATCTGTGTAAATATTTGACCTTGGCTTGATTCTTATTTGGCCAGATGTGGATGAATTCTATGGACTCTGTGATCCAGGTAATGTTCAATGGTGTAACTGTAGATCGGAACTTTTCTTTATTTAATTTCTTGTTTGGTTGTTTGACTTAATAGTTTGGTTTCAGTTTAAGAGTCTGTTTGGTTCCTGAGAAATTGTGAGAAACAGGGAGAGAAAGTAATTTGAACTACCACTTGGACTCTCTGCTGTTGTTTTATATTTAGAATAATAAAGACGTATATTTTGAAAATTGCTTTTGGTAGCATATGCTGAAATTTCAGATAGAATTGAAAGCCTAAATTCATCTTGCAATGTTTTGTTGATTTATATAGCTTTTGACTTTGCATTTGAATTTTAATATGTTAGCCTCTACAGGGAAGGAAATTTTTTAATGTAAATATAGATTATTTAGAGTAAGTAGATAGTGTAAATCGGTTATTTGGTATGTTGTGAACTGGAAAAAATTGAAGCTTTCTACTTCCTCTGGTTTTTCAGAGATAAAACGGGAATTTGTTTCATGTTTTGGGTTCCTTTGCAAATTTGTGACATTAAGTTTATTTTGATTCATAATGGACTAGAAAAGGAGAACTTGTGTCTATATGGACATCCAAATGATACCTGGGAAGTAAATCTGCCAGCTGAGGAAGTTCCTCCTGAGCTTCCTGAACCAGCCCTTGGAATCAATTTCGCAAGAGATGGCATGGACCGAAAAGACTGGCTTTCACTTGTTGCTGTGCATAGTGATTCGTGGTTGATTTCTGTGGCTTTCTATTTCGGAGCTCGTCTTAATCGACATGACAGGTATATTACTGCAGATCTTCTGTCTGAATGAAAGCTTGGTGCAATTGATTTGTTTGTCTCTCCATAGCACTTATGCTTTTTATACTTATTTTTCAGTTACAGCAGTCTTGTACTCTCCTTCAAATTAATTTATAAGCATCTTTGACTTGTTATTTGGAGTTACTTTAGAGGATTATTTATCATGCAGAATGACAGGAGAAGACTGATTGAGTAACTGATTCTTGTTTCAGTTTTTAGACAGCAGAGCACTTTCTTAGTTTCTTATTGTTTTCTTATCCTGTTAATAGCAATAGGATAAATCATTCTCCAAAGTAGTTTTCTATTTTAGATGGATCCTCCAAAGTCCAAATATATATGGTTTGAATTGATCATGCAAAATGGTTGCTAAAAAGCAGGATACACAACATTTTTACTAGGGATCTTGTATTTAACTATCTATATTGGGAGAAATTTTTTGAATCCTTTAATGTAAAATCTCTCATATGATCTAATACTAACTTTAACTGCCATTATGATTCGTATTCTTCCTATATGATCTAATAATTTCTTCTGTTGATCATTTCTCTTACTTGGAAGACGACGGATCTTAGTCTAACAATAGGGTTACTCTGTTGCGACTTGGAAGTTAATTTTAGACCATGGGAACAACTTCATTACAATGTAAGGGGAAGAGTCGTATATTTGACGCTCCCTAGTGTCGCAATGCAGTAGCATGCTGGGACACCTGTTTCTTAGTCATTCCTCCACCCTGTAGGTAACTGAAAAGGTGGTGAAGCTGCACAAGTTGACCCTAACAAGAAGTCCTTTGGATGATTGTTAGAAGCGTCATGCTACCTTGAGTCACATAGTTGGAAGTCAGAACAGCTATCCACTGCAAAAGATATGAAGAAAATTTATATCTGCTTTGGCATCAAATATTGTTTGGGAGACCAAAAATTAATGATTTGCATATTGAAATGTTTTCTGACTGTTCTATTGGTAAACATGTTTGACCATAGCTTTTCTTCACAAACACGAGTAAATTTTGGTTGACAGGAAACGGCTTTTTAGCTTGATCAATGAGCTGCCCACTGTCTATGAAGTTGTGACAGAAAGGAAACCTATAAAAGAAAAGCCCAGTTCAGATAGTGGAAGCAAATCACGAGGCAGCATAAAGGTTTGATTAACCAACTCAATTCGGCATAACTCGGTTGTATGAGAATTAAACTTGATCAAAGAGTTTTTTGTTCTCTTTTTTTTCTGTAAGATTCTGGTTCTTTCAACAAAGACAGTAATTAACAAAAATCTATTTTACCATATATTACTGAATGGGCATCCAAAAACTGTGTTTATCTTCTTTTATACAGAGCATACTTTCAAATTGGATGACAGGAATTTTCTTATCGTCAATCATTCATTGGTTACTGCTTTCTTTCTTTCTTATTGTCCTCTCCCCCACACCCCCACCCCCCCCCACAAAGACAGTAATTAACAAAAATCTATTTTAACCATATATTAAATGATGGCATCCAAACTGTGTTTTATCTTCTTTTATACAGAGCATACTTATTCAAATTGGATTGACAGGACAATTTTCTTATCGTCAATCATTCAATTGGTTACTGCTTTTCTTCTTTCTTAATTGTCCTGTCCCCCCCCCCCCCCCCCCACCCCTACTCCCCTGTTAAATGCCAATGACTTGTCTCCTTCTTTCTGTAGAGATCAAGTGATGGTGGTCAAGTAGTGAAGAGCAATCCTAAGCTCACAGAGGAGGTTTACGAGGATGATGAAGATGAACATACTGAAACTCTTTGTGGAAGCTGTGGTGGGAGTTATAGCGCAGATGAATTCTGGATTGGCTGTGACATTTGCGAGAGGTGGTTTCATGGAAAATGCGTGAAGATAACACCTGCAAAGGCTGAGAGTATCAAGCAATACAAGTGCCCATCATGCAACATGAAGAGGAGCAGACAGTAATGTAACTTCAGCATCAGTGAAAGTAGTATTAGTAATATTTCTTATGCAAATTATGTGTTTAAAAAAAAAAAAAAAAAAAAAAAAAAAAAAAAAAAAAAAAAAAAAAAAAGCCTTTTTTTCATAACATTTGTCTTGAAAAGGTTCAAAAAGTTTGCCTTCTTCCTT